GGAAAATCTAAAATTATAGCAAGAATTTCCGATTATAGCAATCGAGAAAGAAATAAGCTGCCAAAATTTGAAATAAGAAAATAACATAGTCCTTATTGAAATGTTTATTTATCTTATATTTAAAGATATAATATATTCTAAAAAGGAATCATTTCGCCTTTCGATTTAGATGATACTATTTGTAGATATATTGAATTATATGATTTCGTTTAGTTTCTAATTTATTTCTATAGCTCCGATAATTCCATAATTACAGGCGTTTCTTAGATAGGCTAGCGAGCATACTCTATGGTTATCAATAGCTCGGAAAAAAATATTTATTTGTAATTAAAATGATTGTCCGTTCTTATCCGTTGCACAGTGCCGCGATCGAGGTCTTGTCGAATAACAAAGGAGCCAAGGCAGGCTTTGATTCCCGAAAGGTTTGCTTGTTCGGCCTTATCACGGCGGAGATTGGGATTGTAAAGCATGCCTGGGACAACATGATGCACACAGGACATACATTTCAGTAAAACGCACCCTGCTTCCTGCTTCGATTCAAGGTGTGAGTTGGCACGTCTTCTAAAATGAAATCTCGATCAATGGACTACGGGCCTACGGGATTTCTTGTGCGACACTGTGGCCATCCGTCCTCGCTGCACGCGATCTCTTGCCGTATTGGCAACCACCCCTCGTGTGCCCTTAAGGCTACTAGAAGCTTGCAGGCGCGGAGAAGCGCTGGGCTTCCACAAACCGGTGTTGATGGCTTGCGGCAAAGGGCCTAATGGCCCAAAGCAACACAGCCAGGCCTCGGCCGATTCAAAGCTGGAGGGCAATTTGCAGCTCCAAGTGCACAACTTTCGCAGCGCTCGGATTTTCTGATTGTCAGAAATCCAGGAAACCGCAAAAGCTCGCGCCGGTGTTGATCGAACAATCCTTTGCCCAGACCCTTACCACGCGAGTCCATTCAACACATCGCACGGCCTCCGGCTTCGAAACGAACCAGATGACGTTGATCAACCCCGCTAACAGGAAGTGGCAGCCAAGGAAAACTTCTGAATGGGAGGTTGCCCTCGAGAAGCATCCAAACCGGGCTCCCTCCCCAAAGACAAAGACTGCAAGGAACTTCGGATCTGCGTGAGCTCTGTGAGCTCTTCCTCAGCATGCTGGTACTCCATCTGATTCCCCATTCCGTCCTCGCGGCAACACAGCCTTTCGAACAAGGAGCCAGTGGTGGCGCTTCCCGCATCGAGCTCAAGTAGTCTGTCAGTTTGCCGCCCTTCCGGGATGAGGATCCTCACCTGTCGGACTGTCGGAGTCGGACCCCGCTCGCCCGAGAGCAGAGCAGCGTGCCGGGGAGCAATGTTAGTTTCTTGGTGATTTATGGTCTGAGTCCTAGGCATTCGAAGTATGCCTCGGCTTGCCAATTTCAGTAAGTGCTCCTTCTCTCTCTTTCTCTCTTTCTTTCGCCAGGCCTAGGGTGGGGGTTCACCCCCTTCTCTCTTTCTTTCACGAGGGTAGAGGTGAGGGCAGGCCCCTCTCTCGCTCTCTCTCGGTCCCCTTCCCAGCAGACTGTTCCCTTGGCTCGCGCCCCCCGACACAAGTTGAGCCGTGAAACAAGCAAACCCCATTGGTGCCCACTCATCTTGAAGGATCTTTGTAAGATCTTTTGCAAGTTTGCCGATCTGTCACGCCCCAACTGGGCCTACCCTGACTAAGAACTTGGTGAAAGCTTTTGGGGAAACCATACACTTGGCTGCAATTTTTGCTGGCATTGTACGGGACACACAGAAACACCTTAAGTGGCAGCATACAGCATATCTACAGGATAAGCAAGATGAAAAACACATACGTCAAACATGCTAATGCGTGCGTGTGGCTACTATATTCGCAGCCACTCACTTCAGACCTGTTAGGTCAACACAGCCCCAAGTAAATACATGTAACTAACTTCATGTAACTGAGTCTTGTGTGTTTTGTACACAGGTACGGAAGACCTAAGAAACAAGCAAAAGAGCATGCCGCCCAGAACACAGTCCTAAATAGTACAGGAACCCACGACAGCCAGCGAAATCTGCTAGAGGGCTCCGGAGGTGTTTTGGCGGCGTGGTGCACTTGGCACTTGGTTGGCTTTGCTACGCCGCTTTGCTCTATTTGCGTGCAGACGTTCTGTATGCTTCAGCTTTTGGCTCGTGATCTCGTTACGGCACACTAAATTTGGCAGGACAGTCTAACAGCATGTAGCTACACATACACATTTTTCCCTCTCGCCCTGCCAAAGCTGCGAGGTAAAACCTAACCAACTCTGCACGTACATACATAATTATACATACATACATAATTATACATATATACATATGCTATATATATATATATATATAGACAATAGATATAGATATAGATATAGATGTAGATATAGATGTAGATGTAGATATAGATATATAGATACATATCAAGATAGTAACGGACACCTGTGCACATCTTGATGCACACGTACATGTATGATGCACCACGTGTGTCTCAGTATGTCTGCATTCATCCATGTATGTGTGCGTGCACATGTAAGTGTTCCCCCTCTTGCCCTGCCGAAGCAGCGAGGTGAAGACTAGCCAACCATGTTCGTATATTTGCTGCTCTGGGTGTGGCATGTATGTATGTATTTGTCCATCCATCCGTCCATACAGAGGCGCGGGGGTCTGTCTATGCATCATTCAAGGCTCCTTTTCCGAAGCCATCCGTCAATGGCTCTACTCGCCGCTGCCGCTATCGGTTGAAGACCCTTGGGCCGATTTATACTTTGGAAAAGAGCTTGGAGAATGGTCCTTTCTCGACAGGGCTTATATAAGATCTTCGCGGTCTTTTGAGACCCACTCATGAAAAGCTGTTGCACTTCCAAAGAGTGCCTTTGGCAGAGTGACAATCGTGACACGCTTGGAAATCTGGCCTTTCCAATACATAGTGGTGTGTATCCGACGCTTAAAATGAAATCTAGTATTGAAGAGCACCCATTCGCTGTTGAAAGGTACAAATCAAACTTCGTGTTGAGGAACCGAGCCAGCCTTGCAAAATCTCAAGGGCTTCGAGCTGCTATCATGGATGTGGCAATCCTGAAAGCTAGAAGGTGCCTTTTCCACATACGTGTAGGCTGCTGGAAACTCGGCTCAAGCATGTTACAAGCTTCAACGATATTTCACGATGCAACGACCATCTAACACTTTACAAGCGGCCTGTGTTGTTCTACAGAAATATGTTCGTTCGAACTCTTCAATCCTGCAAGGGCCGGCGCAGTTCTCGAATCACTTCAATGCTTGCCTTTCAAAATTGTTGAGGACTCATGTCCAAGTTGCTGGTTTTCCTATTTTGATCGTCAAGACTCACCTGGGCTTTGTGGGCATACTCTCTCCGTTCTTCAAGATGAAGAGCTTGCAGAATAGGATAAGCAGCAGGGTATGGGGCTAGCGGTACGACTGCAGGGTTTGGAGTTTCACCTCTCTGAAACCAGTGGTTTAGGAGGGCAGTGGTGACGATTCGCATCAGCCTCGGTTTAAGACTAGGAAAGCAACGAAGAGATGGAATCCTGAAGGTTCCGCCGCAACTGAAAAGAAGTTATTATGAGAAGCTGCAGGGCTTTCCCTTTCTCCGAGCTGGTTTGTGCAGCCTTGGTGGCCCTAAAACCAGGCAAGCTGAAGCCGCTTGGAGCTTCTTCCAACCGTGATGCAGCCCATCTGAAGATTGACACTTGACCCAAACTCGTTCTCCATCCTTGTCGCACCCGGTTCTTCCTCTGTTCCTCGCTCCTGACGGTTCTGCCGCTCCCGTCTTCATGCTGCTTGCTGTTGCAAGCCACAAATCAGTTGTGTCAGGCCTTCATCACTCTGCCGAATGCCGCCGGTAACACGTGTGCAAGATAGGCCCAAACCCTGAACTACACAAACATGTGCCCGACGGTCCGACGGGTGACCATGAGTCTCGTCATCCTTCCAAAACACCACCGGTGTGAGACGACCCGTGAGGCGCATTCTACGCCCTAAATCCCAAGCCGTAAATCCTAAACCCTAAGCCTAACAGCCTCAACTAAGCCCCAGCTAGACCCAAAACGGTAGAAATGAACCCTAAAAGTCATCGACTTCCACGGCCAGTCGCCAAGAAGAGGGGCACGCAAGGGCCGCAGGCCGAGAGCAGTGCAGCGATCCAAAGATTCTCGAACTTCGCGTCCTTCGGAGATTCACCGATCGAACTTCTCGCAGCAGTTAAATCTAAAAGTTAAAACAAGCAGGAAGCCTGCGAGGGAAGGTTGGGGTTCAGAGCTTAGGGGCTCTCGATCTGGATCTTGATATCCAACCCTTCATCCCGGGCTGTGATCCCTGCTTGTGCTGCACAGTTGAAGCGCTGATCCTCGTGGACCGCGCCGTTGGGGGTTACGCCAAGAAGGCTAAGAACGAGGGCCCCGCCGTAGTTGGCGACGGCGAAGCCTAAACTCAGCGAAGCCGAGAGCAATGCATACCTTCGGGGGGTCAAAAGAAGGCTTTCGCTTTCGCTCCTGTCTCCTGCAAAGGGTTCTTTTGATTCCCAGATGCGGCAATACCCGTTTAGGTCGCAACTTGGACAAGGTTTTCTTCGGGTGGCAAATGCGAGGGCTGAAAGTCATGAGCTTCTTGCCGAGGTGCATCACTGATTCAAGTCCCTGCGGCACGAGTTGGGCCAGCATCACCGTCATCGGCATCCAGGCCAATTGGCCGAGGACCGTCTGCATGGCACTCGAAGCGAGCATGAAGCCAGCATCAGGGATACCATATTTGATGTTAACACGCTTGTAAGCGATCACGCTCAAACCGTTAGCGAGTGCATATGCAAGGCTGGTCGACATCAACATGGATCGATATGTCCACTTTTTTGCAAGCAAGTTGTAGCATGCTGCTCCAAACAAGCTGCAACCTGCCGCCACACAGCCCATGCCTGTGACATAGAACTGATATGAAAAATGGGGACCGTCTCGATACGACTCTTCTGTGTCAGTGAAGAAATAGAAAGCCGCCCCGTGTGTACCGATGTGAAATATACTCTGAAGGAAGTAAAACGCATTGATCTTGGCAATCACCGGGCGCAGGAAACATGAAAGCAAGGCCAAGTTGAGCATCCCTAGGGTCAAGGCCACCAAGAAGTTGACGGTGACTGACTTGATGACCAAGGAGCACACCAGCAGGGTCAGAGCGGCAAGTCCCGATGCCAATGCAAGCATGAAGGGGACGAATCCTGCTCAGGGATCAGGGATTTTTTTGCGTGCGAGCTTCCAACTGCAAATCCCTCAAACTACTGCATTGCTGCATACTCCATACGCTTTTCAGAACAAGCTGCCTTTCTCTCTCCAGATCTGGAGGTCTGGTCCGCACCGCCTCGAGCCAGGAATCCTCTCTTCTTCCAAGTGGTTGCGAGCAATTGGCCACAAAAGAAGCGCAGCGAAGGGCAAGGCCAAGAGATAGCAGATTCGGGTCCCATAGTTCTGCAGCAGCGCTCCGGCGGAAATGGTGGAGATAATGTTCAGCACGGAAATTCCGCATGACACAAAGGTGAGTAGCTCAGGCCCTCGCTCAGGCGTGGCCTTCACTTTCTCGGAATACTTGGCTTCGACCAGAAGGTCTGCCAATGCCATCTGAAAGAAGATCGTGAAAAGACAACCGGTAGTGCTCTGTGTGCTTGGCGTGCTGGCAAATCCAAGGAAGAAGAAAGCTGCAACAGCGGCCACAGTAGCAATGAACAAATACGGTGCTTTGCGACGCCCGCAAATGGGAAAGCCGTCTGATACTAAACCCATCAGTGCCTTCATGGAAAATGGCAACCGAGCAACGGCGGTTAGGACCTGAAGTGTGGGCCCGTCTACTTTGAGACCTCGATATGTGAAATCCATGGCCTGGTAAACAAGGCCGCCACCAAATCCATTCAAAAGATGGTGTGTCAGAAAAATTGTGAGCAGCAGCGAGGAACCAAACGTGGCGCGAAAGGAGGGTCTCGGCGCTGTCAGCGCCTCCTCTGCATCTATCATGGCGGCTACTGTAGGGGCTGGAAAAAGAGCTGCGCACACCGGGACACCAATCAATGAATGCTGCATTGCCTATCATCACAAGTATCTGGGCTCTGTGAGGACCTCCCCAAATTTCAGCAGAGTTGGTTGTTGGGGAGGAAGCAGAACGGGGAAGCTTCGACATGCCGAGTGCAAGAAGCTAAGCAAGCCTCGAATACCCAGAAAACATCAAAACCGATTACGGACAGCAGCTGCAGTCTTGCTAGATGGACACTGTAAACGACACACGTCGCTGGCAATCGGATTTCTGAAAACAACCTTGGAAGCAGGACGTAGTGGCTCGAACGGAGCTCATGTGTTCTCATTGTTGAACACTTTGGCCAGCTGTCGAACCCAATGTTTCATGTTTCTTTGCTTCGAAATTCCAAGCCGTTGTCGGCGGTATTCGATACCGGCCGTCTCTTCTTCTGGGGCCGATGTCGAGGGCCCGTTGACCAGTCAGGCGATGGCGATTGGAACCAGACACCAGGAGCCACGGAGGTCCCACACACCCAAGCAGACCCGCTTCTTCGCAGCTTCTACAGATAATCAGACCAGTTTTGTCATTTTGCATCTTAGAGTCTTATAGGGAGCCTTAAGAGCTGCTCCATGGAGTCACGTGCTCGTGGATGCAGCGAGCCGGGGACTGGACTGCTAGACCTGAGCAGACCTTCCAAAAAACGCTTTTTCCCGTAACCGCCTTGCTTCGAATGGACTGTTGGAGACGGATTGAAATGCCAGAAGTTCCAGAAGAACTCTTTGAAAGCTCCCATCCTGCCAGTTCCCCAGAGCTCGACAGAGCTAAGCTACCACGGCGTGCTTCTACTTTGAAACCCCGGGCCCTCTTTGGTGGTTTCAGGACGGCCGTTTTCCGCCGAGGCATGACAGCGACGTCAAAGCCGTCGATTCGAAGCCCGAAGCTGCTGTCGTGGCAGACCTGTCTGGTGCTTTCCTAGTCGGTATTGGTACTGGCTAGAGCCTAACAACTCCTGCTTTCGTGGCGATGTCCGAGCTTTCCTGTTCGCAGAAGGAATGATGCCTACAGCTTGCACACTGTAAGTCCTGAGCTCACTTCGGGAATACAGCACAGCTCACATCATCTGCTCCCGAGAGGCCGCCAATCCTTAACCCAAATTCGACATCGGTCCTTCAACCGCAGAAGCCACGCCTCAGAGGTAAACCACTTCGTGTTTGGGATCCAGCAGCTCCCCGCCAATCTCTGCAAGGCGTGCCAGCTTTCTCAATGTCTCCTCCAGCAGAAAACCACGCAAGAGGCTATGTGCGCATGGTAGCAGTGGAGGCTATCATCATCACCCGCCGCGGGGGAGATGTCTCGGGCGCAAACCTCTTCACGTAGTGGGGGCTTGCGATATTAACGCCGCCACACTATGTCACTATGCAATAGCATGTGTGCGATGCGGCTGCAATGACTGTCACCGCACAAAAAACAAAAACATCAATCATCATCATCACCACCAGCATCATCATCATCATCATCATCACCGTCGCCACGACCAACCACGACCACCAGCACCACCATCACCACCACCGTCGTCATCGTCGTCAACATCATCATCATCATCTTCTTCACCAGCACCACCGTCATCTGCAGCATCTCATTGAAAGTCATGATCTCAGGACGGCAGACTCACGCTTGCACATGCAGTGATTTTTTCTCAACTTTGGGCACCTCCTCGCGGTAGATGTGCCGCGTGGCGGCTTGTCGCTGGTATTCCTCGCTGATCTCCGGGTGGAACCTGAGTCTCTCCTTGGGCCACGGAATCGTACAGCACGGTGTGGGACAGGTGCAGAAATTGACCGACACGGCCTTTAGATGCCTTTAGTCTGTTGATCTGGCTGTGACTGCCTAAGGCCAAGAGGACAGGCTGATGCCCTTGCAGCCCGGCTTCTGGATCAGAAGGCAAGTCCTGGCATTCCTAGGACACGACATGCGCTTCTCTTACTTGGAACGGAAGCCGAGGCTGGGGATCGCTGTCTACCGAGCCCTTGAACGAAACGCCACAGCCCGGATACAATGCATGAAAACTGAGATTCGCATAGCCGGGTGGTAAAGGCAGACTGCCGCTACGACTCATGTCCATTACTAGGAGGGGCTGGTCTTAGCCCTTCGAGAGGGTGCTCGAGACAGCCAGGCAACGGCGATCAGCCACTGGTACAATCCAGGTTAGGTCTGTGAGTCTGGGTCGGTTTTGTTGGGGTCATGTGGTCTTCATGCATGGAAGCAGTCTGTCTCCTTGACATGCTCGCCTGTCCTGCTTCCGAAAATCAGGGAGCATCCATGCAACCAGCATCGGGGATGAGATCCGTGAGAAAAGCTTGTGGTGTTGGGGCTCGTCTTTAGGGGCTGCTCTATGGCACTATGGGCCTCAGTCTGGATCCACCAAAGAGCTCTCAAATCTCAGGAGGGCCAGCAGTCCCAAAACTCAAAACCCCCAACCCTCAAAGAAACGAGTGGAAAAGAAGGAAAGGCTCTTCTCTTCTCGAAGGCTTCCATTCAAATCCGAAGGAGCCCTGCGAAGGCTCCCACCCTCTCAGCGATACCGTGAGGCCGGGCCTGCTTGTAGCGCAGGGTCGAAATCCATGTGGGTGCGGCTGCCGACACCGCGGAGGCTGATGGCGATTCCGGCTCTGCGCAGAGCTCCTCGGCCTTCAGCTGTTGCTCCTCGGACGTCGGAGCCCGGGGCTCTAAAACATTCATTTGCCGGCATTGCTGCTCAGAGTTCAAAGGTGCGGGGCGCATTTCCGAGAATCTACAACGCGATCCCTCCCATGCTGCCTGGTTGAGGGCGAGAACTTTGGAGTTTGCGGAAACCTACGTCTCTACTTGATTGTACTGTCGATATTCACATTGACGATATTGCTGCTCTTGGTGATTCTTGGTGTGTGGCACGGAAGATAGGCTCGGACCCGGCCGCGAGCGAGATCGCCTCAAGCCGACAGTGCTGTCGGGCATCCATGTGGTCCAGATCATCGAACCATGGAATGTAAGCTTCACGGCCATCACGTTGACGTGCCTTAGATCAAGTGAGCTGCCATCTTCTCGTGCGGAAGTCCCGTCGACCCACGCCGAGACACCAAAGCAGCACCAAGAAGCTCAGATACGTTAAAAGAACAATGACTCGAACCTCATAATCCTGAGTCCCATAATTTCAATGCGTGCACGTAGAACCATAGACTCTTTACACTCTCACAACTCGGACAATCCAGGCGAGGTCTATCGGACGTCGTCGGAGTGAAACGAGTGTGGCTTCGTGCTTCAGTAGACTCTTTACGCTCTCGCAACTCGGACAAGCCAGACGAGGTCCCTGAGTTCGGGTCAGCGACTAGATAGAACTAGCCAGCTCAGTAGACTCTTTAAGCTTTAGACATCACCACAAGAGGCAGTGCTCCAATCCCAGTGGACTTTTCTGAAGGCGTGGATTTGAAGTTGGGGAGCACCTTGCAGCTCAGTTGCCCTCTCCTCGCATCTCCTCAATCTCTCTTTGAAGGCAGCCAAGTCCACTCGCTCGTGAAGTTCCCCTCTTCGACCATGGAAAAGCACGAGGTGCTTGCGGCAATCCAGGCATTTCCTGAAATTACGAGCCACAGCTTGGGGACCCCAGTTTACAGGTGCAGGTGCAATCGGGGCGGTGGGGGGTGCTGTCCTTCGGAAGTCAGCGTCGTCTGTCTTCACGGCCCAATACTCCGCCTCGTCGATCGGGCGTCCGCCCCACCTCTCCGAGCAACGATCGGTAGTCCGAAAACTAGTAACTAGCCTGCAAAAACATCGCCCACAACAAGCGCATAGATCCAAACACAAGTGGATCAACCAATCACACAGACATCGTACTAGCAGCCCCTTATGATTATGGGAATCCCGACAGGCAACCACCTGCCTTACTATGCTAGGAGGTGATGCAGCTGGGAACCCCCCTGTGTAAAATCTGCCCCTTGTTCTCTGCAACTGTGCGCTGCTTCGTAGCAGAAGAAGAGCGGAAAACAGCCATCCGGCAACTTCACTAAGTACAGCCATGCCGTGGCTGTGCTCCACCATAAGCATGGTGTCGGGAGGATGTCCGATTCTACGGCCAATCGCGATCCATTCGAGAATGAGATGCCGACACAGCAACCGACACACCAGCAGGGACAGGCTTAGGCTTCTGTGCTGAATTTGAGACCACGACCCCCGGTGTGCGTAACTTGACCTGGTGAATCCTTTGTTGCAGGTGGAGCAAAGCCTCCCTTGATACACTACAGTAGAATGGAATTTGGAAGCAGGCAAATGTCGGTTCCAGTACCAGGCGGTGGAGAACAAAGGCGAGTTTTCTCGCTGCGCTTTTCCACTCTTTTATTTTCCGTTCATGGCCGGGATCTATGCCGACTCCCGAGGAGTCAATTTATGTAGTTGTTGGGCTTGACTCCCAATACAGGGTGACAATTGCGGCCATCCTTCAGTGCCCGTTTTGCAACGACCATCTTGAATCGCGACGTGGGTTTGACGACTTCCTGTAACTATAACCCATCAGATCAACATTCAGCCGGGCAGCTTGTCGCGCAGGTTCGGGTCGAACCCAGCCTGCAGCAGTTTCAGCAGCCCTTCGCAGAAGCCGCTCCGTGCGGCAACGTGCAGCGCCGACTTGCCATCTCCATCGCCACCCATTCCCCCTCCCTGTTGCAAAGCAGCATCCAAGTCTGCCTGGCGGGCTTCTCGCGCTTCGGGTATGCAGCTTGAGATCTTCAGGACCCTTTGCAGGTTCTCTGTTGGGCAAAGATCCGGAGTCTTGCATGGGGGAGCAACTGAACGGGAAGAGCAGAGCACAAAGCTCCAAGTGTCTCTCAGTTCTCCTGTCGTTTCGGGACATGGGCGGCCCTCCGCAGTGCAGACAAAGACTCTGTGAAGAACAGCTAACAGCTAACTCCAACATGCAGTGGCCCTTCTGGTTGAATGTCCTATGTGTCCTCAAGCCGAGAACTCAAGCCATCCCTTGAAACCCACCGAGGCACCATATTGCGGTGATGACACGCTTTGCGCAGCCTGTCGTCTGCCCGTGAGGCCGATCTGATTTGCCATCCTCGGTGAGTGCGGGGCTTCGGCTACGATGGGCATCGTGAGCTCGGTGGTATCTCGGGGCTTCCTTCTCAGCTTATATCGGCTGTGGGCTTCGTTCGCTGAATCTCGCATTAAGAGGTGCAACGGGCCGGACAACCAGCAGCCTTGGAGAACCGACCGAGGTTGAGACACTCAGATGTCCAAGACCACTATATCTCTACACGCAAGCAGCACCACCCGTGTCACTTGACCGGGTCAAGAGGGATGTCAAGGAAATCAACTGCATCCAGCAGCTGTGGGCCGGCTGCTCTGCCAACAGATGTGCCTGCGCAGTTGCGCAGGGGCAGCTGATGCACTCGCTGGAGACGTTGTTGCATGCACAAGGACTAAAGATGCCGAAGCCTGACGCTCCGAATGTGCAGACCGACGGCATGTCTTGCAAAATGTTAGGACAGACTTTAAAATTGTGAGCTTCGCTGTTCGTCAAGGCGAGCCGGCGAGCCTGCAGGATCCGAGGAACGTGTGAATGAGATGTGGCACTTTCTCAAGACCAGGCCGGCGAAAAACAGCAGCTATGATCTTTCATTGGAAGGCCCAGAATGAAAAGATCTTTCGGGGACTCAGGGCTTGTGGCACAAGGCATTTTTACCCCTTCGCTCCGACACGGCCATTAACCATAAAGCAGCTCCTTCAAAGGGCCCCTGTGTCAGGCTGGGTCAAGGGCACCTGCGTCCACGACGCCGAGGCCGCTGAGCTCCAGGCCCTGAGTGAAAGGAGAGTTCCCCCAAACTGTCTTTGTCTTCCAGGCACAATCGCGAGACAAGCGCTGTTGCTGCGGCATCGCACGGAATTGCCTGCCCCAGCATGCCAGGGGAATAGTGCTTCAGATGAAGCGACGCTGATGACTGCATTGCATGGCGGCATGGCGTGGAATGCGGCTTGTCACACTGTGAGGCGAGGGCGAGGGCGTGGCTCGAGGTCCCAGGTCCCAGTATTGAAAGGAGCGGCGGGCTGGCGCACGAAGTCGGCTGCTGCGGCATCGGCCCCTGCAGAAAGGTCTCGGCCTTGCCAGGGCCCCCACCGTTGCAACGGAAGAATGCCCTTTAAAGCGTCACTTTGAAGTCAACCAGCCCCGAAATTCATCCCACTGAGAAGTGCCAGTTGCCAGACAGCTAGACTATTGCAATACTCAGTACTCACAGAGTCTAAACAACTATTGTGGCAGAACCTACATCTTCCGTGAGCCATCGGTGGAAGTTGGATGAGGTCCTCCGTCCTCAGAAAAGCAAGAGCAAGCAACGCCCCAAACCAGATCTACACCCGAACGCCCCATCTCCGCCTGACAAGCAGCAACGTTGTGAGCCATGCTCGCCCCACATGGTGGCTGAGTTGGCGCCGCCACCTGCGAATCTGGAAGTTCACGCAGTCCCAAACCCCAGCCCTTCAAATCTTTTTTCCCTCTCGCATGTGCTGGAAATCTATGCCCGCTCGCGAGGTCTGACATGTGAAGAAGCCCTTCAAATCAACATTCGGGCTCCGTTAGAGTTAGAGATTCAGGTCAGGCGAAGCGAAGTTCGCTGTTGAAGCTCAAAACAAACCAGGAAGTACAGCAGACAGCCGAAGGCCGCAAAGCACCATTGATCATGTATCTGCGCACCTCGATCCTCACCGCCAACACGGACATGCACGCATGCAAAGCACAGCAAGGCTCTTTTCAAACATGAACTAGCATCATGCAGAGTAAGAACCGACGCCTTCCACTCGACCGTGCTTGCACCAGGAATTGCACATCAAGTCTTCGACTACCAGCAGGCTTGATGCTACAACCCAGCGGCGGAGCGGGATGCGCGGACGCGGTCGCAGGAGTCGCAAGTCTCAGTCTGACCCCGCCGCAGGTCGCACTTGACTCGTAGATCCTGTCGGCTCCAGATCTCCCAAAATCCCGCCCTGCCAGGCCCCGTCCCCTTTCAATGTGGAGCTGCGGATCCGGAAGAAAAAGAGCGTACGAAAATGTATTTCTTGGAGACTGTGGCCTTCGCAGTCCATTCCATCCCATTCCTTTGTCCAGTGCTTCTCCCTCAATCCTGAACAATCCCGAGGACTTCCACCCACAAGATCACAGAGGGCCGAGACACGTGCATGTGCTCCGAAGCGTAGGCATCACGGGGTGGGAAGAGCGCTTCATCAGGACATCCACCTCCGTCCTGACGTGAGGTCTCCGTGCGAAGAAAAGCAGGTCGACCCAACGTTAGCAAGGCAATCGCAGCAAACTTCAACATCATATGGGTTCGGGAGGCTGAAAGCGTCACCTCGCGGGTCAGCACGCAAGCAAGCCGGTCTTGCTTTTTTACTGTGTCTCGGTGTCAACGTTGTACCGGTGTATCTACTCCAGCACCCGGTTCCAAAAAAGCACAGCCAATGATGCCGAGAAGCTGTGTTAGTTCGGCGTGGCGGCATCGGCGTCTCCATCATCGAAGGTACAGGTGCGGAGCCTGTACTCCTCGGCTTTGCAGTCCTACAGTACCTCCAACAAAGCGAAGTTTGATGGCATCCGAGGCCCAGAACCCATGCTCCATAGACCCGTCAGCACGGAGTGTGTGAAGCAGAAAGCAGCCTGTGCCTGACTGTGCCTGTGCCTCCATTTTGCAGCTTCGTTTCATGCCTGACACCGAGAACGGGGGCTGTGCACCAAAGGGCTGCTCCGCTGCCTTTGCGTTGGGAGGGGCTGCCATTGCTGGGGGATTTTTCGGAATCTGCGGCCTGAGGTTGTCGGAGTGCAGCAGAAGGGGGCGCAGCAGCGCCGACAGGCTCTGCCTGTACGTCAGAGTCTACGCAGCTCCCTGCAAGCCCGTCAACTCAAACCCGCTCGGTGATCAGCCACAGCAGCTTCGGGGGCTTCCGGGCTCCGTCAAGGGCACCTGCGTCCACGGCACCGAGGGCGCTGAGCCCCAGGCCCTGATCCAAAGGAAGTTTCGGACAGTGCACCGAAGTGTCTGAAATCTTAGAATGAAATAAATTGAAATAAAGTGTCTTCCAAGCACAATCGCGAAACAAGCGCTGTTGCTGCGGCACCGCACGGAATTGCCTGCCCTAGCATGCCAGGGGGATATAGATGAAGCGACGCTGATGACTGCATTGCATGGCGGCATGGCGTGGAATGTGGCTTGTCACACTATGAGGCGAGGGCGAGGGCGTGGCTCGAGGTCCCAGGTCCCAGTATTGAAAGGAGCGGCGGGCTGGCGCACGAAGTCGGCTGCTGCGGCATCGGCCCCTGCAGAAAGGTCTCGGCCTTGCCAGGGCCCCCACAGTTGCGACGGAAGAAGGCCCTTTAAAGCGTCACTTTGAAGTCAACTTTTTCTTTCCGCAGACCGGTGTTGCTCCTTTGCTGAACATGGGTCTTTCCATTCGCATCACTTGTGATGGTGTCAGTGCTGCCAAAACTTGGACGCAACGACCCTCCCAACCCCCGTAACCCTGCTACCCCCTCGAAACCAGCATGAGCGACCCGAACATTCTCACTCCGCCTGACGGGCGGCAGAATTGTGGGCCACGCTGGCCCGAGTCGGCGGTGGCTGAAACACCGCTGGCGCCTCGAATCTCAGGGCTCGCAAAAGCGGCAGGGTTCAGAATTCAAAAACGGAGCTGCGTTTCTTTTCTCAATCCGGTGTTCCTCCCCGAATCCCGAAGACCCGCACCCAGTCTATAGGTCACCAGGTCACAGCGGGCCGAGAGACGTGCATGCGCTCCGAAGAGTCCGAATCGCTGGGCGCGAAAAGCTCTTCATCAGGACATCCATCTGCGTCCTGATGCGAGGTCTCCGGAGTGACCGAGCGTCGAGCAAACCACCGGGTCCAACAATGCAAGATAATTATGCAGCGAGAAAATTATAACACAAACCGCTCTCATTGTAGATGCCCCTTGGTCGTTGGAAAAGGCCAGATCCAGGAGCCCGCAGGATTGGAGTCGCAAGTTGTTCACAAGCGCGCCGACCTGGCTTTCGCACTTTGACTGTGTGGCGTCTCCGGACCTTGAAGAAGTGAAGTCGAGAGTTTGCCCGTTTGTTGTTGAATACGGCTTGGCGTGGCGAGCAAAGTCGCAACGAATGGACAGATTGGGCAGCATTTGTAGATGCCTACAGTTCCGGAGTTGCACCCAGTTTAGCCAACCGGGTACGGAAACCTGACTTGCACTCCACACAACAACAGCGTTGAGCAGGGCCACATATTGAAGTTCCTCTCTAGTCGCTCCCACACTTGCTGGTTGGATGCACGGTTTCTGCGGCAACCTTCGTCATGACGTTGCACGGACATGCATCTCAGAAGCCACCGTAGGATGAGGTACATGTATTCCGTTGCTGGATGCATCCCCAGGTCGCCCACCACAAGCTTGAGTCAATCCGGACAGCGGCACGCGATGGACGGGCCCAGGCCCAATGCAGTACTTAAACTGGGGTCGTTGTCCCTCTCTCGCTCTGTGCGGCTACCAGTCTTTTGAGGTCCCCAGCCCTAATTGGTGGCCGGGCTCCGGCGCTCAGCCTTTTGGCATTTCTGCTGGTGTAAAACCATACGAATTGCAATGGTGTGGCAGGAAGAGACTGCTCTTGGCCACTGCTCTTGGCTATGGGGGACTTGGGTTACCGTCCCTGGTCAGCTATACGTCTGCACTCTGCACGAGTGGCTTCAAGAGACTATGTATCCTCATGACCGCAGGCTTACAGTCACGACAGAATTATGTAGGCCCTCAAAGCCATATGACGATGCGGCATCCGCATCGCTCTGAGTGCCACCGACATGGCGAGCGGCGAGCTACAACGCAAGCAGGGACGTACCAAAGGAAAACTGTCACAAGTCCTAGTGCGAGCAATGCATTGGTGCATCCAACTGATAGAATTGAGGCGGAGGATCTACAGGCACGCAACAGGTTGTTGACCGTTGAAGCACGTGATATGATATAAGGGATAAGATGACATAACTATTTCCTGCAACAGCATAAGAAAGGTTACTGGAGACCAGCTGATGCATCGAGACTGCACAAGCTGCAGCTGGCAGGCTGCATCATGCAGCGAAAGCTGAGAAACACGTCCGTGTCAGACTGACTGGCACATACACTTTCTTTCGGAAGGATAGAAGGCGGGGGGTGCAGTCGCGGCCACGCGCTCAAGGCGCCCCCCAATATTGGCACATACTCTCCCCTGCTTGCAGTCAGCCAAGAAGGGGGGACCCCCACATGCTCTCTCGCTCTTCTTCAGCAGGGCGTGGGGAGCGTGCGAGGCCCCCCGGCCACGTGGGCCCCCATGCGTTATGGGGCTTTTGGCAAGGGCGTGACAAATTACAACGAGTCCCCCTGATGAAAGGTTTAGCTTATTTTGAGCATGCGAAAAGTCAGGGTTCCCCAGTTGTTAGATTGACACATACACGGTTGCAATGTTCCCCGTGATCATCAAAGTCATAGACAGATTAGGCTGCAAGTGCCCACTGCCCACACTCAAAGAGGTACACGAACAACATTCCGAGAACATGTTCAGCCGCTCCACGGCTGCAAGGACTTCGCATCTCTCGCTGTCTCTCTCGCCCTCTCTCTCTCTTGGTTGTTTGCTTGCTGGGCGTTTGGGGCTCCGTCTCTCTCCGTCTCTCCCTCTCCCTCTGAGCGAAGAGAAGTTTGATCGTCTCCAACAAAGGACTGCTGCATCGCAAGTGGGCTGTGGTACGAAAGCCTGCTCGCTTGCGGGCTGCATTCGTCTCGCAATGCTGCGCAGACTCGTGAGCGCATGGCTCACGGCGGCATTCCGAAAGTGTCGATTGTGGTCTGTTTTACAAGCTTTAGGCTAGCAAAGCTAAGATCTGATCGACAGCGAGCAAGTTATTTCAGGCATACCTGACTGGCTCAGCGATACCACACCCTTCAACATCTATTCTGCTCGAAACAACGGGCTCTCTGCGAGCATGTGCTGATATGATGACAAGACTTGCTGCAGCCTCATGGGGGGCATGGGACTCGGACAGGGGCTTGATGAATGCAGACTTGCTATGTAAACAAGTTCACGAGTTCACGGTGCTGAAGGAACCCGACTGTGAGTTGTTGACCCGCGCAATTATAGTCCAGAGCATCCATGCCCAACACACCCCGAAGGTGCCGAAGGTCACACCCCTGGAAAAGCACTCACAAACCTTGTTGAGACCGGACTTGATGACTCACAAACCAGAAAACCAGCAAATTACACGCAGCCCTGTCTTCCCTAGACCCCCCCCCCATAACCCTTAATCTTAGAGTTTCCCCCCCGCCCCATAACCCTTAATCTTAGAGTGTTCCCCTATGTTCCCTTGTGCACATTGGAGCGGTCCGGATCTCTTCCCGGATGTCCCGAAGTGATGAGTGGGGCTTACGCTTCGCATCTACTGCCGTGACTGCAGCATAGCAGCATCGTGCAACAGTGTGGCACTGCATGGTATGTCCAGAGCTTTCTGCGATGTCCTCTAAGAGCACCCTGAGCGAGAGCTCTGCAGCAAGCATTCTGGCTACTCTTCGGCGCTTCGGCCGCCGGCCCATTTTAGGCTCTCGATTGTCTCGGGCAGCACATGCAATCTCAAAGCAAAGCGTGTAAGAGTCATTAGTTTTCTCTTGGAATCTGCTAGCACACAAGGTTGAGGCAAGAAGAGCATTTTGCAGTCAGCTCCGACGAAGTCTGTCCAGGTGCTCTTCTGGCACAGCTTCCGGATGGTAGAGCATGGGCCTGTCTTCGCCCTGGCGCCGTCAAAAGGGATGCAGGTATGCACGAAGGAAGGAGACCAAGTATGGACAAACCTCGACGTGTCTGGAAGATGCTGATCAGCGCATCCCGCTGAGAACTCAAAACGAATCTATCTTGAACGCCGCTAGGTGACAACAACAATAGTGAACGCTTACGGGAGAACAACTGGCATCGACCATGATGAAAACACTACGGTTACCGATGTCAGTGTAATAATCTGAGCCATAAGGGTCGCCTTTGCAACAACCATGAAACATCATGATGAGAGTGCGGAACAAAGCGAGTAGTCGAAAAAACATAAGAAGTCTCACAATGCGAATGGTGAACAACTTTCCCGGGGCAAAGCTTGTCTTGCCTTGCCACTGCATCGGCTTCCTGCGAGTATTTCGCCGGAACCTGCGGCAGTGCAAGCATAGAGGTCACCTGTCAATCCAACGCAACCTTTGCGACTTGCTGCTGGCGCGCAAGGCCCCCCACCCAAGTTTAAGTGCAAGAGCCGACCTGTCCAGAAGGCGGCTGCCAGAACTCTGGCTGCTTGAAGGTTGCTCATTACCTACGCGCTGCTTATTGCAGCTCACGCTCGGCACTGTACCCCCTTCCAGCTCCGTGCATAGCTAAAGGCTACTGTAGCAGCCCCCACGGCACCCCTCCTTCTCCCGCGAGAGGATGGCAAGGATTGCGAAAGCATTGCGAAGCGTTCCAGGGTTTGGAAATGTTTGGAAGCACTGCGGAGTCAGCGCTTTGAAACATGTTATAAGTTTTGTCTAAGGGCTTGGGCTGAAGCACCGGGGCCATCCGGGGCCCACATATGCAGACATGGTGTGTGTGTCTGTGTGTCTGTGTGTCTGTGTGTCTGTCTGTGTGTGTGTGTGTGTGTGTGTGTGTGTGTGCGTGTGCGCGTCTGCCTCAACCATGGAATCCAGATATCTCCCGCCGATGGCGTCAGCATGCGTCAGCATCTCCAAATCTTCCCAGGAGTCGTGCACCACGTCCTCCAAGAATGTCTGAATACTTTGGGGGTTCCAGGTCACAAAGCTCCTGATTTCAAAAGTTCACCCTTAAGACCCCGCAATTTGCTGTCTCAACATTCGAAGCATGAGATTGAAGAAGCGGTCCACCGAATGTCGCACCGCTGAAAGATGCGATGCCGAATGGACCAACAGGCCGTGAATCATGAACAGATCAAGAGAGTTCAAGAGGCATTGGTAGCATTTCCGCTTTTCGACATCGCCTTCGAAGGCTCTGTCGACAGGGAGCTCCAAGTCGTCACAAAGCAATGTCGCCTTGTTGTCAAAGGCAAGAACTGCAGACCTTCAGGGCACAACTCAGATTACGCGCGCTTAGGGGCATTCAGGTTGTTACTTTTTGGGGTTTCGTGGGCATGGAACCGTTCAAGCGCTTAAAATCGGCGTGTTTAGGGGGATTAGGCGGGTCTTCGGTTTTCGGAGGGCTGGGGGAGGCCGCTGATGCTCATGATGCGCGCTCCGCCTAAATTGGCTTCTCAGGCGAAATAGATGTAGAAAAAACGCGTGGTTAGCAGCATCTTTTCTTCGAAAACAGCGCGTGTTTATGATGTTTAGGGCCAGGGCGTCTGAGGTATAAGGCTTTAGTGTTTGCGGAGAAAAGCCTCAGTCTGGAGGTTCAGGTTCAGGGTTTCCAAACTGGGCAATTTGCTCTTGGCCATACTTTCCCTGTTCCCTGAACTTTTTGGTGCCCGATTCTTTTGGGCCGCAACGGAGCGACTGGTGCCCTTCACACGAAGACCCAGCAATAAAAAGGCGAGACGAGCTGCAGTGGCAGGCACCAGCTCTTGGAAAGCACCTTCTCTGGATTCCAACTTACCAACTTCACAAACCATGCTGGAAGCCAGACTTCCGTGCACGCGCATGTCTGCAGGCAGCCCCAAGCAATTCGCGACCGTTTGGGCTGAACCATGATGCCACGACCTTTTTCACCCAAGGTATGCATAATGCTAACTTTACAACTTCTATAACCAAGGTTTTAAAGAACCCAAAAGGCCTCAGGCCACCACCACGTCATCATCGTGCACGTGAGTTGCCTTGGACTGCGTTTGTCTATCCACCTGCGTAAAGTGACACGCCGATTGAAATGTGAGCAACAAGAAGTGTGCAGGGGTTCGTTGAATGGCCAATAGGAGCTGAGATTGGCGCTGGATCGCAGCAATAACTATACCATCCATATGTCCAATAGTCCGCAGCATCCTTGACCTGAGAGCTGTTGTGCGAAAGCATCTTCGATTTGTTCTGGCAGACCTGCAGTACAGTATAAAGTCTAAGGAATCATTTACAGTATATATAGTATATAATGTTTATTGCGGATAGTTTCATTTGGAAAAGCTTTAATATACTGTACTCAGACTGTGCTGCATAAGTGCGCGACCCAGGATGTCAGAATTTGCTCGATGTGACGCTGCTTCTGCCAATCATGTGTCATCATGTGCGCTGGCAGATTTCAAGAGTAGACCGCGAAGAGTCAAGACAACAAGGAAGTCCTGCTGTTGCTGGGGCCGCTTCTGGCGCAAAGAGTCCAGATAGGCCTCTAATTCTTCTATGGTGAAGGCGTCGAGGTCGAGCCTGCCCATACTGCAGCACGGTATCAAAACATGCATCACAGGAACACCAATTTCCACTGGGAGCCCAGACTTGAGTGACGCAGGCTGCAAACTCTTGCCCGTAGTATGGCCTGCTTTTAAAAAATCACCCACTTTGCTGGAGAATTCGCTTGTACAAGCAATTACACGCGCTTAAGGACAGAGCATGAAGTGGAACGACTATTGGATGTACCAGGCGATCACTGACCACTGCTTGGCATCCCTTCAGTTGATGGTGAGAGGCTTGATCGATGCTCACGCAGCAATTGGAGAGATGGCTCCCGCGGCGAAAACGATGACATGTCGCACACAGCCCTTCCAGAGTGCTTCTTGGACACGTGTGCGTGATGTACGTGTTTTCCAAGGTAATTTGGCTCCCAACTCTGCAACCTGCATTTTCCAGCTCCGAATATAAAGCTCCACGTTGGCTGCAAAAATGGTCGAGGTCGTGGCGGAAGGAATCCCCAAATGGCTCCGGTCCGAGTCGGGTCCCGTAGTTCTGACATCATACAGGACTTGCAAAGAAAAACAGAACGAATCCTGCAAGCTCGGCCTTCCTTGAGCAAGCGACACCTCTGAGCATGGGTATGCTCTTCTGCGTGCCGACTGCCTTCAGCTCCCTGGCACTTGCGCAGGCACTTGGGAACAAGGTTGAGTGTCTCCTCTGCCCGGAATACCGCAGCCGATTTTCGGCACGGCGGTCCATGATGAACCTGAAGACACGTCAAATATCCCCCAGTCAATGTCAATGAATGTCAATCAAGGGTTTTCGAGCACACAGTTCGTTTTTGTTTCACTGTTTTTCTCCTATGTCTAGCTAAGGTGAGGGCAATGTGCGATCACCTTTCGGATGCCCTGTCCACACCTGCACGAACGAACCGGACTCGTAACAGGCATGTCGAAGACTCTTGAGCAAACCGGCACTGTTCCAAAAGAGACCTCACCTGAGAAATGACTTTGCCAGGCTGGTTCTCCTCCACAAGCCATATGATGTCAACGCCCACACACAAACACAAACAAAACACACACGGAGAGAAACGCACACAGACACGGACCCCCCCCTGGGTTGAACATATGCCACATTTGTGAGTGGGACTCGCTCTACAGTATGTCGCTGCGTCCCTCTTGCACTCCATGTGTGCGCGCGCGGGTGCGCACGCGCTTGTTTGAGTGCGTGTGTGCGTGCATGGCCGCGGGTGAGCGTGACTGGTGCGTGCATTCGTGTGCGGCTCTTTGTGTGCGTGCGTGCGTGCCCGGCTGGGCGCGTGCGCGGTGCGTGTGCGCGTGCACGTGCGCAGTGCGTGCAGTGCCTGCTTGCTTGCCTGTCTCCCGGCCTGACTGCCTGCCTGCGTTCGCGTGCGCCCAATGCCGAATGACGCGCTACTTGCTTCATCGAAAATGCCTGAGAATGTGAAGCTCCCGGCCTCAATGTGTGGGGGAATCGTCACTGTCCCGATGGAGCTGCGCCGCAGGTGGACATACCTGGGCCTCACAGTTCTCTTTTCGACATCACAACTCGCAAATCAGAGAACGCGCGGCGTCTTTGGAGCCCTGGCCCTGGCTCTTCCATGGCACGCTTGAGGAACGTCTGCTCCTGCTGTCAATGAGCAAAAATCATGTTCCATGGAGCCGTCTCTGAAATACTGAACTGCTGCACATGGTTTCCGTCAAGCCCTCGCGATTGCATAAGAGAGCAAAGATTCCGTGCACCTTTCGCTGTCTCAATTGAAGGATTTCCGAAGGAACTTGCCAAGAAATAAGAAGGACAACTCAAAAGGGCCTACCGAAGAACTTTCCAAGGGACGTTCTCTAAAGGACTACGTAGCCCATTGAATCCATTGGACTGCAGACCAGCCTAAACGCTGAGTAAACATAGATTCAAAACTGTTCTCCCTCAGCTGCGAAACAGCTTGACAAAAGTTGATAAACGTCCTTGTTTAAAAGGTCTTTGTAGATCAAAGCATCCACAGGCGGCCGCTCTTCTCACACTTTTCCATCAGCGAACACTCTAAGCTCGCGGGTACCTTGGGGGACCTCGACACACAACGCCGACGGTCATACATTATCTTCAGCTTGTGCATGGAGCTTTCCTGTACACATCCGGAATCTGCTGCAAGTTTTCTCACATCCGGGGGTTAACATGCACAAGCATCTATGACTTCTTAAAAGTCACAGACTTCACTGCTTCATCTTCAACCAAAACAAACATGCCCTCCTTAAGAACCTTACGAAACAAGTTCATCGGTGCCCCCTTCTTTGTCAAGACGTCAACGATCATCTGGTGAGTCGCCATCCATCGAAGCGATATGTTGTATTTGCCGATGTCTTTCTTCAGCAACAACATTTCGATCGCCATCCGCTTGTCCTTTAAGGAAACTGTTGAGCTTCGAGCATGATCGTACACCGGTTTACAGTCTATCACTGCGGTGATTGGCACGTTGTGGCTCCACTTTGCATCATCTTCCAAACGGTAACTGCTATGCACAGCCTCGCACCACATTGAACGTACCCATCTGGCTTCAGCTAGCCCTCTCGATAAGGCCAGCAATTCTGCACCCAGTGTCGAATGCGTTTGCCGATCCTGCTTGAAGCTCTTCCATCGTAAGATGGAAAACGTTCCCCATTTGCCCTGCGCCAACCGCTCATCGCAGCCAGCAATCATGTAGCCAGCTTGGCTGCAATATCCTGCAGCGTTGGCCCATGCTGCATCCGTAAGAACACAGAACTGCACATCCGCTATCGGAATGGATCTAATCCATACGTAGGACCTGCTGTAGTCTCGAGCAAGGCTCACCAACTTGTTCACTTCTATGAGATCACTCACGCAAGCAGTGTTCACCTTCTGTTGCAACAGCGAACACCAAGCAGCAAGATCAGGCCTGCTACTAGTAACAAGCCAATTGATCCCTCCTAATGCACCACGCATTTCCTGTCTCTCGGCATCACTCAGCTCTTGTTCCTTCTGTCTTCTTCTTTCTTGACTAATGGAGATGCCCTTCAGGTTTGACGCGTAATGTTCTTGTGAGATCTTGATGGTACCGTCAGGTTGCTGCTCAATCCACTTTCCCAGGAACTCACCCTTTCCGGTTTTCCAATGTTTAAAAGGAAACAGCTCACGAAGTTTGACTTGCACCTGCTGTTGGAAGTGTTTGTCTCCGCCCATACACAGGTCATCAACATGAAGAGCTATCACGCCACTGATTCTGTTGTTGTGATAGTAGTAATAGACACAGGGATCAAACTCTGAAACACGCATGCCTAGTCCGGTTAACTTGCCATGCAGACATGTCCACCAAGCCTTTGGAGCGTCAGCCAGGCCGTACACTGTTTTAACGGCCTCGACGAGGCACGTTTCATCGTACCCTTCGATCCCTCCCGGCGGTAACTCTTTGTCCAGACGACCTCGGCTCGGACTCAAGTCGTCTCCTCGCAAGAAGGCTCCTTCCACATCAGCAATGGTCACCTGCCAGCCTTGGCTGGCCATTAACTGCATCGCTACTGAGAAACCTTCCGAGGATAGGGTGGGTGCACAAGTGTCCAACTCCAACAGATCAGGATCAAGATAACCACGGATACACCATCTGGCCTTAATGTCATTGGTCTGTGGACTGCTGCCAGCCTCGGCCTCGGTGAGTACAAACCTCGACTTCAACAAACGCCTCCGTGGGATTGTGCTTCGCAGCTCCTGTGCCTTCTTTCCACGATGAACCACTATTGCACCGCTCTGCAACAGCTTATTCCACTCCTTCAACTTGGCTTGGCACAACCCAGACCTCCTATCCTTTCCAATTTCATGCTCATTCAACTCCTTCCTTCCTTTCTTCACGCTTCCAACCTCAAAACACTCATCCTCACGCTTGCTCCACTTCCAGCCTGGCTTGAGCTGAAAGATGGTTTTACCTGTCCACCTGGCGTTTGGCTTCCTCGACAAGACTCCCTTTTTCCACTCATGCTCCACAACATGCTCGTTGCCCTTGCGGTCATACTGTATCGCCTGGCACACAGGTTCAATGTCTGATGCTCTTATGGGCAAGTCCTCGGCACGCAGCTGCAAGCACGCATCACGCTCATCAACATGCACACGCACAAGCTGCGACCGACCATGATCCACAATCCAGCGGTCTGGACCGCTTGACAAGGTCACTTCAAGCTCCTCATCTGTCTCATCAGGCACTGGCACCGACTCGGGTGCACGGCCCAACTGTGAAGAACTTGCCGCTTGTGACGGCAATCCATCGAGCAACTGCGGATCAAGCCTGAGAGCCTGACTCAAGGGAGTGATTCCTCCTGGTTCTAGATCAACCCGTTGCCTCTTTGTTGGAGACCCACCGGCTCCTTCCTCACTTCTCGGGTCATCACTTCTCACAACAGCTGCCGCAGGCAGCTCAGCAGTAGCTGCTTGCTGCATTCCCACGTCTTCCTCTTCGCCTTCCAACATATTGTGGGCAACTTGTTCAACTCGCTGGCTCTCACGCGCAATTTCACCAACACGCTCCACAGCCTCTGACTCCGGCGGCTTGTCAAGCATGCTCAAATCATAGAAATTGCCAGCACCACGAGCACTTACTTCATGTCGCATCATGACCATATCAGCTGGTAACAGCCTAATTGTTGCTTCCTGCTCTGGCGACAACCTTCTCAACTGCTCCGGACAACATCTGTACACCTTCGTGCCTTTGGCAACCCACACCTTCGACTGACCACTTTTACCAATCACCACAGCAGGACCATGCCAATGACACTTTGACTCGAACCGACTCTTACGCCAGAAATACACCATCTGCCCTGCCTCGAAGGGACCACGCTCTGGCCTTGTCCGATGCTCCAGGGCTTTCCTGATCTTTTGTTCTGAATCTGCATCAACAAAGGCTCTGCGAGCTGCCTTCCTCAACTCCATGCGCCTTTCAAAGACACTCTCGCCCTCAACCAAGGACGAGTTCACCACAGGGTCGTAGTCGGTAGTAATCATACCCGGAATTCTAATGTCTCTACCGAACACATGCTGATAAGGAGAATAATTAACCTTCGACCCTAGACATGCTGTTCACGGCATTGTTCACCTGATCAACGAGTTCTTGAACCTCAGGTTTTTGACCTTGGCTGGGTTTCAAGGTGGGCCTTAGCGAACGCAGCTTTCCAAACTCCGCCCTTCCTTTCCGCCAGCCCGTTCTGCCACGGCGCGTACGCCGCTGACACATCGCCATAAGTCCCATCCAACGACAACCCGTGCTCAAACTCGCCTTCGAACTCTTTCCCGCCATCGCTGAAAAGCCTAACTGGCGCGCCCGCCCATCGCTTCCAGCTCTTACGGTACGCGTTCCTAACATGTTTGGCCTGCATGCCCTTCCACAGTGGAGTGCACAACTGAAAACCCGTAGCCTCATCAACAATGTTCAAGAAGTGTATCTTGGCATGCCTAACATCCAACTCAAAGGTATCAACACACACCTGTTGGTTGAACTCAGTAGCCTTGCGCATCTTGACAACTTTGTGGGATTTCGGGGCACTCAAAGCACTGCACGTCTCACACTCCAGCCCTTTTGCTAACTTGATCACTCTCTCGCTAGCATGTGCAGACTTCAACAACATGACCAAATGCGCAGCTGAAGGATGCCCAAGATTCTCATGACACTTCCGCAAAACACTCATGATCTTCCTGTCGCTGTCTTCTCCATTCACTCTGATATCGTCAATCGTGTAGACACAATGGGCAACCATCACCTCATGTCTCTCTCTGTTTCTCTCCATCACGGCAACAGCAATGTCCTTGCCGAACCACCTTTCATCATCTCTCCTGTGCACATGTGGCCATCCTGCCGTCATCCTTCCTTTCACTTTCCTGCAGTTCGTGTAAACAGTCGCATCACTTCCTTCGCCACCAATCTTCAACACCTCAACGCTGCTCTCTGACATGACTCTTGACCACGACTTGACACCGGACTTCAGACTGCCGTTCTCTTCAAACACGCAAAACATCCTACCTTCACACAACTGCTCAGCACAACATGCCGCAACTAAGCGAGTGAAGGCACACCTCTGACTAGTCGTGTAAGTCCTGCAAAGACCGCGGCTTCCGCGGGTACATGTCATGTGCTCTGGCGTCCGTATCACAACTAACAGAGGCTTGCATTGCTGAATCTTTTCCACGGCACTTTGCACAGTCTCCGCTGAGCGCATTGCCGAGGCACTCAAAACACCTTCGGAGAACATGTGGTCTACTGTAAGACCAGCTGCCGCGACAGTTGACAACTCTACTCCTGGTTCCAGGAGAAGCACCTCGGTCTCAGATGAGACCTCGAGCTCCCTTTCTTCAGGAATCTTACAATTCTGAATGCCGCGCCTACACAGCTGCTTTTCGCTCTTACTCATAGCCGTAAGACCACATACTTCATCATCATCTAGTCCTGGTCCTCGTCGTTCAGGCGCTCCAGCTCGTGCTGCATCATCTCGATCTGCTGCAAAAGCCTCTGGCGACGCCGCTCCGCAGGCGTCGGCTCCGGCTGCTCTACATTGGCCGCCAAGATCCACTCGTGCTCCTCTGTATCCAGCCCTCTGCGAGCTTGAGCTGCTCGGCACTGCTGTCCTCGACTTTGCCTTGGCCTTCGCCTTTGCTTGCAGAGGCATCACACTCGGAGGCGCCACCGGTCGTGTACCGTTGATGATCCGGCTCGATTTGCGCTGGTCCCTCAGCGCAATATACAGCCTGAACTGTGCCATGGTGGGGTGCGTCGTCTTGCCCGTCTCCTGCTTGCCGCCCTTCACAAACTTCCTCACCCATGCCACGTAGCCCTTGTCGTGAACATAGGCCGCCTCGAAGCTGGTGGCAGCCATCTTTTGATACTTCCCCACATTGAAGATCGTCCTGCCGCTTAGCCCTTGCACGAGCCCGTCTGGCGCGTCTTCTTCGTGATCTGACATCTGGTCCAACGTCTGGGCAGACATCTCGTTCGGCCCTTCCTCGAGCTGTGGCTGCACTTCCTGCAGCAAGCTGTCGATCAGCGGTGTCCTGACAAAGGGCTGCTGCATCTCCATCGGCACATCGTTGTTGAGGTAGCTCATGGTGTCCGAACAGTGCCTTTGGAGGGTCTACTGGAGCTTCCTTAGAACCAAAACTCTCTGTGGCATTCACGTCATGCGTCTTGGCTTCCGTGTTCTCTGTCACTCCAGACTTGGGCACAACACCGATACCCTCGAACAAGGGAATAGCATAGTGTCCCCGCTCAGTTTCACGTAACTTCATCTTGACACCGCACCTCCGAACTACTAACTCATCATGTTCCATATCCAAAGTAGCCTTCAAACCCCTAAGAAGTTCCTTGGACAGAAGCAGTGGAGTCCATGATCCACTCCCCGGTAGAACAGCTGCTTTTATAGCAAGCCGCTTTTCCCCTAATTGTACTGGAATGATCGCAGCCTTGGTGGTCCTAAGCATCCCCGCGTTCCCAAACTTGAACTCATGACACTCATCAACTAATCTCACCCTAAGGCCTTCCTTCTCCAGTACTTCAGACATGCGACTCAGGACACTCTCACCAATAAGAGTACGCCTACACGCAGTATCTGGAACCCCATGAGTCGCAAGATCCGCCATATATGCCTCGCTGGATGCAGACTGATCCTGCTCTGTCTTGAAAAACTGAAAGATTCTCTGCTCAAGATCCCCCGTCACTACGTTGTCTCCCTGTACATTCGGATCAGCGAGCACTACATCGACTCTGCCATCTTGCTCAGCTAAGTAGATCTCCAGCTGGTCGATGTCTTCCTCCTGCAAGAAGAGCTCCTGTCCCAGTTCGTACGAACCAGGATCGCCGCCTTGATCGGTGACCATTGCGTCGCTGGCGTGGCTTGACCTCGCACCGGTTGCAGCTCCAACCTTCTTCTTTGGACATTCACGCTTCCAGTGCCCGTACTCATTGCATATGTGGCAACGACTGCGTGACTTCATCTGCTCGATCTTCCCACGCACCGTTCCTGTCAATGTCCACTTCGAAGAAGACTGTGGGGGCTGCTTGTAACCACGGCCCATTTTCTTGGCTTGCATCTTCCGTCGGATGTCTTGGTACGTCTCGTAGACTTCAATGGCGTCCTCCTCGTCATACTCGTCCTGTGCTTGCAGCTGATCTGCAACTGCTTGAAACACATCTTCTCCTTCGTCGCCATCTGGATCCACGATCTCGTCACCTGCATCACCGTGTGCTTCAAAGACTTCCCGGCTCTTGTGCCCACCAGTCTTTGCAACACCTTGAGGGAAGATAGCCGTGATGGCCGCCGTCACCTCCTTGTACATCAAAGACCCCTTGGTGTGGGTGAGGACCATCGCCTCAGCCGTTGGATCCAATTGAAGCTTCCGTAAAAGAAACCACCCTCTCACTTCCTCCGGCAGCTCCACCGAATGTTCCTTCAACCTGGCATATGCCGTTTCCAGCCGAACTGTCAAGTTGCGAAACGACTCTTGAGCTCGGATATGCGTGCCGAAGAAGTACTCCGTCAGGTGCTTATGCAAGGCGTCCTTCTGCAACTCCTTGTACTTTGCGTCCAGCGCCTCGAAGACCAAGTCGTGGCCTCCTTCTTTTACTAGCTTCTCTATTGGCAGTGCCTCGCAGACTTCCTCGGCTTCTCCCGCCAAGTACTCCATCAACTTTGCACCCCAACGGTCCTTGGTGTAAGTCGTCGGCAAAGCCATAAGCATGAGCATGGCCTTGCGTCTCCACTTCTTGTACGTCGATGGCTGTGTGCCGTCAAACCTTTCCAGCTTAGGTCGCTCCTCCTCCTTACCTGCACCGCTCATGGTCCTTTCTGACTCCAAAGCAGAGACCGTGCGCTTCTCGACTGCCCGCAATGCTAGCAGCCGTCACAGCGCTCCGCTACCACCTGTAGATCAAAGCATCCACAGGCGGCCGCTCTTCTCACACTTTTCCATCAGCGAACACTCTAAGCTCGCGGGTACCTTGGGGGACCTCGACACACAACGCCGACGGTCATACATTATCTTCAGCTTGTGCATGGAGCTTTCCTGTACACATCCGGAATCTGCTGCAAGTTTTCTCAGTCTTGAAAAGTCTAGCTCTGGCAGGAGAAGCCATTGCAAAGCACATCCTCGACCACATCGAGCGAGATTTCAGCAAAGTACCTGTCAATCCAACGCAACCTTTGCGACTTGCTGCTGGCGCGCATGACACAAGCAGCACTCGCTCACTTGGCAAAAAGCTCATCTCCGCCCTCCGATGGAATGGCCCTGAAGGCTAATCGCACAACATCATTTTCGATCTACAGCCAACTTTCGCCAGCTCATCAACAAGTCCCTGGCACTGCTGTTTTCGCCATCGCCAATGAAGCTTGCTTTGTTTCCCTACGCCAACGATCTACTACGCAAAAGAAACCTTCGACAACATTCCATCAGCACAACATCTGATACGTGTTGCTCGGTGTTGGCAACAACTGATAACATGCCTACCCTGTCAACATGCTTGAACAAGCAGAAACTTGCAGCGAGACGTCAAGCAAAAACATTAAACATGGAGTAGGTTGGGTGTCGGCAGGCTGCGCACCATTGTGCTGCACGATGTTCTCACTTCGGGTGAAAAACTCTTTCGCTGCACTGAGTCCTTATTCGTTCAGTCCATAGGATTTCTGTTGGCTTTCTCCCTGCAGATCCACCAGGGGACTTCCCGATTGCTTTTCCCGAAATGCTCATACGAGTAGCACGCTGCACCAAATGAAAATACCAAGACATTCACGGGACCTCTGTCCAAGAGCATGTATCCATCAGGCAAGCATTCATGACCATCCCAGTGATGGGGATCATCTTTCTTCGGGATTGTCATTGCCATGCTCAAAGAAGTTAACCCCACGACTTTCAAACTACCCTGACTTTTGTAATCGTGCTATACGACACGCTCGGGACCAGGGTTGCAATGCTGGAGCAAGTGATCGTGTTCCAGATGCCCTTTCGCTCTGGTGCCAGCGACTGCCCACCGGACAGGTTCGCTGTTTCTCGTCTAGTTTCCCTCAGGGTGTTTTTTTGGGGTGCACACGGGCACCCAGAGAAGGTCTCAAGTTCTCAGCAATACTGCCGGGTCGTCAGGTCGTGGCTTGGTGATTGCTTAGCTGCAGGGCTCGATGACTGCTGCATGATGGCTGCATGCGGCCAGTGTCAGGAGACAAAAGTGGAGATGGACAGGAGAGGGACAGGGAGAGAGAGAGAGAGAGAGAGAGAGAGAGAGAGAGAGAGCGAGATGGAGAGAGAGAGAGAGAGAGGGAGAGAGAGGGAGAGGGACAGAGAATGAGAGAGAGAGAGAGAGAGATAGAGATGTTGCTGACATGCCATGATGCTCTTATCTGATGCGGACTACACGACCCTCAGCGCTTGACAAACACGAACGTTACAGGGGCCCGGGAAAGTCGACCGTTATTTCTGGGGAGAGGTGAAACCCCAGTGAACGCAAAGGATCCAGGAAGTTGACGAAGTCGACCGCGGGATCCGTTCCCCCAAGTGAACGCATGGATGTTACAGCTATGAAAAACAGCTAAACCCAGTACAGTTGTATCGCAATCCCCAAGGAACGCTTGGGCTCAACATGCCTGAAAACATCGTCCAAAATGGTTGGCAGCGGCCCTTTCCCGCATTCAAACGCAGGATTACGGACGTCACGGCTAAGTCCTTGCTTCGGGCTATTTCCCATTGAACGCTGGCATGTAGACTGGCTGCACGGACTTAGAAACGCTCCGCTGCCCAAACCTAAATCCCTAGAAATACCTCTAACTCTAAACCCCTAAGTCCCTAAACCCGTAAAACCTTAAACCCTTAAGCCCTAAACCCTATAAGCCCTATACTTTAAATCCCCAAAGCCCTGACCTGGGAAGCTCCCACACCCGAACATCGCGTACCGAGTTTTGATCTTTGGAGCCTCCCACACCCGAACATCGCGTACCGAGTTTTGATCTTTGGAGCCTCCCACACCCGAACATCGCGTACCGAGTTTTGATCTTTGGAGCCTCCCACACCCGAACATCGCGCATCGAGTTTTGATCTTTGGAGCCTCCCACATCCGAACATCGCGTACCGAGTTTTGATCTTTGGAGCCTCCCACACCCGAACATCGCGTACCGAGTTTTGATCTTTGGAGCCTCCCACACCCGAACATCGCGTGCCGAGTCTTGATCTGTACATGTTTCCTCTTGGCTTTTGGTACTCCTTCTTCCCAGCTTCCATGCGTTGGCAAACGCAAGAAAACATGACAGAGACTTGCCTCGCCCACAGGAGATGCTCGCCGCACCGCCTATGATGTGCTGCCGCTATCTTGTCCGCTGTCACGTCTCGAGGCGAGCCAGTCTCTCAAACGACACGGTGGTAGACAAGGAGCTTAAAGGGGCAACACGCGCAACACAGCATGTGACATAAACGAACTGTCCGAAACCAGCCGGACAACGGTTTTTGCTCAGCCGGACAACTGTTTCTTTGCTCTGGCTTGCAAGCCAATAGAGATGGGCAACAGCCACATGGGGCCCTCTAGAGGATCTGCAAGTAGCACACCGGAAGCAACACATCAACACGCCTAAGCAGTGAGCTGACGCAAGATCACAGGCCCTCCTGCAGCTGTTGCGTCGACTGTACAATAGCCGCGCAAGCTGCCTATGCTGACACACATACGAACAACACCACCCTGAAATAGCGGCGGCCCTTCTTGATGGACCACTGTACCGATAGTCAAACGGTGACCAACAGCCGGAGAAGTACGCTCCACCGATTGGCGCAAGCGCACCCCGTCCAACATGCAGATCCAATCGCGAGATGCAGGAGGTGGCGCAGGCAATGCTGCAGGACTGATGCCTCAAAACACAACGCTTAAGAAGAACCACAACTCCAACATATGCAAAACCAGGCACCCGGCGCAGCAACGATGTCAACGATAGAAGCCGCCAACGGAAGAACAGACCCTCAATCAGCAAGAAGTCATGACTAGTAGGGCGAGTTGCCAGCATGCCAATGTCCTTTGTGTCCTGGGGTCCTTGCCATAAGCATGTTGGACAGCCAGGGAAGCCGGGCTCGCCCGGCAGAAGCCAAGTTATGTGCCTGCAGGAAACACTATTCACTATTCACATCGCAAGCCCGGCCACAGGGCCTACCGACTGAGCTTGAAACTGCCACAGAGAGCACGCCACCGTCATCCAGCAGTCGCGCGAGGTAGCCTAAATTCTTGGCCGCGGGAAGGCTCCAACTCAGGGAAATGCCGAATCAGAGACATAAGGCTACCAGAAATTCGGAACCAGCAGCATCCAAGCAAAGACGATCGTGACTATAAACACAGAGGAGGAGTAGGAGCATTAATGAAAGCAGTAGTGCGGGTCGTTGTAGCACAGTAGTAGCAATAATCGCTGCTGTTATTGTGGTAAGTGTCGAAGGTGCAGTGGGTGCAGCGTTAGTGTTGTGGACCACTATCGATATCGAGGCCACACCTGTTGGGTTGGAAATGGACAGCAAATACTAATTGGACACCGCATGACATATCCAACTGCTGTCGCCTTGCAGCCTTTTGTCTGCAATACTTCAACACGAATAATCAGCACGTACTAACTAACATCCCCGTGCAATCCCCATGTCACCAAACTGCAGTTACGCTGAACTTCCCTCCTCTAACCCGCAAACAAACATCCACCAGCGATCAAACCTCCAAAGCGTCGAAAAAGTCAAAGAAAACAAAAAGGTACCGTACCACACTCAGCAAAAAGGGTGCGCAATCAGAAAACAGGCGATATTCCCACCCTACATGAGATGGGAATGTCGTAGTGCGCTCCGCATGTTGCCAGCTGAGCCCTCGGCGGCCACTTTGTAAACCTCCTGCCACTGTTCCCTGAGATCCAGCGTAGATCATGGTGTCAACAAGTTCCACATCGGCGCCCACCAGAAAAATTCAAATAGTTTATGTCCAGGACCCACTGGGCATTACAACGCCCCATGACAACGCGCAAGCCTGGAACGGCATCGAAGTCTGCAGCGAACTTGTGTCGCGCAGGTCTGATGAAAGTCACTCGGGCCACACTTCTGCAGATTGGTGTACCAACGTCGTAGAACAAAAACGTGTAAGTGCTAGCCGACCCCTGCGTGTGAAATTCTGTGAAGCGCATGCGGCCGGTTGCCTTTGTCAGCCCAGTTGGCTACGCGTAGCTCCTGCTGCTGTGCTTCTTCCTCAGCCACTGCTGCGTGTAAGCTGGCCACGCCTGACATGTTTCATTCCTCTGCGCACTCCTCGACAGATACGCGCAAGCGGCCTTGTGGAATTCGTTCAGCAGCGTGCGGCTCAACTGCAAGACCCGTCGGGCCTCTCGGTCCTGCGCACAAGCGCGAGAACATCCTCGCACTTTTATAACCTTTATGGACACCGGACTCCTTGAGGCAGCACAGCGCAAGCAGCCTGCAGTTCAAAGGGGCAGCTGCGGGAAATCCCGAGCAAGGCCGTTCACAACAGCGCTGAAATACATCAACACTATGCCAAACGTTTTTGGCACGCTGGCACGAGTGCGGTGTCGTGATGCACATCTGCGTGCTGCCAAAGCTGCGGCGCAGGTGTAACTTCGAACACCTGCAAAGCAATACCAGCTCAGCTTAAGTGCAGCTCAGTGAACTGCAAGTGTCAAAACACTATAGTCGTAATGCTAAACATCGCCTTTGCGAAAGACTCATCCGGGTGCGCGGACTTGACGACCTCCGGGTGGTTCTTGCAAGCTTGCTGAGTCTTGCCGACTCCTTCTGTCGCTAATTTTCAATCTGAACATTTAGAATTAGGATCCTATGCATTTCCCTTTAGAAAAAGTCAGGGCTCCATTCATTTCCCGATTAACGATTAGGATCCAATTCACCTCCAAGGTTATTACGAACCCGGAGCGCGGTCTAGAGAAGGTTTTTGCAACTCTTTGCAGCGACATGTTCGGGACCTTCCGGAGCCACAGCACGCGAAGCCCAGCACAATCACACACGGCTTCGGGTCCTTGGAACCCGAAACTTTTTTTGGTAGGCGATTGTTCAACAAACCACATATTTGATTCCGTGGTATCCGAAGGTAAGAAACCAGGGAGTTAAGAAATCCCAGATGTACTCTTTTTTCACTTTCTGGGTTCTCGGTTCCCTTGCAAAACACCCAGGCAAAAGGCCTGCCTTTATGCCAGAACGGTTTCTGGGTGACCTGGCTAGGCCCTCAACCTACAACCTAAGTAACCCAAGCCGTATGGACCCCTACAATGTTTAGGGTGCCTAGACCCTAAACCATAAACCCCTATAAACCCCTACACCCTGAACCCATTTTGAACACAAAACCTCCCAGGGCTTCGGGGCTTTTGGGCTTGTTTCTGTACGCAGCGGGACGCCGCACATCAAGGCTTGTGGCAGAAGCAAAGCACCTAGATGCTCAAACCAAGAAAGCCGAAACCCGAAATGTGTCAATCGACAGGCTCCATTGGGCCAAGGCCTCTTCTTGCTTCTTTCTCTCATCCTCTTCACGCAGTTGCTGCTCCTCGTCACTGTCACCCAAAACCGAAACCCCCCAAAGCCGAAAAAAACACCAAAATCTCGCTTGGAGGGAACTGGGTGACCAAAAGCTCCTGAGACATGGGCAGCTTCGTGTTGACCAGGGTCCCCAAACTGTCCCAAATAACTATGCTTCTGTTTTGCATGTTTCGGGCTTGGGACTGAGGAATATAGCAGAGCCATCTCGTTCTCCTCTTCCATCTCCTTCTTCCTGCAGGCTTCCTGCGCAGTTTGTGACAAACGGCTTAAAGGGCGTCGGATGTAGGAATTGGAGGTCGACTTTTGGCGAACCATGAACTTTGCAAGAGGGCAGCCGCCTGACTCGAGTACAGCAGCAAGCCTCTGAATCCCACAACGAAGCCCCTGACTACGAATGGCAAATCCGCGCCGAGCGCAACGTCTCCGTACATTGATGGCAGATGCTGGGTGCGGGATGCTGAGCACGGGGTTCAGTGATGCAGGCTCCTCAATCAGCGAGGCATCCTCCATGTGCGTTTCGGCGTCAGTGTCAGAGTCAACGCTAGAGCCTCTACAGTCTCCAGAGCCTGCAAGGAACGCCCCGCACTCTCAATGATCAGCTCCAGGGCTTGGAAGATTCCAGCGCTCAATTCGGTCAGGTGCAGGGAATGGCTTACCCGTGAGCCCGAGCTAGTCAAGCTAGTTTCTCACGATGCGAAAAGATGACAGCATGAGAACTGACAAAACAATATGCATCCCGGCATCCCCAAAGCATATCTCGAACATCTGGTGAGACCCCAAGATGGACTTTCAGCAGCGCCGGAGGCCTCCAGCTTCTTCCGTGTCCTTCTTCTCCATTTCTGGCTGCCCATTGTCCGGCGAAGTGTCGGGCCCCGGGGCCACGTCCTCATATTCTCCGAACTACGGAATTTTTAGTATTTTTGCTTCATTGAGGGGTGTGTGAGGGCTTCATGGGTGGAAAAAAGGGGGCACTGAGGGCAGCAATTGTCCTGGGGAAGTTCTCTACATTGCGGTTCCTTGCGGAGCCCGGAACCTAGAACCAACAAAGGGCTTCAACGGGTACCCTTGGGCTGACTTGGGCTACCAAGTTTCAAAGGTCAGGTCGGAATGCCTGAATTCCGCAAACGCAGCAGACGTAAGGTGCACGTCGTGGCCGACCATTAAAATAACCGCTTAAAGAGAACACGGGGCCATTCCTTATCAGGAAAGACCTGCGGGGCTCAGCACCCTACGACGTCCTACGCCCCCAGATTCTGCTACCAGAAATAAGGGGATAACAGGGGGCGGGGGGGGGGGCGGGGCCCTTAGGCCTTTCCAAAACCGCCTCTGACCCTAAAAAAACTTGAGCCCGCCTCCTCTGCTTGCATTGCTTGCCGCTCGGCTTCCTCTTTTTCCTGGTCCGCCCACTTTAGAATCTGAAGGTCTTGAGTTCGAAGCCCAGTATATAAGTCCCATTTGCAACGGATCGCGCGTCGCTTAGCCAACCTCGAACACGATCACTTGGCAAATCGAGAAACGGCGATCACTTAGCCAACTTTTAAGGGTCACTTGGCCAACTCTGGGTTTGAGGTTCTGGGTTTCTTTAAGGTTCAAGTTTCGGCCTTTTTAGGATTTAGGGTTTCCTTTTAGGATTAAGGGCTTCCCTTACCTTTTAGGGTTGAGGGTTTCCTTTTAGGGTTTAGGGTTTCGGGGGTTAGGGTTTCCTGTTCGGATTGAGGGTTTCCTTTCAGGGTTTAGGCTTTCTCTTACCTTTTAGGGTTTAGGGGGTTAGGGTTTCCTGTTCGGGATTAGGGTTTCCTTTCAGGGTTTAGGCCTTTTAGGGTTTGGGGGGTTTGGAATTCCTTTTAGGGTTTAGGGTTTCCCTTCCCTTTTGGGCTTTGGGGTGTTAGGGTTTCCTTTCGTTTAGGGCTTAGGGTTTAGGGTCTCCTTTTAGACTTTCGGGTTTCCCTTACCTTTTAGGGTTTGGGGGGTTAGGGTTTAGGGTTTCCGTTTAGGGGTTAGGGTTTGGTCTTTTCTACTGGCCCTTTAATATTATGGAAAGAAGCGTCTGCAGCCCACAAAAGTATTATCAAAATTATGGCCGCCAGTGTGGTTTCTTTCGCTTCAGAAAAGCATTCACGCGTCCTTTCACACCTTGTAATGCTTTATATTCGAAGCGAAGAAGAGCACATAAGAGCACACAAACGCACGGGCAAACTATAAAACAATATAAGGCCTTTTGGCGATTATGCTTAGTATAAATTACTAGCCCGTGTGAACCTGTCCAAGAAGAGCACCAGTCTAAGCCTGAGAAACCAGTTCATGAGGAGTTCTGTCTGGTGTGGAAAGGGTGTCATTAGAGTTCCTGTCACGTAGAAAGACTCATGATGGTACGGTTTCTAAGTATAAAGTCTCATTCACTATCTTATGTCTCATTCACACGGTTGAGTGACTTGATGAACGGTTACAGTCTTATAAGGCTGTAACTATATTGTGAATGGTACGTGTGAAGGGGTGAAAGGGCCGTTCGTGAGTCTTTTTATTGGCCCTTTCACACTTCCTTCACACCTAAACTCTCATATCTTTTCCTCTGTCTCTAGGAGTTAATCTGTTGAGTCGTGAAGGTAACAGCCAGGCGAACACACCATTAACACGGTACCTTTCATCTATCTCTTGTACCTTGTTATGCTGTTACCGCCTGTATGAATGAGCCGTATAATATAGTTACAGCCTTAGAATACTGTAGCCGTTCATAATGTAGCTCCCGTATGAATGAACAGTAACAACACCTTGATTTCCTGAATGGTCGCTTGACGCTGGATTCGTTCATCATATTGTGCTCACCAAGTTAGGCTTATTCCAACGGTACAGTAATAACAACCCTTAATTTACAATAACTTTTTCTTTTCTTGAGCGGGTTTTTATCAATAATTTTGGATAGCAAGAAAGCCCGCATGAAGAGATAAAAAACATGCACAACACGGGCTTACTGTAATCTTAAAGCGTGCCCGTGTGAACACAACACCAAATCACTTATACAAATCCTGCGTTCGTGTGTTAATGGAGCTCACTCGTGCTCAGTTCGTTCACTAATTAATTCACTCACTTCACACTTTATTCCTTGATTTCCAAGAGCTCTCGTTCACCAAGTTTTGTGTGTTCACTCGCCTGTATTTTATTATCTTTATCGCGAATGAAATGAATACACGTGTGCGACACCATTGAAAATAGGGGATAGGGCCATAGGGCGGCGGTTACAATGTGCTCATTAGTTCTTACTTCTGTCTCCATCCTATTATTGGTTTGCCTTTGCTCTCTTGGGACCTTACAAGCAATCTCTGGTGCACCTATTCAACCTTCTGGATACCTTCATTGCTCCCTCTCCAGCGGTTAAAAGCCTGTTATTTTTAAGAGAGGAAGAAGTGCTGTGGGGAAATTCCAGGAGCTAGACCGCTGGCTTACTAATAACATAAGAGAGTGAAATGATGCGTGAGCGAATGAAACGAACGGGCGCTCACAAGTCCAGACATTATTACTGTTTCTCCCTTTACCTCCCATCATAAGAACTCCCCCGGCAGTAGAAACACTCCTTTTGTCCTTACCTTTCTCTTGAACAGGCTCATAGTGTGCTTGCGGTACGATCTGCATGGCGGACAAATCAGAATCAAGAAATTGCCCGGGAAAGAGCCCATTGTGAGGTTAACACATGAGTCCCAATGATTAGAAATGTGCTGTGATGTTGGTAAGGCAATAGACAAGAAGGCTGCCAACGGCTCCAAAAACAAGCGCGCCAAGCGACCATGAAGCAAACGTGCTAAGCGACTGGACAAAGTTGGCTAAGCGACTCCTCTACCTTTGCAACCAGGTCTCTTGCAGCCAGCCGGGGCAACCCTCTGTATAATATATATATATATATATATATATATATATATATATATGGTGCCCCCCCCCCATGGATCCACCTTTTTCGTGTGCTTCATGTACGCGCCGTCGACAACGTCGATACACAGTTGTTCTTCAAGGGCCCAGGGCAAGGGTTTGGGGGTTTAGGGATCTTCATTGAAAAACCTAACTGACAAAACCTAACTGAAAAAACCTACCTGAAAAACCTAACTGAAAAAAACCTAACTGAAAAAACCTAACTGAAAGAACCTAACTGAACCTAAAAAACCTAAATCTCGAGAGTCTTGTCATGGATATCTCGCTGAAGGACTTCCCGAGTTTAGGTTTTTTAGGTCAGTTAAGTTTTTTCAGTTAAGTTTGTTCAGTTAGGTTTTTCCGTTCGGCTCCGGGCACACTGTCTGAAGCTGTTTGAAGCCAAGTGCTCAGTTTACACATTCTCCGTTCTGTATTCTCGATCGGGCCATATGGATGCGGTGTTTGAGCGCGCGTCGTCGCTTCCCGACGAGATGATCGCCGAGATTTGAGACTTTACACGTCGCGTCTGAGTTCAGCTTGTTTACACGATGCTGATGCCCATAATGCTTCCCAGAAAGAGCACATATTCTAAAGTGAAAAACCTCAGAACCAAGCCGTGCCTACAGATCCTACAGAAAACGAACTGTTTGTCGGCTACCTACCCGATGGCACTTGTTCGCATCTTTAAAGCTTTGTTGTAATGTTTTTTCCTTATGCCACTTGTTCATGAAGCTTGTGCTTTATGTGCCAAACATGTTTACCAGGATCTCGAGTGCTTCGTGTTGGTGAGCGGTTTTTTTCTAAATGATGGTCTGTAAATATTGGCGAAATCACCAACGGGTATTCAACAAGATTCATGCAGGTATAGAACGTTTCTATAATCTATGGGTATCTATATGAAATTCTTTAAGATGTAAAGAAGGAGTATCGTGTAAGGTGTTCTATATGCTCTTGTTTTTGATTTCTTCATTGGGCACATAGCAGGTATAGCGCAGAGCATTCTGCTCCTGATTTTCCTCCCATTAACCTGTTATCTATAAAGTATTCTACAAGGCATTCTATGGTGCATTTTACGGGTATGTTATAGAAGGTTCCATAGGGTTATCTTTAGGACTTCCTCTGCGGTACTCAGAGGGTATCATAGACATTGTGTATATTCTGTAAGCTAGTCGGTAGGGGATTGCAGTTCTACAAGGCCTATAAAAGGCCTAGTATGTAACGTTGTTTCGGGCTTTCTATCGGGTACCCCATAACGCATTGTATAAGGGATTGTACAAGGCATCAACATGAACTATCTTATAGAACGCATTCTATAACCTAATGTATAGGCTATACGGCTATAGGGTACTCAAGAAGGTATATATGAGGTATATAGGGGGTATTCTATAACGTATTACCTAGGGTCACCTGCACGAAATTCTTTGAGGTTTGTGGTATTCTTTAGGTTATTCTCTTCGACTCCTGGATCACTCCTAGAAATCTCTTACCCAATAGGCTGCTTCTTTATGAGGGGTTCTCAGATCTTGGGCTCGTTGGAAGGTTATCTATAAGTATTCTTACTTCCCAAATACCTATGGGGGTGTACAAAGTTTAAACTTTCGCAATAAGATTACCTTATTAGGGGCCAAAAGTTGAAAAGTTTGGTTTTGAGCCACTAAGTGTTATATGGATTCAGGGTATAAATACTGTATACAAGGACTGTCATGTATAGGGCCATATGGGCATTCTGCAAGGTCTTCTATAGAGTATTCCAGAGTTTTCCATGAGGCGCACGACATATAGAGGGTACTATGTGTTCCATAAAGTATTTTGTAGGGTACTCTATGTCGTGTTCTGTAAGGTACTCTGGATATTCAAAAGATGTACGAGCTATGACTGAACGTATATGACAGGGTATTCTAGAGGCTCTAGGGTATTCAATAACGCATGAGGGTATTCTATATCAGTGCATTCCATATGAAAGGTTTCAAGATACATAGAAAAAGTAACCAACAGGACATCCTATAAAATATTCTATATAGTGTCTTGTATAGAGTGTCCTATAGGGTATGTGTAAAGTAATGCGTGCGGTGTTATATGTGTTCAAGGTATACATACTGTATACATGGACTGTCATATATAGGGCCATAGGGGCATTCTGTAAGGTCTTCTATAGAGTGTTCCAGACGGTTTTCCATGAGGCGTACGATATATAGAGGGTACTATGTGTTCCATAAGGTATTCTGTAAGGTATTCTATGTCGTATCCTGTAAGGTACTCTTGGATATTCAAAAGATATACGGGCTGTGACTGAAAGAAAATGAAAAGGTATTCCAGAGGCTCTAGGGTGTTCAATAAGGCATGAGGGTATTCTATATCAGTGCATTCCAGATGGAAAGGTTTCAAGATACATCGAGAAAGTATTCTACAAGACATCCTATAAGATATTCTATATAGTGTCTTGTATAGAGTGTCCTATAGGGTATGTGTAAAATAATGCGTGCGGGGTGTATCATATATAGGTGGTCTTGTATACGGTATGCGACAGGATATTCAAATGGATTTCTACAAGATATAAAGGTTATGAGAGTGGAATTTTTGCAAAGTATCCCAAAATGTAATCTAAAGGGTATTTTCTTGGTGAAATACAAGGTGTTGAACCCTGAAAGGTTCGCTAGATTTCGTGTTCACGGACATTGTCTGCGATCTCGATGCGTCTTATATATGGGAGGTGTAGAAATAGGGCCCTCTTTTCATATCTATACTTGTGATACTATGTTATATGGGATGATATATCTTTTCTCTCCTGTTGCGTGTTACCTTCAGAGCCCATACTGCTGCCTATACACACACAGAACATGCATGCAAGCCTGCGTTCTTTTGCAACACGAGAAGAAGCCGTACGCGAATGTATGTCGCTTGGAAAAACTCAGGGTGTATATGAAGGAAATGCAGAATGTAGGATCTGCGAAATCTTTGATGCAGTCGAAGCGTATTTAGTGAAGGACTTGTAAAGAGAAGGGAATACGTTATAGAATATCAGCTATTTCGCATCCGGCTCTCAAACACAAGAAGAAGGTGGATCCTTGAGGGGGGGTAGCAGGCATATATATATATATATATATATACAGATATAATATAAATATGTACATACATAATATTATATATATATATATATATATATATATATATATATATATATATAAAAAAATATATATATATATATATATATATATATATATATATATATATATAAAAAAATCTATATATATATATATATATATATATATATATGTATATATATAATATGATCTGTATACATATTTATACATATATGTATATGTGTACCCTAAACACCTTAGCGCCCCGCAGGTAGCGTCAGCAGCCAAGCCCCATTGCCTTGGAAGCCTTCAAGCAGACGTCCTCCAAAACCTGATTTGGATGCAACCCGAAAACCTAAACCCTCAACTACCAACCCTCACCCCTAAGCCGTCTAAACTCCAATCCCTGAATACCCCATATGGCCTAGAAACCGTATGTACCGCGCACCCTGGGGTCGGTGGCGGTGGTAGCAACGATGAAATGATCAATGATCACGGCAACAGCGCCCAATACTCCATCTAGTATCTCCATCTAGTACTCCATCATCTCCATCTAGCTCCTGCAGGTCGTTGGCATCCTCCGCATCCGCGATATCAAAGAACTCGCAGTTGAGATTTCGGCGCACAGCCTGGCCAGCACACCTCGGTCCGCGATAAACTTCCAGCAGCAAGGTCGGACTTAAGGGTGGCTAGCTTTCCACGTCATGGACTGGACCACGAGGTAGCATGCGGGCCCCATGAGTGTACCTACTGCTGAAGGTGTAAGTGCTGTCTCTGAACTCAGCTGAGCAGCCATCCTGGAGACAACGTCTCCTGAAGCTTCGGCTTCTTTCGAGCCAATTGTGGACTTTTGGACGAAGGTGTGAGAAAGCGCTTTCTCCTCACCTTACTCTGCATCTTCACACATGTAGCATCATAGCTTGGTTGTTCTGAATGAACTGCCAATGCTTCGGCCAACTGCTACATTTTCCCCTGGCCGCTGTACTAGTAGGTTTTCCTGGTGTGGAAAAGCAAGAGTGTGTGTGTGTGTGTGTGTGTGTGTGTGTTTTGTGTTTTGTGTGTGTGTGTGTTGTGCGTGTTGTGCGTGTTGTGTGTGTGTGTGTGAGTTGTGTGTGTGTGTGTGTGTTGTGCGTGTTGTGCGTGTTGTGTGTGTGTGTGTGTGTGTGAGTTGTGTGTGTGTGTGTGTGTTTTGTGAGAGTGTGTGTGTGTGTGTGTGTTTTGTATGTGTGTGTGTTGTGTGTGTCTTGTGTGTGTGTGTGTGTTTGTGTGTATGTTGTGTGTGTGTGTGTGTGTTGTGTTTGTGTGCGCGCTGTGCTTTGCTTGTGTATGCGCGTGTTGTGCGCTGTGGTGTGTGCTCTGGGTGTGCTCTCTGTGCGCGCGCGCGTGCGTGCGTGCGTGCGTGCGTGCGTGCGTGCGTGCGTGCGTGCGTGCGTGCGTGCGTGCGTGCGTGCGTGCGTGCCTGCGTGGGTGCGTGCGTGGGTGTGTGTGTGTGTGTGTGTGTGTGTGTGTGTGTGTGTGTGTGTGTGTGTGTGTGTGTTGTGTGTGTGTGTGAACCTCCCCAGCACATGGGAGCAGAGGGTCACTCCTTCACGATTGCAGGGGCATTGGGCACTCCTTGGCAGACCCAATGCAACGAAGCTATGCCATGGAGTGGGAAGCAGTTCAGGACGCTGAACTGTGTACCTGCAAGCTGGGCCCCCTGAGGCAGCAAGATGAGAAAAAAGCTGGCCCCCTGAGGCAGCAAGATTAGATAACAACATACAACATCCTCTCCTCTTCTCACTCTCTTAGCCGAATCAGTCAATCAGTCAGTGTGACTATCGTGGGTCCTGAGACTCCTGAGCAGCGGCTTTCCGTCATGGCGCCGTGGTGTCCCTCCGAAAGGGAAACCGGTGATGAACCGGATGTTCAGACTTTCGTTCAGACCGATCAGATCTCCCGATGCTCTTTATGATTACTTTCTCTCTCTCTCTGATGCTCGCATGCGAGTCTGACATGAGCGCAGGTGCAGTAACGGTCGGCTAATGCGGTAATTGCGGCTAGTGAGCAGGTGCTACCTCGCTAGTCTGTCCCCTATTCGATCGCTTCTTTATTCCTCAGGGAATGCAAGGGCATGAGTTTCTGACATGAGTGCAGATGCAGTAACATTCGTCTAATGCAAGTGGTTGCAGCTTCCTCCGGGAAGTAATCGGCCTCTCGCTTTTCTCTCCCCCTAACCCCGCACCGTAAGTTGAGGACCACGCAGGACGTGGTACCTCCCGTTCCATTGCTCCTGGGTGCTTTTCTGCACAGCTGGAGGATGGTCCGCCCCTCCTGGGTGTCTTTGCTACACAGCTGGAGGGTGGAGTTCCCTAATCCTGCTACTGGCCTTGGACCCTGCTCGGGTAGCTGGGCTGTAGTCACTCCGTTCCTGGGTCTTTGATGGCAGCTGGAAGGAGTGTCCTCACCCTAATCTCACCACCCTAATTACAACATACAACCACATGTGCAATACATTGGTCAGAAGCTGCTAGCCCTGGACCCCTTCGAGGGTAGCTGGGTAGCAGTCTTCTCTGTTAACCCTTATTACTGTTGCCTTTGGGGGACGTCGCGCCCAGCTGAGGAACAGTCCCTGGCTGGATCTGGGCCCTCGCAAGGGCAGCTGATCAGCCGTCCTTCCCCTCTGTCGCTTCTGGGGGCTTGCGTGCCCAGCTGAAGGACAGTCCTGAACCCTAACTTTAACGCCTCACCACAGCTTGGACTACCACAACATTGCTACATTCTGGACCACATCAACAAGCTTTGCAAACGGGCATTGCAGCCCAGAGGGTCTTGTGGTTTAGTTTGGGGTTCGTTTTAGGTCTTGGAGCCCTGGCGCGGTTTTATTCCACTGCACACAGTCGCCCCAAGGTGGGGCTGTGTGTGTGTGTGTGTGTGAACCTCCCTAGCACATGGGAGCAGAGGGTCACTCCTACACGATTGCAGGGGCATTGGGCACTCCATGGCAGACCCAATGCAACGAAGCTATGCCATGGAGTGGGAAGCAGTTCAGGACGCTGAACTGTGTACCTGCAAGCTGGGCCCCCTGAGGCAGCAAGATTAGAAAACGCTGGCCCCCTGAGGCAGCAAGATGAGAAAAAAGCTGGCCCCCTGAGGCAGCAAGATTAGATAACAACATACAACATCCTCTCCTCTTCTCACTCTCTTAGCCGAATCAGTCAATCAGTCAGTGTGCGTTGTGTGTGTGTGTGTGTGTGTGTTGTGTGCTGTGTGTGTGTGTGTTGTGTGTGTGTGTGTGTGTCGCGTGTTGTGCGTGTGCGTGTGTGTCCTGTGTGTGTGTGTGTGTTTGTGTGTGTGTGTGTGTGTGTTGCGTGTTGTGTGTATGTGCGCGTTGTGTGCGTGTGCTCTCTGTGCGCCCGCGGGTGTGTGTGTGTGTGTGTGTGTGTGTGTGCGTGTTGTGCGTGTTTTGTGTGTCTGTGTATCTTTTGTCTGTGTGAAACTACAGTCTCTCTTTTCCTCACATGAAGCGATGATCTGCTTTAGTAACTCAAGACTTTGCCCGTAAAGTGGCCGGGGTGCACTTTAGAGGAACTTTGAGAGTCCAGGCTGGCTGAGGTTGCATGATTGCTTTACAGTAGTTATTGCAATTACTGACCTCGTAATTTCGCAGTTTGTGTGTGGTTGTTTGTTTGTGGTGTTGTTTTGTGCTTGCGGCTGATTGTTTATGGTTGTTTTTGATTTGTGGTTGTGGTTGCTTGTTTGCGGTTGTGGCTGCTTGTTTGTGGCTGCGGTTGTTTGTTTGTAGATGTTTGTGTGTGTGTGTGTGTGCGCTTGCTTGCCTGATTGTTTGTTTGGGCCTGTGGTTGCTTGTTGTTTGTTTGATTGCTTGCTTGCTTGTGCGTTTGTTCGTGTGCTTGTGTGGTCGGTTAGTTAGTTGGTTGGTTGGTTGTTTGAGCGCTTGTTTGTGTGTGTGTGTGTTGCGCGTTGCGCGTTGCACGTTGTGTGTAGCGTGTGTTGTGTTGTCGGAAGGCGAAGAGGGGGCGGTGTTTCCATAATCCCTGAGTTGTGTTCTGATGCAACAAGTCCCAAGAACCAAGACATTCCGCGAACTCCTCGTGATCAGACTAGTGCTGGCAAGAATCTGACCAATGAGCCTGCCAATCTGTCGCTCCAGGCTTGAAATGCGGGCAACCATGGCACCAGAAGACTCGTCTTGTCGCTGGTAGACCTTCTTCAGCAAAGTGTCCAGCCTGGGCCAACCACACATGTGTTTGCTGTAGTGACTAGTGCTCCAAACAGTGAAGTTTCCACAACGGCTGCATAGTGCGGACCTGGACGAAGTCAGCTGCTGCAACTCTTCGAAGCTCACAGCAACGGTCGAGTCAGGAGGCCTGAAAGCTTCGGTGCCGGGGACTTTCACGGAAATGCCGGAAACACTCCAACAAAATGGGTATCCTCCGATGGGTCACGTGTGCAGCCAGTGAAGACTAATGAAGATGAACCCAAGTCCCCGCGCCACAATACAAGCCTGAAAATGCGAACGAAGCGGATCTGTTGACTCAACTGTCTGGGTCGGTGGGTCGTGGGTGCGAAGCCATTGTGATGCGTCAAAAAGTAGTCTACGTCTGAGAATCGTAGTCTTACAAAGTGCTTACCAACAGGCCAAGGCCAGAGGTAAGGGTCTACCGAGGACTAGCCAAGCACCCAAACCGAACGTGAGTACATATCGGCTTGAAAGCCACAAAAGGCACCTATTGCTGCAGCTGCTGTCGGCTGCGCTGCTGCGCGCCATGTTCCTGCATGGCAGCTAAAATAGACCTCTAGCCATTAGCTAGACCTCTATATCCTCTATGTGCAGTGCCTTTTTGGGGGTACCTAGTTTTCTTATTATACCGTATCACCTATAAACCCCCTTTCAAGGCCCCCAAAGCAGGTACCCTGGTTTTGGGATACCTCGTTTGTGTAAACCTAGCTTCCTAAACGCTCTAACACCCATACAGTTAGGTGCCCCCCCTCCCAAAAAAAAGACCCTTAGCTGCAACCGAACCCAGCAACGATGCTTTTCGCGAATGCATGTTGTGTCTCACACACGCGCGGTCGCATGTCGACAATGCTATGTAGATCTGTGCAGCTGCACACCATTCGCAAGGAATTTGGGCCCCAACAGTTTTGCGCTTGACTCGTTCTTTCCATAATGCTCACTTTTCAATCGGTAAGGAACCATCCACTTCCAGGTCTCCACAAGCCCGGATCCCACACCCAATCCCTGTAGAGGTTCTTTGGAGCACCGAAACCTTCAACCACAAAGCATCAGTCTCAGACCTCTTCGCTAGGCAGCAAAACAACCATGCTTCAGGAAGCATGAAGTTTCGGCAGCACCGACAAGAATGCAACAACAACAGCTGAGGTCTAAATGCAGATTGTATTGTGGGAGTAGCAGCCACACTCAATTCAAACTATAGTACTGCTGCAGAGCACATCTAAGCACCAGGCGCGGAGGCAGCAATCACATCATTGGGCACCTGACCAGGTTGCATCTTCGTGACATAGAGCAGTGCCAAACAGCATCCGTGCCTTGTACGTTAGCACTTCCAGCGTTTGCAAGCCGAAAAAACAACTTGTAGCTTGGAAAAACGACGGCGGCTGTCGGGGATGGAAACAATTAAAGCCCAACAAAAAGCGCGCGCACGCACGCACGCACGCACGCGCGCACGCACACACACACACACATGGTTGCATCCAAAATGCAACGAGCCCCGTCGAGCCTCCGCTTGTACCAGCTTGCGAGCACATTGTCGCAGCTGCGAGATCTCTCTAACCTAAGAGAATCACGGGCAGCTGGACAGCGTCAGAGTGCTCAAAGATTTCTGAGAAGCAGCGGGGAGCATCGGCAATATGTTGTCCAGAACGGGATGTAACCTGCCAGGGCCCAGCCTCACAACACCGCCCCGGCCTCAAGATGCAACCGTGCCTCAGGCAGTGCTCCAAGGGACTCAGAGCAGAATTTGAGAAAGTGGAAAGCTTTGACCAAGTTTAACTACTGTTCACCACCGACACGGATTGCGCAGGCCACTGAGTTCGCTGCCGACGTGAGCCCGAGATGATGGTTCCAGCATTTGTTGCCAGCATCTCCCAACTGCCAAGTACTCAATGAAACCGAGAGGCCTCTAACGAGCAACCGCCAGAGTCAATACAGATCTGTGCGCAAGGCTGGCGTGCGTCTCCAGCGCCATCAAACTCCTGAAGATCGGACTCGAAGAATGGCCTCCACAGGGTGAAGCAGGAAGAGGCAGCTGACACGAGAAAGTTAAAACACATGGGCTCATTTGGCGCCCATTACCCCAGATGGCTAGACAAGCCGTATCACACGTTCATCCCTTTCTGTAACGAATTGCAGGAAGTGCGTCCTTCGTGCTAGTTCCCTTCTCTCTTGGTCTTATGGTGTTGACATGTGCAAGAAAGTCATCCAAAAACAAGAATTTCCAGGAGCTCCTCTATTATGTATTCGTAAGCGATGAGGGCGAGCCACACGAACTATCATTTCTTCCTCAGTCATTCTTGCCTGTCCTCTCCTTTCATAGATTTCCAAAGGAACGAAGTGTTAGCGAGAAATCGATTACAACACGAAGAACAAGAAGAAACGGAAAGGAAGCCAACGTACAAGGCTGTGGAGCAAGAGTAAGTGAGATGACTGGCACATATCTGCGCTCCTGGAGAGCTCGCATGTCGGCACGCGCCGGCCGGAGGTGGCCAGAGGGCCTTCCAAAAGGCTGATGCGGGTTCACGGGACTTCATGTATTGCATTGCAGATGCCTATGAGCCAGTCCACATTGTACTCACACTCAATCTGTGAGGTCTCACACCTCAGCTTCGACGAAATGCAGCCCTTGGGAAGGCCGCTGTCACGATCCAACATCACCTTGAAAGAACTACAGTGGTCCATGACCAAGTGCCATGCGAGTCGAGCGCGATATCGCCTGTATCCTAGCATGTGGAACTGATGCGAAACCAATCTGCTTGCGCCTTCTCACTTGGGTCACTGCACGCTTCGCACTAAACATGTCAGCCAGGCCTCCAAAAAGATCTGGCAGTCCTTGGGGGCCACCTGCAAAACATGCGCCGCAAAGCTACTATCAGTACCCACTACAAGTACCATTGAGGCACTCAACAAAAACGTGGCGAATAACTTTGCTTTGCAAAAAGGTGGTCTTCCTCTTGCCCAACTCGTTCTTGGAACCAGGCTGGAAGATCCGAAGCACCGGGCGTGGGGCCTCGCAGGGTCTCGCGGGCAGAAGCTCAGGACACATCTTGACGAGAGTTCTGCGATCTAAGCTTGGCACCGGTTTCAAATCCGTCGCCAGCCTGTGCACGTAGTAGCCGCTTAGCAGCCCGCGGCTGATGCATTGAGAGATAATTGCATATGGGCAACTTGGGGACATTTGGGGACCATCATATGCCATTTCCGGAGAGAAGGCACGCTCACTAGCCAGTTGTGTTTTGCAAATGCCGCGCGAGTGTGGGCGATTTCGTTTACCCCTCGTACTCCCAAGATGACCAATCCATCCTTGCTGTTTCGGAAACATCACAGGTGTTTGTCCCGGTCCCGCAGCAGGCCCCAAGACCTCCACATTCCAAGATCATCTAAAGGCCCTCGCGCGTATTTCTGTTGGGCCGTGCAGTCTCGGTGGTACGCCTGATTGAGCAACATCGTTTGGCCTATATACATCCATGTACAATCATGTGCACTTGCGTCTGTAAGTATCTACGCTACCATTACCAAACCAAAAAATGTAGGCATGAAATGACATGCTAATAGTCTCAGTTCGTGGATTGTGTACTGCAACGTTCTGTTTCGAGCAAGGGCCGGTTGTTAGACGTGGATCGTATGTTCGACAGAGAAATTTTGAACAGCTTGGCTAAGCTTGGTTGGCTTGGCTTGCTCGACACTTTGGAACGCCTTCAATGGTAATGCGCCCACATCAATTTTATCACAATGCAACAGGCACAGGCCCCCACCCAACACTACGCGACGGGCATGAGCCCGCGACAACAGAACACGGACTGCTAGCTGCATTTCGACGCCCGACCTGCCGACTCCAGCAGCACCGCGTTGTGGCTTCCTGTAAGGGTATGCGGGAGTTTGCGCTGTTATGTAATCTAGATAACGACAAGTCATCCTGGCATACACATGGCCGACAAATCCACCAGCTCACATCTCCTGTTTGAGCTCTGTCAGCATTTGCCCCAGTTCGGCTTTCAGTTCCTCTTTGAGGAGGCGGAACTCCTGAGAGACAAAATGGTCTGGAAGGCAAGGAAGGTTAGCCGTTATGCCTGTCCTGCGCCAAGACCGTCCGCAGCTCTTCCGTGGCATCAACCTCAGGTACCGTCGTAGCAATTGTCCGAGCTCCTTCGAACTTACAGCCTTCGTTCTCCCTTTGTCAAAGCAGAGGGAGGGGGAATTCGCAAACCATACCATCGACTTGAGCCCCCCACATCACCTGACCTGCCCAAATCCACTGGTATGGCTTGCTCCTGCGATAGCATGCGATAGCACTAGGTGGCTATTGCCAATCGTCGGGCAATTGCCCGGGGGCAGACTTGAAAGGAGAAAGAAACATGCAGTGGATCTGTAATTCAAAGGCCTGCTTTAAATGGCCAGGCCTATCCAAGAAGCAGCAGCTTTGCTTGTTGTTCGCTGGAAGAATCTGAAGTTGCAGGTGGCATCTAAACTTTATCTAAACGGGCATCATGCCTTTGGGAATCATCGAGTTTCTGATTGGTGCCCTAGTTACCACGCACCACCATGGGGCAGGCTCACAAATCTGGTGCTGTGACCAATTCGAAACCTCTTGGCACCGGCATGGCCAGGATGGGTTTAGGTTAGCTTGCAAACTTGAAAACCAAGTTACGACGTGAAACTTTGTGCAACCACGCTGTCTGTCGCATGACGATTGAAACCCAGTAGCTTTCTTTGAGCTCCCTGGGCTACGTCAGTGCTTGCGCTCAAACGTGCGGCCTCGCATGAGAGACACTCGCAAGATCTCTAAAAAGCGCGTTTAGAGCCTTTAGGCATGAGGCGTGAGCGCTGAGGCTGCTGAGGGTTCACATCTGCATCCTTGTTCTTCTTACACACACACACACCGACATGTGAGGCCATGCAGCATCTACCATTTTCAGCCTGCTATGGCTCAAACTGTATTCCTTAATACCTAATCACTGGTCACTGGTCCCTAACCGCACATGTGGGTACCAACGAAAGAGTACTTCTACCCGGGCTTGTGATGCTCCTCAGAAAGGAGCTGGTGCAGAAGCCGCTGGGCTGTAGCATCAGGCCGACGAACAAGCACGGCGTATTGCAGCACTCGACAGTTTTGTTCTCAGGAAGGTTGGTGAAGTGGGGTAGTGGGGTTGAGGGGCGGGGGGGGGGAGACTCAGCATCACGGATCATGAGAGATAAACGCAAACCACCTGCCGATTTCGTTAGGGGTGGGGCCAACAATTTGTGCCATCAGTTCATACAAGTCCGACAGATTCTCCATCGGAGGAAGAACGAAAGTGCCTGCTGAAGCTTTTACCAACCACTTCGATTGATTGAACTGCAACTTGTGTGGCTGCGTGGCTCAGCCGTGCTTCCTGCCTGACCTTAACGTTACCTTGGGTTAGAGTATGCAGAAGCCGCTTTGAGCCTCGGGCAATCTCAGGCAAATCATCGACCAAACTCCAGCCTATAGATCTGCCAAACGTGCAGCCTAGACGGTGTCGCCTCAGCGAATCTCAGGCCCTGCAAACATTAACAGACGTGGTCGTCCTCCATTTCAATTTCGGAGCCCTCCTGCGGGGTTGTTGGCTCTGAGAAGACCCGACTCATAAGATATTCCTATTCGTGCGCTTTCTCGATGTGTAAAGTTCAGAAGAAAGCGTTTTCGCATGTTGCGAGCCAAACTCCACGATGAGACTCATCGCATAACGTCTGCATCTCGTGACCATAGGCAACATAGACACAGCGATGTACTGATTGACCGTAGAATCGAGACAGCACGGGTCACCGGTCACCGATCCAATCCAAGAGCGAGATGGCTCGAACTCCCCCAGCACCTGTACCAAGCCCTGGGCCTTGAACCCCGAACTAAGAAGCCGCCGTACATCGCTGGCGACGCCACAAGCGCAATCACACTGTGCCCTCGATTAGCAGGGCATGGGTTTCTGCTTGCGGTTGCTTCGCTCGCGCTCGCGAGTGCAGAGTCGCAAGCTTCGAAAGAAAGTTTAACATGCCGGAGACCTCAGGTTTGACATGCAAGATGAGCACTTCACCGCCGGAATCGAGGCAGCAATGCGGATCATGAGTGCCACTGACAGGGGGCAGCTGTCATTTCTCTCGCCGCTGCAGATCTGATCTGAGCTGGGGCGTACAAGCTCTCAAAGGAATGAACGAGACAGTGAGACATAAGGCCCCGGGCCGCACTCCATGATAATCACACCAACACACTGCCAACCGCTGTCAGCCACTATCTAGCGTCTAGCCGGTAGCCGCCCTGTATCTCACAAAGACCTCTTGCAGACCGGGGGTACACCGAGAGGCTTACGGCAACTTCTTCAGACTGCCAGGCGCCGGAGTCAGTGTGTGAGATGGAAAACTTCGTCGAGACGAGCAGCATGCTCTGCATGCTGCATGAAACACTTGCTGCAGCGGGGCACATTGCGACGATGAACCTAAAACATGAACACGTCCCGCTTGATACCGTACCAGGGTCACGGTGAGGATTTCCTGCCAGTTTTTGTCGGTTGCTTTCGTTGCCCGATGCTGCGGTTCAAAAGCCCGGCCGGCCTCGCCTGAGGCCGCTAGCAGGGTCAGGAAAACTCTCTGCAAGCCAAGCTTCACTTCCGCTTCTTACAGATGCAATAATACCTTTTCTCCGTGATCCAGCGAGCCGTGCGAACGGTTCGTGGACTGTCTCGAGGGCGAACGGTGGTGGTGATGGTGTCCGACTGCGCCTAGTGTTGCCATGAAGGACGCCTTCTCTGAGTCGTGGCGGTTGTTGACCATGTCTGCAAAGCGCCCGGCACGTGTTGCGATATCGTGCATCTTGTCTTCAGCTAAGGTTTTGTCTGTGACGAAGATGTCCTCCGCATCCATGTGTTCCTTAGTTTGGACCGAACTTGCCATGCGACTGCGGCTTAGGCTTAGAAGTGCTAACACGTGTGGGGCAAGCCTGCAGCGAGACGAATCCGGAACCCGGAACCGCAGCTTAAGTGAAATGGATGAGGGGCGCAGCCCCATCAAGCGATGCGATCGGGAAGGGGAAGTGGGGAGGGCTATGCAGCCGTCTGGACGAGCCAGGCATGACGCTTGCTGGCTTAGGCTGTCGGGCTGGTGGCACAACATGATTACCGATCTGCTGCGACAGCCCAGCAGCTGCGGCGATGCCCTTATGGGCACTCATTGTTGCCGCCGTAGCTGCGAACAAAACATGACGACCATCCGCGAATATCATGGATATTGTCTCTGAGCAGGGCACCAGACAAGTGTCGCACGGCCTTCAGTGGGGCCTGCTACATTCTGCTACATACAAACATGCCGAACACAACGGCAAACAAGGTAAGTGGCTGAGCTGCTGCTCCTGTGTCCCGACAGATTAAGCTTGGGACGCTTTACCGCAACTTCGAGTTTCGCAGCCAATTTTACAAACGTCGGCAATCCTCGAAATAACCATGCCCAGAAAAACTGAAGCGCAAACACTCAGCTTTTTCATCCTCCTCGATCCCGACAGCCTCAACCCTAGCACTAGCCGAAATCAGAAAGCGTAGTCCCAGAATCCGGAACCCTAGCTCCGAAGGCAAAGGCCCACAGTCTAAACTGTAAAACTACATGGATGCCACTTGCAGCATAGAACCGAAAGAAACAACGACAGACACCGAAATCGAGCAAATAGTGCAACACAACTAATGAAAAAAAACACTAGAGTCACTAGAGGGCAAAAGAAAGGCATTTCATTTCCAGCAGAAAACACGGACCAGAACGTACAAACTCGAGCGGCCAAGAAAGCAACACCTTCGGAAACATCGCCAGAGGGGGAAAGCACAAAATTAAGGGTCCGGGCAAGTCAGCCGCCTGGGGCAACGAAACAAAGCTTATCCTTAAATCAGCATATCCCACGTATGCAGACAGACAGAGGCATACACTTACATACGAGCTAGCACCGCTCACCTTCCTCTTCCTATAATGTGCAATTTGTACAACGCGACAGTTTCTTTCCGAGCAAACCCTGCCCCGTTAAACTTTGTGGAGCGGCGATCTCACCGATGACAAGTATTCCGTAGATTTGTAAATACTGCCACAGCGGATTTCCATGCTGTTTGACGAGGCTGCAGAACTTTTCGCAGTTGATCCCATTGTAATACGCGGTTGTACCACCATTCGCGGTTAGGCGCCCGCGATGAAGCCATTCCGCCCAAAGGCATGGCAGGCACAACACTTGGCCTGGAGAGACAAACTCTGCTTCGAAGGTGGCGAATTGCCTGGCAATGTAGCCCATATTGCCTCGGCTGTATCAGAATCAAGGAACCTGGCCATTAAGGGCCCGTTGTTACAAGTTACTGTGTACAGCCTCGTAGGGCCAAAGTCAACTGCGAACATCTCTCAACTGAATGGGTGACCCAGAAGCCTTGGTCCAGAAGATAGACCTCCGTGCACTCCGTGCCAGGCATGAAGGCATCGTTCCCAGGGGAGGCCACATGCTCGACCATCGCGAGATGACAGATTTGCCGGTGGATTAACAGATCCTCAGCTCACATCGGACATAGGGCTCCTTCTGAGCATTCCTGCCAGTACCACTTTTGCAAAGCCAAGGGTCGTCCTCATGGCTCCAGTGATCCCAGATACGCAAAGACAAGAGAGAGTTCATGAACATCTCTTCATGGAGGACGACCTCGGGGTAATCTGAAAACAGAAAGGACATCGTTTCGTATCTTTCGCCCACCTGAAGCCTGCCTTCAAGTGCTCGGGAACGCCTCGCAAGAGACTGACCTCCGTCTCCTTGAGGCGGATGTCATACATTCCCTGCTTCTTCAGCGCGTCGTTGATCTTTGCGTAAGTTTCGGTCGACAGGTTCCTTAGATACGCTCAGAGACTCCAGAGAGGGGTGCGACCAGACGATGTACGCGACGGGGGACTGAAGCCGAGGCAAGTTGCCTTTCGTTGAAGAAGCGCACCAAGGAGGAGTGGTGCTTAAACTGCTCGGACCTCGAAGCCCTCAAGGTACTCACGGTGGCAGTGATTGAGCTGATGAAAGAAGAGAACGTCCCCATGGCCAGAAGGATGACCCACACTGCGAAGAACCTGGCGGGTCTCTGGCAATGCAAGCTCCGTATTTCTTCCGCCGTTCTTGCTTTGCATAATACCAAGGTGGTTTGAATGGCTCTCATTGCGTTTGCGTTGCGAGCAGAGTTCATATTAATTCAGAAGCTCAACTGGCTTGCTGGTAGCACCAGTATAGTTTTGCATGCTATGCCGCTATGCTCTACCAACCAGGCAAGGCACCTCTCCACGAAGTTGACCGGAGCGACATTGTTTGTTGCAGGCGTGAACTGAGTAAGTGCCCAGTGGATTGAAGTCGCCTGACTTTGTATATATATATATATATATATATATATATATATATATATATTTCTAACTTTCTAACATAGACCAACTATGTAAAGCCAACAACCTTGAAGCTTTCCCATTGGCTATCTAAGTGTCATAGGAGTCCGCGAGGGACGCGTCCGCGATTCCGGCGTTTAGCAGCCAACTGCTTCCATCCTCAAGAGTCCAGCGCCCCAAGCCATACCAGCAACACGCGATGATATGGTTCACGGCCAAAATCATCATCAGCCCGGACACCACCCGCATGACCATGAAGGCATACGTGGAAAGGAAGCTGTTGGCGAGTTTTGTCAACTCACGCTGCAGCTTTGCTACACGCAACAGCCGCAGCAGCCGCAAAAGTCGCAAGGTTCGCAGGTATCGAGCAGATCGTGCCGGCGCAGGTGCTCGATCTTGCACCAGCTCCGCAAAGAGCAATGCTGCATCGATGGAGATTACCATCAGGTCGATGCCGAACCAGGACCGCCAATATCTTTTGAGCAGCTGCCGTGGACGCAACTCGAGATGTCCGTCAATTTCCACGCCGAAGATCGCATGAAGCGGCATATCAAGGATCCAATATCCGAAAGTAAACCTGCCTACCACCAGGAGCAAGGAGATCATATCTTCGTCGTCGAAGAGCTCCAAAGGGATGGTAATCATATCCCAGACGATGAACAAGACACCGAGGAGAGACCAAGTAATCTGAAGCTTGCTGCTTGGCTTTCTCACCAGTGGCTGAAGACAGGAGCCATCCGTGGCTGCATCTTTCATTCGGGGCGTATAGCTAAGCGGTGTTGACGACTTGAAATTTTGGGTCTTCTCGCGCTTCAACGCATGCTGCTGCAAAGCAGTCTTCCACTGAGGGCGGATAGTCCTGAGCGACTTGCTTGAATCCCTGCAACCAGTATCAGGATTTCGACGAAACTCGAGGACAGAAAACATATCAGTGCAGTCCTGAGCTATTCGAAATTAAAACCTTACCGATAGCTACAGTATCACCCATCAGCAAGCGAGGGGCAGTATGTCTTTGACATAAGATGCGACCTCTTCGTCCTCGCTGTCGGACTCCGCAAGGTGGGTTGTGTTCATCAGCTTGGAGGTGAGATTTGCCCAGTTGCTTAGGACTGGTGAGACTGCCTGGAAGCCGCCCAGTGACGAGGAGCTTGGAAAAGCCGAGGAACGATCTCTGAGCTGAAGGGCCCCAAGGGAACCCCCCGGAGGATCGATCTTCGCTCGGCTACTGGTGTTGCTGATGAAGCCACTCGCGGAACGTGAGGGTGGCCGAGGTTTGATGGGCTGCTGCGTGTCTGTCACGGCTTGGACTTGCTCGCAGGACCCCTCCTTTGCATAATTTGCATATTGCACGTCAAGCTGGTACTTTTCCACCAACTTCTCATGCCTCGGAGAAGCGGCTGTCCGGCAGCGGCACTCATGGCAACTTGGGAAGGGCCAGAACCTGAAGTGCATGGCCAAGACACAGCTTCTCAAGCTCTTGCTTCAAAAAAAGCTCGTACTCACCGTACTCTGCCATGGCGCCAGACTGCGGCCAAGGTCTTACAATGACAATTGAGAGCTGCAGCTCCAAACTGCGACGGACAGCAACTATCACATGTTGAACTGCATTTGGTAATTGCTGCTGTTGATGCTAATACCGACAGCATGGGTCTCGAGGGTTCCACCTCGCATCCCACGCGCCCTGGTCGCCCACTTTTCAGAAGGATCCTTTTCCGACAGCGGGAAGACCCTGATCGAAACCGAAGTAACAGATGGTGCTGCACAAGAGTCGGGGGAAGCCAGAAGGCGCTCCGATCGACAAGCGACAGACAGGTCGACACACGCAGATCTGTGGGGAAGCCTTAAGGACTCGGACTGACTCGAACGAACGGGATGACCTTTTTCCGGCAGTCCATGCAGCACTAAAGGTCGCTGAGGCTGGAAAGCTTCTTACATCGTACCTTGCGCCGTTGTGCGGGTTGCCGTCAGTTTCTGGGCCCACTTTTTCGTACAGGGGCGAAGTGCCGTTCATGATACCGGCACCTTATGCCCACCATGTTTTCGAAAGCATGAACCTATGATGCAAACCTCAGTTCGTGCACCACAGTATGCCAGCGAAACAGCTCCTTTTTGCTCACACGTGAATAGTCTCACTGTGGTCAGATGTCAGTGCATGGAGCAAGCTGAACGCCCAAAGGAAGGCGGAGGCCACGAACTTGGCATGCAACATCAGAGCTCCGCAACACTCTGTCGGGACAATTCAAGCAGACCTGGCCTCACAGCGCATGCATCTCTTCTACGCTTGCATCTCCCTGAACGCAAATCCCATAAGCCTCCCACGAACATCCGCCGGAAGAGCGGCTGCTTGAAAAGCAGGGCCAGCAGCCTCCTGTCTTGCCACAGCATACAGGATCCTGAAAGCATGTGGGGGTTGGGGGGGACGATCCAGCGAGGCAATGGCCCAAGCTTGGTCCCGCACAGGATCGGTTCATCCAGAAGCCGCAGGCATGGATGCTGACAGCATAAGCACAGCTTGAAGCAAGAACCGAGGTTGCATGCCCAGCTCAGCTGTCCTGCCTGTGCGGACAAATCACCGAAGGCTTGCGCAATTGCTGTGTGGGCCTGGATCACAGAAGACGGGGAAACCGGAAGCAATAACAGGCATTAATGCAATGCGCCTGCGAGCACAACTCCCTGGAACGGAAAGCTGTTCCCATGGATCCGTTGCCATCATTACTCTCCTCTAGGCCTACTCCTTCCACGAAAGAGGCCTGCTTGCGATGGTGCCTGTCCTCCCCCTCTTGCCACTGCCGCGATCGCACCGAACGCAAGAAGAGTCACATGCTGAAGCGCATGTGGTGGCAATGAGAGAACAGGAGATATGAATCCGACGACTAAGTGATCAGTTTACGTGGACATTGGAAATTTCATGACACCATGCGATCATCGTCGATCCTCGCTCGTGACTTATGTGCTCCATGTAGTGGATCTGCAAGGCTTCGTCTCACCTCGAGCATGACGTCTCCAGCATCGCTGACCTTAGCACTCGCATTGTTTGCTAAACTCCTTCCTTTCCTGTCCACTCGCTCCACGCGACAACTAAGCCCGTTTAAACAAGGAAGCTGGAACTCTCGCGTAGTAGAATGTCCGGCCGACATGGGCATGCGGCATGCTGTACATGAGGATGAAAGACCCTAGAGATGTTTTGGGCTTCCCCTCTTGAACCAGGAGCTTTATCTAAATCCGCCGAGGTCCTAAACACTTATCGTTTGAACTCGCATCCCAAACCCCATGCAAGCTCTAAACCCTAAACTGCCCTAACCGCGCCGAGCAGCTCCCGAGCTGGCTTTCACCAGAAGCCGACGCTCCAGTGCTCCATTTTCGGCCTCCCACTGCGTGTCATTGGGGATGTTTGCCAAAAGCAAGACCTTTCTACAACAGTTCTCTTCGGCTGTCAGTTTCCGCACCGAGCCCGTCACGCAGAGTTGCTGTGATGTGCGTTGCCACCCTCTCCCATCCGGTCCGCATCCTTCCCTGCTTAGTAGGAGCAAACCGGATCTGCTGCATGGCAACGTTTCAACGAACACAGCAGGGGGGCAGCTTCCGCGCCGATCAAGCAGAGCGGTGCCACGATCCGGAAGCGGAAGCAACACAGCCATGCGCAAACGGGTGCCAGTGTTGTGCCGCCGTCTAGTATAAGACAGCTAACAAAAGCCGGTCGAAACGCCAAGGTGGAGGCCCTTCGCGGCGAAACGAGCATCCGAACGCACGAAGCACGATTGGGCCAGAACTAAAACCTGCACAAGAGCAGCTTTAAGCGAGCTTGGTGACGGAGCCTTGGGCAGTTGCAAAAGCGAAGATCGGAATTGCTATATTTCCTGCGTCTCCGTGGAGTGGCGAGCCCGGCAACCTGGAGGAGACTTGCCAGTGTAGGAAGCCCTCAGTAGCGCCGACAATGCAGCTTCGACGCGTCGCCTGCTTTGTCAACATTTGGGAGTTCAAGACGAACATGGAGAACCGTACGTCAGGCCAACAGCATTCGGTTTCGCTCTTCGTTTAGACACGAAAGAAACTTCGGATGTTGTGCCCGAAACGTCTCCCCAACCTGCCTGCAGGTCCTGCACCCGTCGCTCTTTCGCTTCGCCGGCTCTTCGAAGGTATGCCACCTTTGCCGATGCAGAAAACATGGTCTAGGTTTACTTTTGGGTTTCGGCGCTCACACTCGGACAGGTTTAGTTTAGGGTTTAGGGCTTCGAAAATGTGCGTGCTGAGGACTGAGGGGTTGATCCGGGAAGTAACTGGGAAACCACAAAGCTACCGGAAAATGCGGTGGTAGCGCCTCATCCAAGAGCTCTTGCTCTTTTTGGCTCACTTCACGCTGAAGTCGCTCCAAAAAGTTTGCCTGCAGGGCATCACGAAGCGCAACAAAGCAACACATACTGCGGAGCGTTGCTGAGCTATTGCTCAGCGACATGCAATCCACCTGTCGTCTTCCGGCCACTTCTGCTCGTGAGTCGCTTCATTGGTGTGCAGTCGATGAGGATTTCTGCACTAAATCATGAGTCTATGTCTATGGCAGACGATATGGAGGCTGGCTCGAGACGAAAGGAAGGAAGGTGCAGCATCTCACGCTGCAAAGCATCATTCCCGGCATGTCACAGAGTAAAGTGTCGGCCACACGTCTAACGAGAAGCCGTGCTAGTCTCGCCTTTACTGGTTTCCGAGTCCAATAACTTCCCTAGCATCACAAGAAGGCACTGCAAGAATGAAGGCGGCACGGGAAGCACACGTCTCCAGCTCCCAGCCCGTCGATGGTTGCAGCGGTCGCTGGAAATCTGCTCGGGCGCGTGCCGGAACGTTTGCTATTGCCGGTTCGTTCCCGTCACAGCTTATCCGCTCGTCTGATGCGAGCACTCTTGGCTTTTTGCCTTTGCTTTGAATGGCGGGCTACCTGCTACCAGTAGCGGCGGGCGGCCAGCCCTCCCAAACCTGCTGCTTAGGTCCAGATGCCCACTCCGAAAAGATCATAAGAGGTACCGCGAAGCTGGCAACGCTTGTTTTGAGTTTGCTGGTCGGAGTGAGGTGTGTCTGTTGGGCTCTTCTCGGTCAGCTTGCCGCTGATGAGTTGCTGGTGTGGCCGTAAACTGCCACAGCAGCCAGGAACCAACTCGAGAGACTACCAGCGTCCTTCATCCGTGCCTCTAGATCCTCCAACCGCCTTTGAGCCGTCACCATCTGCTCTTCGAGTTTTGCCTGCACCTGCTCCAAACAACGGTCTCTCGGCGTTGCACGCTGTCCCATAGCAGGCGCCTCGCTCGCGGACGCGAGCGCTGCATCTTTCTCCTCGGCTATGGTCCGGATCCCCCGGTGCTACGGCAATGCGATTGTTTAATTAAACCCTGACTGTACAGTGGGTCGTCCTCGACGGCTCGCTTCAGGAGCCAGGCCTTCAAAGGAAAGGCAATGCCCAGCGGAATCCCAATCGACCAAAATAGCTAACAGCCACGCTGCATGCAACTCGAAACACTGTAGCCTCGTGGGCGGCCTTTTCTAAAGCCTCATCCGAAACGGCACTGACGTCGGCCAGGCGCACCTCCAGAACACAGCTGATGCTTGTGTCATCGGTTCATCACGTAGTTCCTCATTGTCGGATTGTTGTGCCATTTTTGGGCCGCAAGTACTTCTCGTGACCTGACTGCAGTGCACATTCACCCATGTGTACACAGAAGTGTCAGGGACCCAAAAACACAGAAGCATAAGGATTTTCTGGGGATATCCCTTTCCTTTTAAGGGGGTTTAATATGGGATATCCCTACCCTTATTGTTGCTTGTGTGCAGTTTTGAGGCCCGAAAGTGAGAAGCGGAGAACCGGGAAGCGGCCTGCAGCGCTTCTGCTTGCGCCATGGCCTGGGACAGCACTGGCACTGAGATCAAGCAGCAGGTCATCACCGCGGCTGCGCCTCGTCACGGCTTCTCTGCAAGGACTGGATGTCCTCCACAATCTAGGCACCCCCCTACGCGATGCGCGTTGAGCCCACGCTCCTTTGCCTCTGCGTCCGGATGTGACCTGGGCTTGGCCGCCTTGGCCTTGGCCTCCTCAGGCTGCGGGCGCAGGAGTGCTCGATCCTTTCCTCCTAAAGCCGCAAGCCCAATGCCAAGCGCTCCTCGTGGGCGATCTTTGGCGCCTCCTCCATGGAAGCCGGGCCTCAGCCAGGCAAATCTGAGAATCTGCGCCCCGAGATGCGCTCCTGCGCAGGATGCCAGGAATGCAGCCACTTTCCGCAGGCGCAGTGGCAGCTTCTGACGGCTCCTGCACGACATCGGCAGCAAGCTGCGGAGACCAGAAACAGGACTTGCCTCTGCCGCTGCTTCCTTCTCAAGAGACCTCGGGAACTTCTCAACTCTCGAGCTGTTTGCTGACCTTGCGTTTACAAGTCCATCTTGTGGAAGAGTGGAGGCCTACAAACCTCGATTGCGCGGATATCACGTTGCATCTCGAGCTGCGTTCGAAGCCACTGCAACAGTTGCCCCAAGTTGCAGGCAGCCCGCAGGCTTGTAAGCCCCCGACTGCAATTCCAGGAGTTGGGCAATGGTTTCGTCCTGTGCCAGGCTCTCCACCTGTCGGTGTGGCACCCCAATTCTCCGGTAGTACAGGTTCGGTCCGATGCAGTTCCTGCAACCCGCACGAAGCATCAATTGGGGCGCATCAGAGCTCCCGGCCGCACGTCCAATGGTACGATCGTGCAGCTCTGCTGTCGTGTTGGCGGCCTGCCATCACCCCGTGCATGCCACAATGAAACCCAGCAGAGCCTGCAGAGCTTGTTTCTAGCACATTCTGTCGCAGTTGTTCTCAAAAAACGCTGGAGCTGGGCAAGCAAGTGTTTCTGCTTGGCCACTTTTCACTCTTCTGTTGCCCGAGCCCTTGTCTGACACATCGTGGTCGTAGATGCTGCTGGAGCGCCAGCTATTTCGCGATTCCTACTGTACCACTTGCGTAGAGCCTTGACTTGGTCACGTTTTTAGGTTACATTCGCTTGAACGTGCTTGACTCCTTTCGTGCTGAGTTGGCTTGGGATTGGGAGTCGCGGCGCATGAAAAGCAATCGTTACATTAATCTATTTATTGGGCTATTTATTTTCTCCTTCTCAAGGAGTAACACTAATACAGTTATTTGTCATCTTCCCATCTTCAGCAATATCAAATATCCCTCCTTGCATTATCTCTATCACCCGGTGGTGCAAACCGCTGCAGAAGCCTGCTCTTGTATCTGCTGCTCCCACTCGTCCAGCTTGGCCACATCGATACCCCTGTCCTGGACTCCAGCTATGCGCAACATCCGGCTCTGACATCAAAAACTGCGCATAAGCCCAACCTTGGCAAACTGGGTGTTGGCAATCGTTGTCTTGGCATCCTGCATGTCTGAACTCCGGGCCCCAAACCTACCGCTCTCCAAGTACGTTCTCCGTGCTCCTTGTTCAGTTGTTCCTTGAATTCCGCGAAACCTTCTTTGAGTCCCAGGTTCTCGACGAAGTTGCCGAACATCGCTATCCACGCTGCGCTAGGCTGCTAGGGCCGCTAGGGTAGAGAGGCGGGTGTCCAACCTCCACGGTGGCAGCCTGAACTTCCAAGGCGTCAATCGCTTACACCCTCCTGCATCCCAGTGTCACCTGTCACTTCTCTGCGCTACATTCGCTACGGGCTTGTGGAAGTGGAAGGTCTATCCGTGTGTCGTGTCAGCTTGGCGATACTGTATTGGGCCGGCACCCGCTACTGTGCCGCAACTACCGCAAGACATGGCATGACTGCAAGCAGTAAGGTGGCTGCGGGTAACGTTTGATGATTTTGATGATGCGGGTCATGCAACACAACAAGAACCAGATGAGGCTGATTATGAAGAGGAAACGGAGAGTGATCTTCTCAGGGAAGACCAAAGGAGAGCAAGACGAGGCTGATGATGAAGCTGTTTATCGCAACGGTGCAGGGGTGTTGATGACGCTGATGCTGTGCATGATGGCGATGATGATGTTGATGGTGATGGTGGTGATGATGGTGATGATGCCGTGATGCTTGCCCGCGGTGAAACCTCTGCCTGTCACATGTGCGGTCTCAAGATGATCGCAGCGGGTGCCCAGTTTGTTCAAAGAATGCTGCGAAATGCTGGGAGTAGAAAGATAGGTATGGCGGAGCAGCATGTGCCACTGGTATGCCCCTGTCAGAAAGATGTCTGCGGACAAGAGATCAAACACTGCAAGCATATCTTGATCGCGCTACATCTTCCTCATGCGTGCGCGTGTTGCAGGGGCCAGTGGGCAGACCCTTAAATCGACGATTTTTGCCTTGGTGGAACAGACTCCAACTCCAGGAGGAGCAGAGCGATGTAGTGTGGAGCATCCTGACTAGCATCTCGAAACAGCGACATCTCTCCAGGAGGCCGGACGATTGCGAGATATTCGAGCCACACGTTTAAAGCTTGACCTTGAACCCGGCATCGTAGCTCTCAGCAGCACGCAAACAAGTGGAAGTCGTAGCATGCACGTGCAACGTCTGCGATCAACCGCTCGCGATCCTCGTACAAATCACCAGTGGTACTCTGAGCTACGAAATCGGCAAGCCCCTTGGTGTAGCAACAAATCGCAAAGGCATGGCCGTTTGGAAGGTAGACAATGCCCACATCGTTGGCGCGCCCACCCAAAGACCCGGTCTTGTGCTGCACTCGTGGCGGGCCAGCCCCATATCGCGGCATGCGTCCAAGAATGCGCTTCGCCCCTGTGCGGCAGTGGCCCATGATCTCGAGCAACACTTGAGTAGAAGCATCTGATATCCCTGCTTCTCGATTCCAGATTTTCTCCAAGAGACCAGCCATGGCTTCAGGTGTGGCTGTATCACGCGGGTCAGCGTCAAATTCACGATCCGCCTGGCAGCAAACCGACACGGGCTGAATTTCCATGCGCCCTTCCAGCAGAGCGACGAAATCCACCATATCCATCTCAGATTCAGGCGAGCTCCGGGTCGGAATGCGACATCGGATGCCACAACGGTCGCGTAAATGCTCCAAACAGCTCCTGGTGACGCGAATCTCATCTAATCCAATCTCCTTCATATGCTCACGCACCACCGATGGGCCGCCCACGCGATCCAATAAAACATCGGTTGCTGTATTGTCGGAGTCGTTCAACGCCTTTTCCAGCAGTTCGTACAGGGAGCACTCTGTGCGGATCTGGTCGCGAGGCACGTCTTTCAGCTGTGCAAGCAGTCCTGCAGTGAGCACACCCGTGCCTGGGCGAACGTCGAAAGAATCCAGGACAACTTTCTGATCCAACGAAATCCGACCAGCATCTACCATCTGAAGAACTGACAGAGCCAGCGGTATCTTAAACGTCGACGCCATCGGAAATCGCCGCTCGAATGGCTCTCTTGTTGAATCTTCGGGCGCTACAAGCTCCAAATCAACTCGTGGCACATTGAAGGGATCTGGAAGGGCTAAGTTCCGGAGCGTCTTCACGGCAATTCCAACAGTCGCGCGCGTACTGCCGGCAATTCTTAAGAGCTCCGCTCGCAGGATTTGAACAGGAGATGAGGCCATGCGCGGTGCTCAGGATCGACAAGAATCGATGGTGTTGAATCAACAGCCGATCGCTGCGGTCGCTTTTGGAAAGTGGATTGTATGCGACACCTGCGCATTCTCAGCATTCTAGGGTGCCACAAAGCTATGCAGCACTGACAAACGGTTGTTTGTGACCTCCACTTTTCCACAATAGGAACCCACTTTTCCACGACTCATCTTAGGCAGCAATGCAAGTGCTTCCGTCAAAGCGGGTGTGGCGGGCACTGGTGCATTGCGCCGAAATTGCAACGGTCCGTTTACCCCGTGAGACCTCAGCCCTGCAACTCTTTCTGGCATCCTCATGTTGGATAAAACAGCCAGTCCTATCTTTTCCGCTCCTACTTAGCAAGGACGAGGCCGCATTGCCGGGTACTGCGACTAGCTCGGGGTCGTATTCCCAAATGGTGTGGTGTGGCCGCCATGTGCTTCCGCAGAACGGATGTGCGGCACCCGGTAATGCCCCACTTTTTTGGCCTGCGATCATCGCGGACTCCACTGGCTCCATACTGAGCACCGCCTCGTCATAAAGCTTGCTGAGAAAGGCAAGCGCGAACACCACGGAGGCAGGCATCCCAGAATTGCCGTTGACTCGTTAAAGACTGCATACCAGTCAAAGCTAAAGGTCAGCCGAAGAGGGCACACACCAGTCTAGCGGTCTGGAATGTATTCCATGATCGTCGTGTCCAGGCGCAAGTCCCGCGGCACTTCGTCGCTGCTTCGGCAGCAAAGTCTTCCTGCTTCTTCGCGGAACCACGGGTCCAAAGCTTGTGGTGCAGGAGGCGACGCACGCGTTGTCCATGTGACGAAGAACCCAATGATTCGTATGACAAGTTTCCGCAGTTCCTGAAAACGCTCGCGCGCTTCCATGTGGTTTCCAATGTCGTCACAGTCCCAAGGTGTCTAGTGTGTTGCTAAGCAAAAAGATTGTGTGCTGATTCACGATGGGCCCGGCGCAATGAAACTGGTGGAGAGGCCCGTGGTTTGCCACCTGGACACAGCGCTTCTGACAGGAACCCTTCAGTGAAGCCTTTCTCAGTGCAGGCCCTGCCTGCGTGAGCCCCTGCGCGTGAGACGCAGTGACAGCTGTGCCACGTACTCCGTGGATGCTTGCAGGTTGAACACGGTGGCCTCAATCTATCGGATCCCTTTTCATATCGGATCCCTCATCCATCAACGGATGGACAACTGATGGACACATGGACAAGCAAGCACAAAACTCTTCGATGAACAGCATGCCCGCCTCACAAAGCGACTTCCCATCGTCGCAGTCCACCAATACCGACGTTTGATGCTGTAGGCCGTCCAGCAGCTGTTTGAAGACATCCAGCCTGAATTCGATTTCAAAAGAGCCACAAGTCGAAGACAGCTTTGGCCACGAACAGGTCACTGATGTGACACTTTTGGCATGCACCGTGAGCTCTCCGCCGGGCACTGTGATTGCCGGTAGCTTCAAGCTCAGAGGAACCGTGTCGGCTGACCATTGAGACCGCCGTGTGGTTGAAAGCAGCTGTGCTGCAAAAACGTAGATCTTCCCTGACACCAGCCCATGGGTCTCAGAAACGTCCACCGTAAACTTGCGCTGCAAAGGTAAAGGAAAGAGGATGCCCGGTGACCATGTTGATGGTTCGGGTCGCCCGCCTGTGGTTCGGAAGCGTACTTGCAAGAATGTGGCCACCGGTGCCATAGGGGCATCGGTGTCTGCAGTCAGGCGCACCCGCAAAGCCCCAGTACGATCGATGGGCTCTACCGAAAGTTTTGGCGGAGGGAGGTGGGCGATGCAAATATCACTGCTTGGCCCGACTGATCCGCAGGCTCTGTCCACCCACCGAAAGCGGACGAGGTTGCCGAGGTCACAAGGCAAGTCAAAGACCGCGACATAATCGGCGTCGTTGAACCGAGTACGAACCCATGCCGTCTTCTTCCAGCCCAGGACCTGCAAACCAGCGTCGGGCGCATTGGACACGAGCATGCACACTCCAACAATGCCTCAGCCCCTCTTGCCTTTTGCATATTTTACGCCTTTAAGCTAGTGGTGTTGAGCCCATCCTGAACCATCTGAAGACTTATATGCACCCTGTCCGCGCCCTAGCCGACCCTGTAGCCCTAACTGAACCCTTTTCAGCCCTCAGCCCTGTGACCTGATGCACGAGCGGGTTCTCCTCCCGGACTTCCAGGCTCAGCTGCTCAATGGATGGCCAGGAGAGAAGGACCGATCTCCTGGGCTCTGTTTGCATCTTCGATGTTCCTATTCTATGGCCTATGGATGCAATATTTAAACTTGAAACGCTGTCTACAGCCTGTCCCTGCTACGCCGCTTCACTAATACGGCAAGCGGCAAGAATCCTATTCGCTGCATATCTCGATTGTCGTAGCAACTCGTAGCTACACAGCTTAGGAAGCAAGAGATGCTTGGCTACTGCTTGTCACTGTCATGGTAACTCAAACAGCTCGAGGCAGCTCGAAGTCCTTATAAGAAGAGCCCAGTTTCTTCCATCGCGGGCTGGACTCCTCGAGGGCCCCATCTGGCAGAAGCATCTGCCTCACCCACAACCAACTACGCAACACAGCTCAAGAAACCCTAAGCAGAGGCCAATGGTAGCCTGCCTGTACTGCTTGGCCGTAGCACCCCTCCTCACCCGCTGCCCTTCTTTCTGGGAGTTCTGTAAGTCGCTTCGCCTGTGCGAGGCAGCTCTGCTGCTCCGCCAGCCACTGACCATCTCCGGCCCGGGGCCCGGGCCGCCCGAACGGGAGAATTCAACACAACCGATCCCTATCGCTCCGCTTGTTTTCCACCTGCCTAGCTTTCGGGGATCCTGGAGGTCTGGCTCCTCATCCCGGCACAGGACCTCTGTGACTCTCACCCATACACTCTCTTTAGCCAAGCCGCTGTGGCCGCGGAAGGGCCCAGTCAACAAGGCAGCACCATTCTTCCGAGACATTTGGCCACTGGAACGGCTTAGACCGTGCGAGTGGCAAAGACCAGGCATCTTGAGGGCTTTGAAGCTGTGGCAGCAGGGCCTGAGCGTAGAGGAGGACTTCGTAGACGACACCCGGCTGGAATCCATGAGCAGCTACCTCCAAGTGATCCTGTTCACCCTGGTCGCTGGGGGCGTTCTGGCCGCTAGCAGTGCTCGCAAGGTGGCGCGCGGTCCTGCCGCATCTTCCCAGCAGGACCTCGTCCTTCGTGGCATCAACCTTGACGATCGTCACTGCAATGTCAATGGGGACAGCACCAAGACCACAACAAAGAGGCCTCCAGGCCAGAGTCACCTTGTGATTGACTGGTGCAAATACCCAAAGCTCGCCATCGGATGACCAGACAGCAGGCTGCTTCATGCATAGAACATCGCCGAAGTCGCTCCAGCATGACCAGAGGCTCACATCACCCACACGAACAGCAGCGGAATACTCGAAGCCATCAGAAGGCAACTCGGATATGGGGATGGACAAGCAAACCTTTGCCGCCGGTACCTGGCCTTGGGTGAGGCTTTGCGGCTTTGCCTGGCAGTCTGCGATCCGGATCCCTTCGCGAAGCTGTCCTCGAAACTTGACTTGACACCGCTGCACTTGATCCCAAGCAAGACGGTCGCCAGGTCCAGGGCACCCAGGACACCGTGGCGCCTCCACCTGCACCACGAGCTGGTTGCACAGGTACGCCAACGTCAGCGTTGGAGGCAGCGGCGCTTCGAAGCTCGTGGTGATGGGCTCCGAGACGTGTGAGAACCAAAGGCTCTGCGGGAGCAGGTTCTTGGCCGCAGAGTCCTGCAGAGCAGCAAGGAATCCCTCCAAGAAAAAAATCAAACTCCAAGGCGTTTAAAGCCGGATCCTCTAAGCATAAACGCAGCTGGACTTGCCGGCACTTCGCTTCAGCATCCACACCCAGGTTCCAAAGCACCTGCCGACGTTTTCGAAGCAAAGGCTGAAGCAAAATAGAGCTCTCGCCTTCACCTCAGCCGGTTTTCCCTCCGTTCCCTCCGCCTGGAGCAGGTTAAGCTGATGTTCACACCATGCAACGCACAAGACGATTGGAGTCCTGTTGGAGTTGGACGGAGGCGGCCGGACGCCAAGGCTCCGTAGCCCCGGACCTGTCTCTGCAACTCTTCTTCAGCGCAGAGGGCCGATCTGGATCGTTTCAGCGGCTTTTCGAATCCCTCCTATATGCCCTTCTTCGAGTGCCTCTGCGTCCCCCCTTAGCCTAGAATTCATCTCATAAAAACTAAACACAAGCCCTTTTTCAATTGCTGCCGGCGAAACAAGTTCCTCCCTCACGGCTGCTCTGCAAAACCGACTCTCTCTCTCCCCCTCCCTGTCTCGACCTAGCCTGTGCCACGGCCGCCACTGCAGTCTCCACAGAAGCTCCTGGCATGTGTTGGGTGCATGCCAGGCCTATTGCGACTCGGGAGTCTTCGTCTCGGCCAAAGGGCCTGAGAGGAGCGAGTGGCGACTCGGGGGTCCAGCGACAGCGTGAGCGACTCGAGAGCCTCCCTGGGCTTTAAGCATGTACGAGTCCGATTGGAAGATGCTTTTCGTGCAAGAAAGAATGACAGAATGCCAAGCAAGTCAAGGAGTTCAGCATCTGAGCCCAGACACTGAGGATCTTTCGCCAGGGATGGTGGCATCAGGGGTGCCAATATGGCATGCCGGCAGGGTCCTGCAAGCGCTCCAGAGCAGAAAGAAGCCTCCACAGACGCCCCCGAGCGAAGTCCCGATGCCCCGCATCCCTCTCCTGTGCAAAACACCGTTTCAAGCCTGGCTTTCGCATCGCCGTTTGCAGCTGAAACGGCGAAGTGGTACCTAGGCTGCTTTGCTGGAGCTTGGCCTGCTCTGACTCAATGCTGCTGAATGCAACTTTCCATCACGATTCGAGAACAACTCTGGCAAAGTCTATCCTGTCAATAATCGTTGGAGTATCTTTAGACAAAGGGGCTCTGTCTCCGGCGCCAGGCGCCGCAGCCACGCGGCGCAGCGCAGGGCGAGGGCTCCCGCCGGTGCTGGCGTGAAGACCTCCGGACGAGCACTCACAGTTCGTGGGCCTGCGGTGTTCTTCAATGATGTGCAGTCGCTGGCTCCCATGTTGCCGTTTTAACTAGTCAGTAAGGCTCTCAGCTATGCCAGCTATGCTTCTGCTCCCCTGGATGACACCGCCTCTTCCTCCGCAGGTATTTGACTCAAGGTGCACGCAACAATCTGCCTCATCATCATCTTCGTGTCGAGCTGACTCCAACGACACTGCCACTTGGTAGCCCGTCAGACCTTGCCCCAACACGCAGTGTGAAAGGAAGGACCGGACTCCAAAATGTCATTCCGAGGTGCTCTGTGATGTGAAGCTGTCCCAAGATAGCTGCACGCAGCAACTGCTCAATGCCGCGATCATCTCGCCGAAGCTTTGGGGAGCTCCCGCAGCAACACCTGCTGCTTTTTGGGTTGTTATCTCGACTCGGAAAGAAAAGAATCAAGGACCCTCCCAAGGTCTCGAAGTGAAAGGCCATCTTCGCGAGCCCAGTGGCCCTCTCGCACGCGCAGCTCGTCACCAACCCTCGGCCGCGGTGGCGGCCGTTCCAGGAGAGCGTCCACAGCCTCGGTCAAAGACTGAAGAGACAGAGAAGAGCCAGGGCGGATCCCAGGTCCCCGAGTCCACGGCCTCGGTCCACGGCGACCACACCGGCGTCGGGGACAGGGCTGGGGCAGCGCGGAGGCGGACGCGGTAGCGGCCTCCCAGATATTGAGATTGAGAACCACGACGCGAGAGAGAGGTCGCTCTGCATCCCCGAAGGCCTGGAGCCAAGATGGCCGGGCCCAGGAAAACTTTGATCTCCTCGTCCCTGGCTCCCCACACTCAAGACCAAACAACATAGAGAGAGAGAGAGAGAGAGCGGGGGGAGGGGGGTTGTGAGTTCAAGGTCTTGGACTGCAAACGTGCGCCTCCGAATGAAAGGATGATCCACAGAACGTGCTGGCAGTATCATCCGCTCCTCGTTCTCCGCCTGTGCTGGCAAAACTATCTACGGGTCGTTGAATTCTGTGGATGGCCTCGAAGCAAACCTGGAAGCGCGACAAGGCCTCCGGCACGACCGTGCAATATTTGGCACACACACTTTCTTTGATGCTTGCAAGCAAAACTTTGTGTGGGCCACGTATGCACTGTGGGTCGCCTCGCGGCAGGCGGATCGAAAGCGCAGCTGGAGTGCTGGGGCACCGTGGCGAAAGAAGACATCGGCCATCAACGGCGGTGCCTGGAGCCACTGCTGGTGGTCCTATCTCCGCCATAAAGGGCCTATCCGCAAGCCCTAGGCCCAGCATGGCCCAGCCTCAGCAACCGCTTGCAGCAGAAGCATCTCGCCGGGCTCTGCCGAGGCCCAGCGAAGGTAACAGGGGACAGGCCCCAACCTGGTACGTCACTTTGAACTCATAAAAGAAACTGTCTAAAGCAAAGGTCTGCTCATGGGGGGGTGCTTCGTGTCGCTTGAAGCCAATAACATCGACGCTTCAGGCACCAGCCCATGAGCAGTTCAAAGCAGACCGTGCCGCATCGATGCGCCATATCGGCCCGATTATCGGTGTGAAGTAGCATCATGGGTGTCGCACAGTCAGCCTGCGCAGGTCCAATGCCAGTCCGCCCTGTTCCAGCTCATGGGGCAGTCGCTGCCACTCCAGGTGCCCACCTTTGCAGAGCCCCCTCAAGCCGAAGCGGGAAAATGCTGAACCCCTCTTTTCGTTTCGGGCTGGGCCCCAGGCTCCTGGCCGAAGATGCTGAGGCGAGCTGCAATCCACACTGTGGGTCGACTTCAGAGGCGGCATCCCCGGCAATCGCAAGGGTCGCAAATGGCCTCAAGCAGGTTACCTGGCAGAGCAGATCACAGCCGTACCAGCCCCAATGATGCCAGCATGGAACGGTCCAAAGACAACCCCATAAGTCCAAAATGCGCACCACGCCGTGGTGGGAGCACGACTGCGCAAGGGGGAAACACGAGTGACACCCCAAGACACGCACGAACATGGGTGGTCGGCGAGCTGCATGCTGGCGACTTGAACGCCAAATCAGCACGGCACCGCGCTCTGCGCAAAGCCATACAGCACCGTGGCAAAGTGTCAGCATTAAATGCAGAGTTTGATTTACATTTAGTCGTTCTTACAGACTGGCAAGAACGAAGCGAAACTGTTCCGAGCATTTCGACATGAGAACCCCGGGGTGGTGCCCAACAAGAATCGACGTGAGAGGGGAGTGGGTGGGTGTTCAACTGCCTGGTCGATGTCCTCCTGTTCTCTGGTGAAGCAGGGTGCAGTCCAGCAAGGATGCCGACCAAACCAATTTTTCGTCTTCTGACTGCCCAAAGAATCCACTCTACGACTCCGCGGCAGGGAGAAAGATCGCTGGAGATGGCTTCTGGACCTGCTCCCATCGGCCCCATCACCCAAAACCACGCGGTGGTCGCCCTCCACACGAACTTCATACTCGCAGCTGGGCCTTGCAGGGGCAGAGTTGCAGCTGCTGTCAGCAAACAAACTTGTGAACTCCCTTTGGCAGTTGAAGCTCAGTCGCTGGAGCCCCGTGAGGAGGCAAACTCGGTTGCGCTTGGCATCGTCGTCGGTCTCCACAGGCAAAGGTACCCACTGTGTGCATCGGCTGCTCCCCTTGCAAAATGATTCTGGTCGAGATCTGAGAAGGACACGGTAATCCACCTCACTGTCGAGGAATCCAGGAATTTGGAAAGCTCTCCAGCGAACTGTCGCTTCGCAGGGGTCGCTGTCATTCACTTCCACATCTAGTTCCTCACTGGCAAGAGGAGTAGGCAAGCCCAAGATGACAGCTGCACTGCCCCAGCCACTCCACTCAGATGATAAGCCCTCCTGCGAGGAATACCTCACCGACATCTCCAAGCGGCGCGAGCCCGAAAGGCTCGCGCCCCATGGCCCCTTGAGCGGACCGGACTCGAAGCCTTGAGAGCCCTCCACCACCGTCTCTCTCGCAGCAAACCCGGCGGGTCCCATAGTCCATTCCTTCTCATCCATTCGCCAACGATACTGCCAAGTCCAAAGCAGGTCTTTCAGACCGCCCAGGCCTAGGCTCTCTCTCTCAGACTCTGGGAGTGCCCAGTCCAGGACCACCTCCTGATCCAAATCCGGACTTCTCCTGGTCTCGAGGCGCGCCTTAGCCTTCAACGTGGGAGGCTCCAGGCCCAGGAGAAGTGGCAGCGTCGCTTGCCCCAGCCAGGTGCAGGGATCCTTCCGCACCGCAAGACCCCACTTCACCCAGTCCGGCTGCTTGTATGCTAGTCGGAAGATCACGGCAGTGCCCGGCAAACTTACCGGAACCGATGCTGCGAGGCGCCCGGCAGATCCGTCAATGCGCGTCCTGACCACGGAGACATGGGCAACATGTCACCGCGGTGTCGTGGCGAACATCTCATGCACCCCTACAGTTTCCTAGCGGGGTCCTGCCCAAAGGCACGGGCCAGCAGGCCAGGGACATCCAGCTGTGCTCGCCGTCTGTAGAGTTCTTGCTGTCTGCTCGCTCTAGTCGTTGTGAATCCATCCGCTTCGGTGCGTTCTTACCGCCCTTCACCTCACAGAGACGCATGGAACCTCACTGCTGGGAGCAGGCCTCCCTGGCCTCGGGTTGGCGCCCCGAGGAGGCCTTGCTGGACGCCGAGCCTGACTTAAGCAGCAGGGCACCCAGCGAAGATCCGGGATCACCGGGATCCGGGAGCCGTCCCAGCCTTTGCTCGGAAGTCTGGGCCGCGCGGCCTCGTTCCAGGCGCTGCCTCCGACACAGCGCAGGAGGACAGTCGTCGCGCTTCACGAGAGAAAAACAAGACCCACGGCCTACGCTGGTGTGCTCACACATCTGCAGCATGTGCGTCGTCATGATGTCCTGGCCGTGATTTGGCTGTCCGATCTTTGCGCTCTGAAATCTTCTATTACAATGATCTGCAGGCCATTTGCTTGCCACCCCTTCAAACTTGTTGATTTGGGTTCGTATATCTTGTTCACAAGCGTCCAACAGCCCAACGACTAGGGCCAGTACAGCAGGCACCGACAGAAGAAGCCCTGATCTCCCCTCTAGCTGCCTCCGGAGGCGATTGCGGCAAACATGAACCCAATGACTGGACCGAAGGCCGAAGGGATGAGACGATAACCCCTGAACAACTGAGCATTATCGCCAAATATCGCGGTCATAGACTCAAAGAGTCCAGGACGAATTAAAGGCCGTTGTTCTGGCATGAAGTACCACCTGCGTTCAATGCCGCGTTCTGGCGCGGAGTACAGCGAAAGCCGCTAAGTACGGCAGTCTGGCGAGACCCAGGCTAGGCTTTGCCGACCCTCTGGCAAGACGCCTGAGCGGTCCTGAAGGGTTTGGGTCCCAGTGAAGACATCCAAGATCACGATCAGCTCTGCATCCTGACCGGACTCACAAAAAACCAGACAAAGTACTGGAATTCGCCCTGGGCCTCACCCGGCTCTTGACCAGCCTTAGCTCCCGAATTAGCGAAGACCAGCACGTGATTAATCTGGAATCTTCGTTGCAATGGGTTGCTGCGTTCTTGTCCTTTTCATTGTGCATGCCTTCAGTGGATCATTAGGGTTCAGGCATGTGCCTGAAAAGCCCAAGCATGCCGCTATAGCCCCAAGATGCCCAAGGATTACAGCTTCAGTTGGCTTTGGCTGGTGAAGCGACAACAAGCTTTGCTAGTTTCTCTGTTCTCCATGCATGCTGTGTGGTTGCATGCCTGACCTGACCTGGGCCGAACAACCCCCGCGCCCATTGTTAAAGGCGGCCTGCGGGCGGCTGCTGTTCGATTCTGTGAACGAGCCTCCCCCCACGATTAAAAGCAACGCCGTGTGAGAAGGGCTGCAGCAGGCTCTCGGCACGACTTCGATCGTGAATACTACCAGTACACTACTATCACCACGTTCGGGATTATGTTGGGGTCCGGGATTCCCCGACTGGCCCTGCGACGTTGACGATGTTGAAGGGGAGGTCGTTTATCAGGGGTCAGCACTACCGACCGCCGGCATCACGAGGTATCACAAGTGCGTGTGCGACTGGATGCCGCTTAAGTTAAAGGGGCGCAGCAAACGGTTTTCATAATCTTGTATAGGACAGTTGCCTAGGGAGCTCCCTCCCCAGAGCTAGTGAATGTCAGCAATACTTGCACGGCATCTGCACCGCAAGCTGAGTCTCGCACGGCGGGCGTCGACCGTGCTTCCAAAGCTTTCTGCAGGTCCTCATCTGTCACGGAAGCTACCTGCCAGGGCCCCTCATGAGATGTCGAAGCTTTCGAGCTGCAGCCCCTGACCTGAATGACGGGATGAGGCCGCAGCTTGGTTCCGCCGGTGGACCTGCGCACTCGGCAGATGCAGCTCTTGGCACTGGGGAGATCCCTCTCCGAACATCTGCTGTGTGGCTGCCTGGATTCGGCTCGCGGGGTTTGGGCCGGAGCTCCTGGCGCACAGAAAAGGCTGGAGAAGTCAGCTGCGTGCAAGGAGGAATCTGTATATTCCCTCAAGCCCCGCGCGGCGCCCCATCCTCCCTCTCGGTCCGGCCTGCATCAAGCGCTGCCGGCGCGTCGGGTGCGAAAGGAGGAACTGCCGGAAGCCTGCAGGAGCCGAAAAAGCACCCTCAGGCTTCAACCCCTTGCTCCTTGAAGCGACAGCCTGTGTCTGGCGTCGAAGCCTCGAAAGCAGAAGCCGCCACGCCGCCAGCTCTAAGGCAGTCTGAGGGCCTGGCTCTGTGCTCTCGCCGGGGGAGCCTGAAAGCACGCAGCACCCGATGCTGGAACAACCACCGCACTTGGAGTGCTTCTTCATATGTCTAGTCTTCTAGTCTTCATCACCTTACAGAGGCATCGCTCCGATTCATCCATAACAGCCATCTCATCTCAGAGCCACATCCGGACAAAATCATAGTCTTTGCCCCCCATCGCCTTTGCGCTTCGTCGGGGCGGCGGTGCCGAGGGCGCACGCGGCAGGGGGGGCAACATGAACGGATCTCTGATGCTCTCGGGCTCAGGGCGTGGGGTTGGGCTTCGGGTTGCGCTTCGACTTGGGTTAGACACCAGCTTCGAAGCATTTCGAAGCTTCGGTGTTACTTCATGAACTTCGCGGGTTTAGGGGCTGTATCTTCAAGCCACAGCCTCGTGCACCTGTCGGGGTCGGACCGCGGCCTAGATGCTTCCCAACTCGAGCTCCGACATGCTCGCAAGGCTGGCAAGAACGAAAAGTATGATGTGGACAATCCTTCAGAGCTACTTGAACCCATGGCAAGGTCATGCAACACATGCAACACATGCAACTGCAGTAACACCAGTGCACTGCGAGCGATGATCGTCGGTGTACCAAAATGGTCAACTCTGAAACCAGTGAAAGCACCAGCACCAATAGCAGCAATCGCACAGATCTCTTTTTTCTCCTGGACTTCACTCCGCCAGAAAGCGCTGGACCTCCTGACAAAGAGCTGAGCATGAGACCCAACTCCTTTGACAATGACCAGTCATACTTTGCGATGCCCGATCCTGAGGAAGAGCCACGTGCAGAACCGGATATTCCACGATTGCTTTGTCCATCAGGTTCTCCCTCAGCGTGCGCGACAAGTCGAGCCTGACAGTCGGGGTAGATGCAGGAAATTCGCATCAAATATGCAGTATCTGTGTCATTCATGTTGCGTTTGGGTACCATCTATCTGCCTACGGATAGCTACTGGCGTTCGCCCCAGACGTGGGTTTTACCGCTAGTCAACCCCACGCCGGAAGTCGACCAAAGAACTTGGAACGCCTAGGCTTCCGCAAGGGCACACACCACGCGCTGATATAGCAGACTGTTGCATTCGAACCTGTGAATCTGTGCTTTGAAAAACATTGGCTTGATTACGATGGACAGTCATTTTCACTGGCTCACCGACGCACAATGTTAATGCAGACCGTAGGGGTTACCCCAGCAGAGAGAATTTGTCAAGGAACATCGGGGCTATGAAAGGACATCTAAAGTGCGCCCTGCGCGAGTCACGCGCGACGTTGCGTGAGGATCGCGCGAGATAGGGTCAAGCAGCGAAACACCGGCACCCCCGCCCAACTCGCCATCCAAACACCCCGGCGACTGGTGGAGATCGGAGATTGCATTGCCCGATAACCCGCATGGTGTTACACGGACACATAATATACCACTGACGGTCCTGTTGTTGAGCACAAACCCTTTGGCGGGCAACCAACTCAGGTTTTAGCCTGCGCACACCACAACAAACAACGAACAGCAACAAAAGCAACACACCCAAACAATATGTGGATGATACATGAAAACATTTCCAAACCCTGGTGCACAGCATGCGGAGTCGACTGTCAGTTAGTGAAGTCGAGTTTTTTGTCACTCGCACTCGGCAGGCAGGCGAGGTTTGGGGTCATTCCGGAACCAACAGGTCAACCACCCAGTAGCTGGCTATCAGCATGTTCATATGTGGATGTGAACAGAATATGTGTGTACGCATGTGCGGCAACTCTTGGCGACCCCCCCCCCGCCCCGCCCACATCTTCGAGGGGTCTGCAATCGTCCTCTTGTTCTACAGCAGTCATAGTTTCAATGCAGACGTGAGTCGACCTAGCACATGTATATATACATGCATGTGAAGTTATATTTGTGTAGGTGAGTAGAATAAGCATGATGTATTCGCACATGGCTGTCACACTAACAAACCGAGAACTCGGACAGTGGACCGACAGCCACAAAATCGCTTACCCCGACCTGGCGAAGGGTTCGAAGTGGTCCTCTGCCTCTGACTCTTCCGCCTTGGACTGCTCGCTGGGTGCGTCGCTGGACTCCTCGCTCTCCTCCGACTCCTCTGGCGCTCCAGATCTCTGCTTCGCAACTACAGGCATTGGGTGTGTACAGCGCACTTATTTGAAAGCTTGAGAAAGAGAGAGGCAGGCAGGCGCGTAGATCTACCCATCTATCCAAGTCTTCATGCATCTCTCTCTCACTCTCTCTCTCTCTCCCTCTCCGGGCCTCGCTGGGAAGTCCGGGCTTCGGTGGCGGAGGCGGAGGCGGAGGAAGAGGGAGACGGGGGCCTCATTCCAACCCAAAAGTGCCAGGATCGCCATGTCAGACCCCGAATACTGAGCCCCTGGCTCAACTCAGGATTCTGCCTTCGACCATCAAGTGTCATGGAAACTGCAGAGCTGCGAAGTCCTCAACCTGGCCTCTTTGCGGGTGGCTCTTCCTCACTGTGCATCTCCTCCTCCGCCTCCTCGAGCAACATCTCACGTCTGGATTTCCAGCCTGCAGGATCGATGCATTCGCAACTTCGAACGGAGTCGGAGCCCTTGGAATTCGGCCAAAGGACTCTCGCGCTCAGCTCTGGCGCGAAGGGGCTGCTGCAGAAATACCTCCGCGAAGCTTCCCGCGAAGCCACGCTACGCAGCGACATTTTTGGGCATGTGGCCTGCAGCTCATCGAGGCCTTGCTCCGCATACCTGCTTGAGCTTCTCGAAGCTAATTTGCCACTCTCTGCCTTCTCCATGCGGCCGGACGGGAGGAGAAGATGTCGGGTAGGCCCCCGTGACCAGGAATTCTTGAGGAAACGCTCCTGGCAGGAATGCGAAAGCGGTGAAACCGGAGTCCATCCGATTGGTGTCTGAGCCGACTACCAGCACTTGGCCTACTACCTCGTGCTCTGCTGTGCTCCGGTCCTCGGGATACTCGAATTCAAGAGGACAAAGAAGCTACAAGTACTTGGAACTCTATCGCTTTGAGGGCAAGCGGCCGTGAGCACTTGCCCACAAGCGCCAAAATGCCAGTCAACTCGCCAAGAGATGTAGACCGGTTTTGACTCGGAGGCCGTGCTTTTGGAGCCTGCACACTGTTCTGGAAGCCTTTAAGCAGGTCGACCAAGCTCACACCCATCTGAAAACATCTGAAAACTTCCAGCCTTTCTTTCCTTTCCCTTTGCCTTTCCCTGACGGCTCAGGCAATGTGGCATAGTGCGCCAAAAAGAGAGCTTGGCAAGTCCTCCTCCGGCCTTTCCGCTTGCCCTTCCCGCTGGGGTCCACGACGCGAGACGTGTTCTCCCGAGCCAGGGACATGGCGAAGGGAGCCAGGATCAACCTCCCAAGGCACTTCGCCACAGAACTTCGCTCCCAAGCAACAGAACCTTCCTTTCGACACGGGAACCCGCACCTCATCTGCCTCTCCGGCACAGCGCATGCCCTGGCCAGCTCGATTCGCATTTTATGTCGCCTCGACGATGCACAGCGGACACGAAGTCTACACAACGCAAGTTAACACATAAGGCAATGTCAATGTACAATCACTGCTCGTGTGATTCTTGATGGTTGGCAAGATGAGACTATGAAATTCACCGACGCTTCACAGCAAAGGGTACTTGAAGGCTCAGGGCAATACTGGAAAAGAATCGATACAGTACATCTTTCGGCAATCCACCACCCGCCGACAGTCCCTGACTCCATCAGTAAGTCAAAGAGCCTCGTAGTAGATGTCTTACGTGAATGCTTTCTTCAAGCATACGACCACAATCAGGATACACCAGGACGAACCACTCTCTGGTCGCATTGTTTTGGAGGTTAACCCTTTGTGGTAGCTTCGGGCGACAGTCATGAAGCCCGGGCGGCTTTGGGAGTAGCAAGGACTGACTAACTTCTAGCTTGGAATTGCTTGCCGCTGGTGCTGCCGGCACGCGTAATGCCCATCGTAGTGCATGCTTCGGGCCCATAGATAATACTCGTAGATCTTTACATAAGTGTGGGGTAGTTCGGTATGATGCGGCTGCTGCGGCGCTGGTACCTGCCAGCTCTGCCCCTGTTGAACGGAGCAAAAACAACCCTTTTGCACCGCCTGCTTTTTGATATCTGCGTGTGCAGAGAGGATTTCAGACGTGCGCCCATCCTCGCCCAAGCATCTTGAGCGCGCGGCTTGGGCTGGTAGAGTCGTAGCTCCTCCGGGTTGCAGGGTCTTTTGCCAGCCTAGTGCTGCCAATCTGCAGCGGTACCGGTTGCATGGAGACGTGAAGTCAAGATAGGAGTAATTAGCAACTAATAGCGAGAGACGAGAGACAGAAAGACAGAGACAGAGGCCTAGGGGCAGCCACGCTCTGCCTCGTCGCGGATCCTGAGGTCCCGATTGGCCCGATCGACTGCCGCATCCACCTCCTCCAAAAGCCCGAAGTCCCGAAGGAGGACCTGGCACTTGTCACGAACAAAAAATGAGCTCTTAACCGGAGATCTTTTCCAAACTTAGAAGTGAAGCCAAGGGACATCGTCTGTGAAGGAGTTCAATGGCGCAACGTGCTTCGTACGAGCTCGCTTTCCCGTGCAGCCCGTCTGCACCTTGTGCTCCTGCGTCACCGACTTGAACAGACTGCTAGTCTCTTTCTTGCCCGCATCGCACCTGCCTTGACACAGTCGGCTGAGCAGCTCCGGATGTCGCAGGCCGGGCAGCCTCAAACGAATCGAAACTCTGTGATTTTCGGACCTACGAAGAGGCTCTACGTATGTGTGAACCGTTGTCTACAGTTTTGTCTGGGCAGTACAACACAGCATGTGAACCTGCAAGCAAGTGTAAAGAGGCAACCAACCCACTCATTCATGAGCTGTACAGACCGAGCTCTTGACTTAGGTATGCAACACACAAAAGTCCATGCATCCGATTTTGGACTGACTTTTGGTTACATCGGCGCCATGTCAAGACTCCACCATACGCTACCACCTTCGACTTCCTGCGCTGCCTGACTGATTAGAGCTCTTGTTCGGACTTCTGCACTGGCCTTAGCTGACGATCACCCAAATTCCATGACGGGCCCCAAGCGATACTTCGGCAACTCTTTGTTGCAAACTGCACAGAGGGCCGAGGGGGACCTGTGCAAGTGCGAGCGACGAATGCAAGCAACCGCATGCTGCTTGCAAGCCTGCTACTCACAGTCTCCATGTGCGGATAGTGGACCTGAGTGACTCAAACAAGATTGCCGCTTCAGTTCTGAGTGACTGCTCCCACCTGCAGTCATCATGGCAAGCGATGCTCATCGGTCCATGAGGTTCATAATGTTGCATGATCTACATGCGGTCCGACGTTATGCACGCTTTCACACCCCCTGAAAACCGCTTCTTTGTTCCAGGCGCGCCTAGATTTGGTTAGTCTCCGCTGGAGGTCATTTTGGGAACCGGCAGCACCGCCTGCGCATCTATAGACTCGTTGGCTACGGTGTGAAGCCATTGAGCCGAATGCTAGACCCAAGGTATTCACGGATATGCGCATTGACACGACGTCAGAGCAAAGGCCTTCGGTCCGGGAACTCATCCTCTGACAGCCCGGGTCGGGGAGTAATGAGTGGATTCATCAGCTAGCGAAGACGTCGCGGCCACGGCCCTGGAGCGCACGTCGGTGGACGCTGACGACATTCCAGGACACAGTCTCATCCGTTCGGTCTGCAGTGCTGCTAGGGATGTTTATGGAGGTTGCAACACTGCCGTCTTCAGCAGTTCGGTCGCCGCCCTGGCAAAGATCTGACATGATCATGCCAAAGGAGGAGTTAGGCTCACAGGCACGTTAAGTCCGTGGACGAGAAGGTCTCCGAGCTGGTGAGGATCATGAGGGCGTTCCTGCAGTGCGTCTACGCAGTCCGCAGCCACACCGAACCGCCAATCCGGCTGGGAATCATGAGGTCGCGAAGATTGCGAGGGTGAAGGGGCCTATCCTGCTTCACGCTTTGCGCCTGTTGGGGAACCTTGTCTTCACCGGGCGGCCAATGCAATGTCTGAGCCTCCTGTTGAGGTTGCGCGGTCCACATCGTCATATACAGCCTCCTCTGTCGTACCTCCCAATGCCTCCCAATGTGGCACTCTAGCAAAGCAGTGCGTGCTGGAGGAAACCGCCTCCCACGAAGTCCCACCTTCAGAAGATGGAGGCCTCCGACAGGGCCTGCTCGTGGCCCAGGTCCTTGTAACCCACGGCGGCATTGCGCGAAATTGGGGACGACATAGCAGAGAACGATGCTCACCCGACAGCAACTTGGCAACGTGGAGGCTGTGAAGGATCTCGAGCCACATGAAGACTTGTGACGCTCACGGAACAAGAAATACAAGTAGCCATGCCTACGCTGTGCAGAGTGCCAGCAGCCACCATGAGTGAAATCCTCCAGTCCGCTCAACTGCTCAGTGGCCGTCGTGCACCTGCCTCCATTTTCCGCTGTCCAGCTAAGGGCCGTGGGTATAGCACACACTTCAGGAAAAAGCTCCTTGCCGCATTGTGATCTGTACACCGACAGGCGGAGTCTCTGACTCGCATGAGAGGTTTGTCCGTTGCACCTGTATGCTATCATACGGACTTGTATTTATTGCAGTATATGCCCAGAACACATGCAAGACATTGCTGTTTTGACGCAGTGCATCAAGAACCGTGATGAGGAGATGGTGCTGAATCGGATAAACTAGCGCAACACTCGCGACACACTACGAAGACTGACCCGTTATGAATGTGATAACAAGCAAAAATTAATACTCTTCTACTAGATTGAATCATGCGAAAAAGTGAAGAGAACAACTGCAGAACAAGTTATACGCTGCCGGCGGCACCAGTCGAAGCCCTTCTCCTCTGCCAACAACACCCACCATCGCCGTCGTCGTGAGTGTCGTCGTCAGTCGTCCGTCGTCCGTCGTCCGTCATCCGTCGTCGGCCATCGGTTTCGTCGGTGTCGGTGTCATCGGCGTCGGTGGTGTCGTCGGGGTTGTCGATGTCGTCGTCAACCGTAGCGGCGGCGTCGACGTCATCTTCATCATCTTCATCCTCATCCTGAACCAGAACCACTGCACCGGCTACCGCATCATTAACATGCACAAAACATCGTAATGTCTAATCGCTTCCGTCATGGTACAGTTCGACATCCCTCCAAGGCCCGGCGAGTGCGGGTGAGACGCGGCAAGGCACGCGCATGTTGCATTGCTGAGGGTGCGGTCTACAAACATCCAAGATGATCCAAGAACTCTGCCGGAACATAAGCCTGCTCATGCTGAAGAACTGCTTTGCTGCTGCATCAGAGTGCCAAAACACAAGCAGAAACGGAGGTAATTAGCAACACTATCGAAGCTGACATAATCGACCCTGTCCGCTCAGCTCATGCGGACTGCGGCGGCTGACCATCCTCCCCCACGATGCCAACATTTTGGACAGCGGGGTACTTGCGCTTGATCCTGTTCTGGACTTCGACGCGGACCTCGGCTCCAAGCCGAGCTTCAAGACTGTGAACTAAGGCTTCACCGTTCTTGTTAGAGCAAGGAGCTGCCATGCTCTTTAAGGGCGGGCCGACCATCTTCAAGACGACCTTTGGATCCTCGCCGTCCACGAGCTCGAAGATTTCGATGGATCCACCACTGACGCTCAGGAAAGGTCGGATGCCGTTCAAGACCTGCACAGAATCAGAAGAGATATCAAAAGATAGAAAAACCCCGAGCCATGCGGCTCCGAGGCTGCAGGCGCCTCCTCAATCCCAGACTCTGTGAGGGGCTCCTGCTCTTGGTCTATGGCGACAACCTCCGAAATCTCAGGGATGCGCTCCTTAAGCGTCTTCCTTGGTGGAAGCACCAATGATGGCCAAGGGCTGGGCATAGCGGCTTAGCGAATGACGGATGGACAACTGAAGCTCCATTGCGGTCAGGAGTCTCTATTCCCATCTTCATTGTCACGGAAGACGCCGAACAGCTGCTGCATGCCCCAATCAGCTCTAGCTTCACCACCGAGTCCTCGATGTCTGAGATCTTGCAATCTCCGCCATCGCTCTTGAGGTAGGGACGAAGCTCGTCCAACACCTTTACCAGGCCATGAGACGGGTCTCGTCGAATTCGCAAAGCTCGAGAAGCACAAGGCTCCGCAGTTACAGAGCAGGCGCCGCAAAACGTTTCAAATCAAAGCCATGACCCGGCCTCTTGGACATTGTCCCATGTTAACGACAGCTTCGGCTTCTCTTTCTTCTCCGGTTCCCTGGGCTTCTCGGCCTCCTTCTCCTTTGCCTGCCGCAAACGACTCTCTCTCAACGGAGGGCTTCGCTTCGCCGCTTCCTTGCAAGGCAAATCGAGCCTCGGCTTCGTTGAAGGGCCTCGGCGCTCGGCAGCTAAGCTCCTATCGAAAGCTTCCTGAAGTGCATCTTCGCCCTTTTGCGAGCCGGCGGCGACACCACCGTCGCCCGACGCGCGATTCGGCGAAGATGGCCACCTAGCTCCGCGCTGTAGGGTGCTCTCTGCAAGAGTCGGAGGACTCAGGAAGAAGACACACACACACGGACAGAAGCGCACTGCCCGGCCTCGCCGGCAGTTCACCACCACTGCGACAGCGGGCAGGGCAAGGCCTCTCTGGACAAAGAGCCCCACAGCTGCTTCTCGGCTTCTCTTTGCCGCGACTCGGCGGCGGACTGAAGTCACGGTCCCTCGGCTCAATCCGCACAGCGAGTGGAGGCGCCGGCGCGGCTGAAGGCACGTGCACCGGACGCTGTCCCGTCCGTGCGGCGGGGGCAAGCATGGCTCGAAAACCCACCTGAGAACTCGTTACCTTCGGCCTCCCCGAACTTCAAGCAACGTGTGGCTTTATGTACTTGAGATCATGCATCAGTTCTCAGGAGAGACCTTGGGCAATCTAGTTGGCTCTGAAACCACAGAGATAGCAAAGTAGGCAAGTCGGTGAAACGCCGAGATGCCAGCGCAGCATGTCTGAGCCTGTGCTCGCTCCTTTTGTTCGGCTCCATTCTCCCTGAGATGCAAAGGCTGTCTTTGCCAAAAAAGCATTGACCTAGCAGACTCCCCCCACCACGAGCGGTCTCGAGTGAGCACCACCATCGGCGCCACTCCCTGGCCTCCTGTCCCGACTTTGGGGTTTGCCACGTTTACTGCCAGCCTAAAGCCTTAAATGGCCTCCCCAGGTCTCAGTTTCACGGTCTGTACCGTCTCTCCCTGCGACACCGCCGCGCTTCGCTCTTCCCTCAGCCAGGACTCGGCTTGGAGGACCAGGACTGGGCGGGAGAGGCTTGGTTCCCGCAAGGTAGCCCGCCCCCTGGATTGCGAGAGATTGCGAGACTGCCAGACTGGCCCTGCAGGGCATCCAACCAGTGAAGATACTGTGCTTTCAGCAGGGGGACTACCTAAATTTGCCCTAAGCTTGTGCGAAGGTCCTCAGGACATCGCGCAGGTGAAACGACGGTTTCTCAAATCTGCACCGCTGTTTCGAAAGGCCACCTCTAGTCAACCATTTGAGAAACGGCCCGACGACAGCGGGCGCTCAAAGCCAGGAGGGCTTGTCGGCGGATGTCTGAAGTCCTTTCTTTGCAAGTATAACAAAGCAATAGCGCTCGGGTCTTAATGCCCTCGCTGGTCGCTTGTTGGCTGGGTCCATAATCCATAATACATCCTGCAAGCCAACACCTGAACCCTGAGCACACCGAGACGCTACGATTCGCGTCGTTGCAGAAAAGCTTGCGTAGGTAAGCACGACGAGCTCTTGCCCTTGCCCTGCGATTGGCAAGTTCGACAAAACGGAAGCCCAGTTTAGCGGGTTCCATGCAGTTCGGGTCCAGTTGACAGCGTGCTCTTTGAGCAGTCGCCGCCACTTCTACCAGCCGTAGCCAGCCTCGGAGTGCGATCCCGGGAATGACTGGGCAGCAATGTACGCGTGCGCGCACTTCTGCGTGCAAAACGTGTCGCAGCGGGCAGCAGCTCCGACCGCTCAGCCGCAGACCACAATCCCCGGCGACACGCACAGGGCCATGGCCGTGCGAGGCGTCGGTAGTTGTGGGAAGGCCTCAGTATGCTATCAGATCTATCAGGTCACAATGCTCAAGCCCAGCTTGTTTGCCAACTACTCTCGATGCAATGCGTGTGGAGTTGTTGCCTGATTGCGTCTGTACGGACACAGGCAGGACACAGGCACCTGATTTTGGTGCATGCTGTGTTTTCTCTTCAACGCTCTTCTCACTGTCTTTGAAGGCCGACTTCCAGGTCTCGGGCGGCTGCCGGGAAGTGGCATAATATAGTTCGACCCCATCTTCGGCTGACTAACAACTCCCATCTCACCTGACCCTGTGCCAGGACTGTATCTGCACCTTCCTCTCTTGTGTTCTCTCTGCGGGCCTTAGGGCCTAGAGGGGAGAAAGTAGTGATCTCGGTACGAATACGTAACTCTAAGGCAAAGGACTCCGGGGCCAGAGGCAACTCTGACTCCCCGTGATGCTGCAAACCAGTCAAAACAATCGCTCTCTCTTCTCCCTTTCTCTCGCTGTCTCGCTTCTGTTCATTGATTGGGCCTATGGCCAGTCTGGCGGCCCTCAGGACCCGCGGCCCAGCCGTCCACCTGTTTTATGGAGGCTCCCTCTCTGTCTGTCTAGCTCCGTCTCTTTCTTTATCCGATCCCCCCTTTCTCGACTTTGCCGAGCGGCATTCGTCGGTCGCCAGGCGCCTTCTTCCGCATCGAAGACCAGCACCGTGCTGAATTGCCGGGCTAGGGAGGCCGTGGACTCGTCCTCGGACCAGTCCTCACGAGACAAGAGGGGCAGTGTCAGCGCCAGGCAGTGCTCCTCAGCTCGTCTCTCCAGCGTCCTCGTCTCCGTTCTCCCCACCGACCACCACAACACACTGCCTTGTGCAAGTGGGGAAAGTCCTGACGTAGGCCATTCAGTTCAGCACAACAGAGACGGAAGAAAGATGATGTGGCCCCGACCGACCGGGGGCAGGAAGTCTCATTGCCACTGCCTGCTTCAAGGGTTCGAGGCCCCAAAGCGCCAAGGTCCAAGCACCCCGTTCCCAGCCGAACCCTGGCCTGGCAACCCATGCGGCCTTCAGCCATGTCCCCAATCTCATAGCTCTGAGGCCCATGGCAAGTACCTCGGACTGGGAACTTAGACTTTGCCTTCGGACTTGAGCCATTGAGGGGACTCTGAGTGTGCAGCTTTGTTCTGGGCTGCGCTTCTGCACATGGTAGACCTGCCACGGACACACAAAAAACCAAGGCCGAAGAGACCCGGTCCTACAACCTCCTCTAGCCGCTAGCCCTGGCTTGCGGGCTTGCCTCCGCTGAAGAAAGAGAGGGCGCACCGCCCATCACCTGAGCTCGTGCGGCAGTTCAGCGCCACATGGTCTGTGAAGCATGTCATCCTCGATTCCATTCTGATTTGAACCAGAGCTGCTAGAATCCGCTCTGCGTCCAGAGCCACGGCTGCCGCGGTCGTCCTGCCCGGGAGAAGAGTTCCACTCCTACGTATCATCAACAGAAACACAGCAGAGCAGGCTTTCCTGGGAACGCCTAGCTGCGTGTCCAGCAGGGTCCAATGATCATTCCTGGCAGATTTCCAGCTAGCAGCTAGCTGCAACATAGAGATGGAGACGGAAAATCTCAGCCAGGGCATCCCCTGGTTCAGGATCTCCACGCTGGCCAACATCCTGCACTCCGGAGAAGCATTGCAGGCAGCTTTTTGCCTGCAGCTCCATCTGAGCTCCAGACTCTGCCCGACCAAAAACATCATCACAGCCACCAACGGCCGCTAGCTTGCCACCGGCGATCGTCACCACCCTTAAGGACAGCTGCGTTCAGAGCAGAGCCCAAAAGCAGTGCCAGGGGGCCAGGCCTGGCCCCCGCGCGAGCGATGTTCAGGTTGGGAGCTGCTCGCCATTGGTTACTTTGGGAGTCGTAGGCCTCACCGCTACGTCAAAGCGCTGAGCTGCAAAGCTCCATGCTGCCCTCCCTGCGCCTCGCAGCTGCGCAAGGTCTCCATCAGCTCCTGGCAAGACTGCTAAGGCTCAGGCTCACACCAGCGGGGTCTTGATGTGTCAAAGCCACGAATCGGCTACTTGTACTGTAGCAGTGCCGAACATGGAAGCGTCTCCTCACCAATCAAAGAGCCTCCCAGCAGAGCGCATCCCCCGACCTGAGAAACCAAGGCAATCTTCCAAAGCTGACCACATCAAGCTCGCAAAGCTTTGCGAATACGGGTGTCTTCGAAGAGGTTTGGGCAGACCTGGGGTTGTAGTCTTGGTACTTGTAGCGCCTTGGGCTCCAGCCGCAATGGCGGAGGTGCCGAGCACGGAGCAGCCTGTCAAGGACAAGTCGCAGCAGGGGCGCGAAGTGTGTCACAGTGTCACGGCGCAGAGGCGGCAGGGCAGGCGCGCCGTGGCCCCACCGTGCTCGCAACAAGGCCTTGTAGCACCCGCGATAACGAGGGAACTGCCAAGGTCCTGTCGCTGAGGCATCGGCTGCCCCGGTGTTGCGCCAGACTTGGCCTCTTGGGTCAAAGACCTGCTAGGCCACGCGCATGTCACTGCACAGCCTAGATCTGAATGTGTTGGAAGCATGGGATACCACTCTCCACTGGCCTCGCAGCTGTCCAGCACTCCGCGTACGATGCCCTGCTCATCGTAGCCTCGCTTCACCACCCATACGGCGACAAGCTTCTGCAAACATCCGATCGAGTACGGCCTCCACAGACCAGGAAGCAGCCGTTGGGCAAGGGTGCTGCAGCACAACCTCACACGACCCCAAGCAGAAGCACACCACTCGTTATTTGAGTCATGTTTTGCCTTTTAAGCCACTGGCCTGCCCGTTTGGCAAGCATGGGCGGGCAAGTGACCCACCTTTCCAGGGCACTCATCGCGGTCCTGTGCTGTAGATAAAGATGGCTTTTTTTGCATGGCACCTGCCATTCCATGAGTCGAACATCTCCACGACGTTGAGTGGCTCCTTCGAATCTACCGACGTAGCGCATGCTGCATGCTTGACTCTCCATCACAGCGCAAGCTGGAGGCAGCTGCAGGCCTGGTTGCTGTCCCGGCCGCCAATGACATAGAGCTGGTCAGGGACTGGTCCTTTCGTGGCAGACGCGTAGATGAAGCAGGAGATATAAGGAGGAAAGAATCAAACGCAAGCTCAGCGGCCGTTGAAGCTAAGGTAGGGGGCAATCATCTGGCTGTAAATAAACCTCGGCCCGTGCCGTCCCGGTTTGGCTATCAGCACCAGCTGCATTTACATACATATATGAACATATATACGTAGAATATACATATATATATATATATATATATATACATTCACATATAATATGTATGTATCTGTGTATATATATATATATATATATATATACGAGTAAAAATAATTGATATGTTCTCCAGCACTTGAAGAATAGGGCCCACGCGGTGGCAAAGGTGCTCTAGAAGAGCTACCCCTCTGGTCTTCTAAGGCCAAGAGGGCGAGCTTGGCCATTGTGCCTTCAGAACGCGGGGCTGCACCCTCACAGCGCTCGGCCTCACCCTTTACTCTCGGGTACGAGCCTTGCTCCACCCATCGTCCTCCTGGCTGTGCGCGCGGCCTTGGGACCAAATGGCCATCAGGACACTAACTAACATAAAGCGAGTGCGACCCGAAGGACGACAAAGCAAAGACATCAGACCCGAGAAAGCACGAGACGGCAGGGGCTCTGCGCCAAGCTTGGCCCGCACCTCGCGCTTGTCGTCCTTCTCGATGCCGCCACGCGCGAAGCAAAGTCCCATGAAGGGCCCCATCTCACAGTCCGCTGCCTTGGCAGCACGTCAAGGGCCGTCAGGGTCCTGTCTGATAAAGCCCTCTCACGTCGTGCCTGGCACTAGTTCGCAGCTCCATTTGTGGCTGCGGCCTCTGCAGCGCTAGCCCAACGTATCCGAAGAAAGTGGGGAAGCGATCGGCGCCAGCCTCGGACCTCTCGAACTCCGTCGACTCCGGGGCGGGCTTGGGTGAATTTAGCCAGAGCGAACCGGCTGCGGTGAAAAAAAGGCTCTGTCAAGGGAAAGGAGATAGAAACGCGCCCTCTGACACACACTCAATCTTCCGGAAACACATGGTATCCACCGTTGGATCTTTTTGTGCTATGGCATTCGGTGCCACGTCACAGTAAAGGCCAGTGACGGCAACTCCTGCCCACGGCCCCACTGCACTCCCCGCAGGATCGACCTAGACCATGAAGCCGTGGCGTATCTGCCAACTGCTGGCGATGCGAATACACTCACTACGTATCACTGCTTCATCGTCCGGATCTGTGCTACTGCGCACGACTGCAATGCGCGACGGACTTGACCAGGCACCGTCACTGCAACGGGTGTGCCGGCGTCGCCTTCCGCTCTGCCGTGCAAACTTGTGCTTCTATGTACGTGAAACTTATCCTTGATATTCCTGGCTTCGCAAGTAGTACTGGCCTTCGACTGTTGCTCACGCTCTGGTGATGCAAGCTCAACTCCAAGATTTACTTGTGCTGCTGTGTACCCGTGAGAGATTTCGAAAAAAATCTGACTGCGCCCTAATGGGGGCTTGGCGGGCATTAACACAGAGGCGCGTCACACGCCGGGCGCGCCACTGGGGGCGGAAAACCATGCTGCTCAGCTACTGCCTGGCCACGCACCACCGGATAGTCCGTGAGTCGGCATGCATGGTGCATGGGCTTCAGAGAGCAACACATGCCCAAGATTCTGAAAAGGAACTGAATATCCTCAGCAGTGAGCCTTTGCAAAGCCTAGCCAAGGGCCGAGGCGGTGCCCATTGCTTGAGCCGGACTCAACGTGCAAGAGCCTGATTGGAGTTGCCCACGGTGCAATCAAACACCGTTTGCTTCTTCTCCTGGAGTTCGATGATCTTCTCCTCGATTGTGTTGGCCTTGGGGAGAACGTAGACCGAGCCAAGCCGCCAAGCCCATGCAGAGTCGAGCGCGCTGCCGCAACGAAGCGAGTCGCCTTCACCGGCCGGGTCTGGCCGATGCGATGAGCTCCTTAAGCCAAAGTGCCAAAGGGTTCCGAACAGGAAGAAGTGAGAAAAAGCGAAGAGGCACGGGCGTTGAATGGCCTGGGCCTCCGCAGCCGGGTTCCACCTACCGTGCGAAGGATTCACTGACTCGACCTGTCCTCTCAAAAGTGAAGTTCGTCTATAAGTCCAGGCCAGGGATGCCAAGGGTCCATCAGGAAGATGTGGTCCGCTGCTTGCAGGTTCAGCCCCTCTCCTTGGCGGAACCCTCCATGACCAAAACTTATCGAGAAAGCATGCAGAAAGTGAAAACCGCTTTTGTTTGTACCTCCGTACATCAGCCCTACATGCATGAAACATGGACCACGGCTTACCATGTGGCACTGACAATGCCCACATAAGGCAGAGACCTCCGGCTTTCAGGGAGATGAGGAGGACCTTGAGACTAGGCTCGGTCTGGAAAGACACGATGATGTTGTTCCTCCCAGCTTGAGAGGCTCTGACACGACGATGAATCAAAAAAACGAACAAAAGCCCAACCCCCGTCCGTGAAACAATGGGCATGCTGCCCAGCACAGTGGCCGCAGAGATGCCCTCCCGCTTCAGGCGCCACTCGATGAGCTCCAGGAAACGCGTGAACTGGGAGAAGACCAGTGCCTCCGAAGCAGCCAGAACTGGCAAATCGTGGAACAAGTCAGTTGTACAGCCCACGGATGCTCCGACAGGCTCAGCAGGCTCACAACGAAGCCTTGCTCGAGGGATCTGCCGCCTGCATCTTCTGGATCTCCTTTCGACACTAATCCAAGGATTTTGCGAACAAGAGCTCCGCACCCATCAACACGGCTCCTGCAGCAGGGCCTCGATTTTGGTGCTGCTTTGGAAGTCCGCGGTCTTGATCTTCTGCATGATGCCTTCGCTGCACAAGCTCTGACACCAAACCGCGACACCTCCACAGCTTCTGCGCCTTTTCGGCGTCCCTTTGCCGGTGGCTCCACATCTGCCGAGGATTGGGCAATGCTTCCACACACTGTGTCTGACGACCCCGGCAGTGCAGCACCCGTGTGCACGCATTAATTATGCACTCGTGCGAATATGTGTACACAGGGGTCAAAATGCAGCATGATGTGCAGACGACCAACTACCACCAGCAAGACTAGAAATGGAGAATAACTGGAAGATGAAGGATGATAAAGAGGACGATGTTTAACTGGTGGTGGTGATAATGATGATAATGTGATTAATGATGAGGGTCGGCTTCATAATTGTGATAATCAGGATGCGGGATCGCTACCATTGCTAGTACTGGTCGTGACCAGTAATAAGTCGTAGCCGTGGTGGTTGTGCGTGGCAATGGTCGTCGTGGGGTACTGTAGTTTTTGTCACCCAAGAAGTAGCAGTCATAGTAGTAGCAGCAGAAGTAGGAGGAGGAGTAGTAGTAGTAGTAGTTGTAGCAGTCGTCGTCGTCGCAGCAGCAGCCGTGGTAGTAGTAATCGTAGTAGTAGTAGTAGTAGTAGTAGTAGTTTTGTCACCCACCTAGCACGGCAATGCAGTAGTAGTAGTAGTAGTAGTAGTAGTAGTAGTAGTAGTAGTAGTAGTAGTAGTAGTAGTAGTAGCAGTAGCAGTAGCAGTAGCAGTAGCAGTAGCAGTAGTAGTAGTAGTAGTAGTAGTAGTATTGGTAGTAGTAGTAGTAGTAGTAGTAGTAGTAGTAGTAATACGTAGTAGTAGTAGTAGTAGTAGTAGTAGTAGTAGTAGTAGTAGTAGTAGTAGTAGTACAAGTTGTAGTGGTTAGTAATCATACAAACTACTACAAGAAGCTGCAGCAACAGGTAGAGAGAAAGAGAGAGAGAGAGAGAGAGAGACAGGGAGAGATAGAGAAAGAGAGAGAGAAAGGGTGAGAGAGATAGCAAGACAGTGTGTTTGTGTGTGTGTGTGTGTGTGTTTGTGCTTGTGCTTGTGCTTGTGCTTGTGCTTGTGCTCGTGGTTGTGTCTGTGTTTGTGGTTGTGTTTGTGTGTGTGTGTGTTTGTGTGTGTGTGTGTGTGTGTTTGTGTTTGTGTGTGTGTGTGTGTGTGTGTGTGTTTGTGTGTGTGTGTGTGCGCGCGTGCGTGCGCGATGCGTTTATGCGTGTAGGTGTGTCTGCACGTCTGTATGCGTACGTATGCATGTTTCCTTTTGCGCGACCCATTTATGCATAGACGGGTAGATGACTAGATAGATAGGTAGACAGATAATGAATAGATAGGCCGGTGGATACACAGATAGACAGATAAACAAGCAGCTAGACAGGTAGATAGGATAGGCAATGGATAGATAAGTAAATAAACAGATAGATAAACCGATTGATCTGTAGATTGAATGATGGGTGAAGGAGATTGGAAAAGCTATCGTAAACAAAGATCACACCTCACGATCTGTCTGGAGAGTCTAGTTACTAGTTACTAGTTTGTACCCTGGCAGTCACGTGCGAGTCAACATGCCAGTCCATCTGTTTTTGAGTTCAAGTCGTCTTAGAGTCGTCTTTTAGCCGTAGGGCATGTCCTCTCGCAAGTATTCGCCGGCCCGGCCACTGGCCTTTCGCCGGGGCTTCGAAGTCTTCCGGGATGACGTCGTCCTCGCACAGAGCTCTGTGAGTCGCAAGGTTCTCGGACTCGGACTGGCATCTGGGCCCCAGCTATGCAGCCGATCGGCTCATGCGGCCTAAGCAATTCAGTTCAACTCTGCTTCCTGCCGGGTCAGAGACGGCACTTGCGGCTTCTCCGCTTGCGCTCTCTGTTGAATTGGTTTTGGTGCTGCTGGCTTTTGAAAAGTCTTGACCCTTTCCAGCTCTTGCGGTTTCGTCAGACGTTAAAGACCACTCCGAGGCATTCCGTCCTCCTCCTGATCCTGATCTTCCTGGCAAGTGAAAAAAGCCCACAAACAGCGTGAAGCACGCCGCACACGTCTGGCGCCAGCCTGGGCCTCGGGATCTGCCCAGGTCATCGGGACGAAGCAGGTGGGACCTAGGCAAACTCCACGAACATGGGGTTCTCACGCCAATGAGCCCTGCAAGTAGTTTGAAGAACTTACGAAACTGTGCCACAGCATCGACCCGACACTCTTACAGCTGTCCCAGGCACACCCGACGCCGCCACTCGGCAGCTGTGGCGCCTGCTCCAGATACCTCCGCGAATGTACATGTCGGGTGCTGGACTGTTGTAGTTGGGCGGGCGCTAAGGGCGCTGCTCTTTTAGACAGTCCTTGTGGAAGCAATGCCCGCACGATGCAGTTGCTTGCTGGCGCCGATCCTCTCAACAACTAAACACCTCTTCTGCAAAACAGACCTTGCATGAAAAGTCAAACCCTTCGAGCCCCGTTCAACCGACGACGTGATACGAGTGTCCCTACTCGCAGGTGTCCTCGATGTCATCTTGGCACAAGGCACACACCTCTGCGATGCCTGAGCCGGACTCCATGATTTGATGCCCGGAACTCTCCGAGTACTTCTAGGCCGGCTGCCGTGACTCTTGCTCGGCATTTTGCTCACGGATCCGGAATCCTCGACGCACCAAGATACCAGCTCCTTCGCGCTTCCGCGATGCTCCAAGGGCCCTGCCGAGGAGGCTTTTAAGGAGCCGTGTACGATGAGGTACGGGTGGTCTACCTCTTGCGACAAACCCGAGCATCGCTGCACCGCTGCCGCATGGCGACGGCGATGATAGTCGGCAGCGTGGTGACGTATGGTGACACTGGGCGACACGAAAGCGATGACGATTGTGATGCTGATGCTGAAGCTGATGATTTGGCTGCGATGATACTCAGTGCAACCATGACCATGGTCGATACCATTTCTGTCGTTTCTGTCGTAATGCGTCATGCCACTCCTGACTGTGATGCAATGGTCACGACACCTTTGATGCAGATGTCAGGAGTGGTGGCGACGATGCACATTGCTACCGGTGATGATGCTTAGGAACACAAAAAAGAAAATGAATGTGAAGAAGACCATGCTGCTCATAAAGATTGTGAGTGGTGATTCCGAGCATCATGGTTGTGGTGGTGGCGGTGTCGGTGGCGACGGCGCTGGTGGTGGTGAAGTGGCAGTGTCAATGGTGGCGGTGGTGATGATTGATGGCGGTTGCGGTCGCGGTGCACGGCCACCACCACCACCACCACCACCACCACCACCAAGCTCGTCATGTAGTAGTAGTAGTAGTAGTAGTAGTAGTAGTAGTAGTAGTAGTAGTAGTAGTAGTAGTAGTAGTAGTAGTAGTAGTAGTAGTAGTAGTACGCCGTACGCGTTGTAGGCCAAGGTCGTCATCATCATCATCATCATCATCATCACCATCAACAGCCACTTCATCCAAACACTCAAAGGTCACTGCATGCACATTAGATCGACATGGGATACAAGAGTCTGACAGACATCCTGCATAGAGAGCTCTCGGAACAAGACTGAACAACATGGCAAGACTAACATTGCCGAACCGCGAGCCACCCAATGTACACGACTGTAAGGGTAAGTGCACATGAAGTTGGCTGCCGCGCTCTGCAGCAATGCCTTCGTGTCGTGTGCAGCCTAGCTGGCTGCTTCCATGTATGTCTGGAAGCTTTCACGTGGAAAGAAACAATGCTGGCAGATTGCTAGGTAGGAGAATCAAGAAGAGAACGAGGGAAAGACAAAGACGTCTACGGTCACGCTCCCGGCAGCAATTCACGGGTTGGCCGGTCGGCAGGCGGGTTGGTAAGTTGACTGGCTGGCGTATCTGATTGGGCAAATCAACTCAAAGGCTTTCGGGAGGCGGCTCACCCGGACAGCTCTCGCTGGGAGTCCAACAGCCTGCCGCAGCCTCATGATCAAGTCGAACCTGAGTGCTCAGGTGATGCTGAGCCGAAATTTCATTTGCCATCGACTGCCGTAGGTACCGCACACATGCGCGTAATTGTGGAGCACGGTCCCACCTTCGACGTAGGTGTCGAACTGCGTCCGGCCTTCAACAGATTCAGGGAATCAAGTGTTCAGGATGGAAGAACCCCTGAAACTCGGCGGAACATGGACTCTGTGAGCCTGCTGTGTACATTGCAGTGTAGAAGTCCTGCTCTTGGTCAGAAAGCTTGTCCTTTCCTGAAGCCAGTATGACGCTTCACAAGCGAGAACTGCGGCGCCGTCTGTCCACTGGGTTTGCGAGCGTATTCGAACCGTCAGCTGCGGCAACCTTACATCCACGCACACAGTTGCACTGGATGCTGGTTGATTGATACAGCGGCGCTGACGGTGCTAAGCAAAACATGGCTGCGAAAGGCGAAGGAGCACCCTGTACAGCCTATGTGGCTTCATGCCCAGAAAAGGCAACGTCATGGCCGTGGCCAGTACATACCCACGTGCGATTGGAAGCAAACCTATGCTTCGTGGTCGGCACATAAGGCACATAATCACGATGGCCATCAATAAGAGGCTAAAGGGAGGATGGCCTGACCTGATGACGTCCATGTCCACTTCAACAGACGACAGGCGGGGCACAGCAGGTTTGCGGCCGAATCCAACCCCCACGAAAAGGGCTAGACACAGTAGGCTGGATGCCACGATGCAGCGAGATCTCAGCCTCCGACTGCACATCCGCCGCACGCTCCACTTTGGTTCGACGAAGAAGGATGCCTCCGCCAGTCTCGCGAGTTCGTGCTGTTTGCGAAATTCACACCTGAAATCCCGAAAGGCCACCCGTCGGAAGATGCGCTCGCAGACCCACATAAACTTGCCAGCGCTGCGATCCAGGACCTCCGTTCTCAGCTTCTCCATGGCCTTGGCAAGCACTTCGAGGCCCCGATCTTGTCATTTCGGACGCTTCTGAGCCGCACGCCACCTTCCCGGCACCAAGGAAGCCGAACTTCTTGATAGGGTTGGAAACCTGAGTAGGCCAAAACAAATCTATGCTCGCCAGCGAAAAGCTGGTGCGGCCTCGGTGGTGAAGTGGCTGCGATGCTGCATCTTGGTGTGGCCTGGCGAAAGCAGACCCAAAACCAACGAACCACAGGCTCAGCGTGCGGTCAATGCCGCGAGGCCGGCCGCATTTCTTGCAAAGCGAGGTCTCAATATCGAAGCGGTAGTGCAGCGAGCAACACTTGCAGCCTTTCCTTGTGCAGAAGTAGTGCGCCTCAAGATCCGAGTTCAAAGACGAAAATGGCTGACTACACGTAGCACTTCTGAGCCGTCAGCATATGGATAGAACTGGATGAATCTGATGATGGACCAGAACTCCCCCACTCGATTCTGGAGCGGGGTGCCAGACAGGCACCAGCGTGACCCGCGCACCCGCAGCGCAAAGGCAGCCTCAGGGAGTCAAGCGACACAACCTGCAAAACATGCCACCCCCTGACAGATCTGACTGAAACCTGGATAAGCAACGAGAACACGTCTCTGATCGGACGGAGCACGGGACTCCAAGTCCAGGGTTGCAAGTGTTTAATTTTGGTTTGGGTTAGTGCCGAGACTTATGCGGATCACGGCACACCTTTGCCTCCCGGTAGACCCACACAGCAGGCATTAGCTACCCTCTGTCATGTGATGGCAGCGCTCTGCCTGTGCCGTGCTGTTCGTCCGAGTCTTGATGCGATGTGCCTGCAGTCCATGGCACTAACTGAAAAGCGGCGCAGCTTCAGATGCCTCGTCGAGGACAACGCGGCCCCAAACCGTTTTGTACAACGCCGACCTTCCAGAATCCGCAGTGTTGTGACGCCCAGCTCCCTGGCCCTGGCCCGAGCCCCCACCTCGAGAGATCGATGTCTGCAGCATCCTGCGACGCTTCACACGTAGTTTCACGCAGCATCCCGTGAAGATCTCTTGACAGAATCGTCCTCATCATCCGAATCAGCGGGAGGAGGAGGAGGAGGAGGTGGAGGTGGAGGCTCAATCGCCTCTGTGTTCGCCTCGACCTCTGCCGACTTGCCCTTCTTGGGCTTAGACGCAGATGCAGACCTTTGCTACGGGGCAGATGGTCTCCGTCTCCACCACTAAAAAGCAACATCAAACGTGCTCAGGTGCGGAGCCCAAAGGCCAAGCCATTCCTTTGCGCACCCTCTTCGTGCAAGAGCTCTATGTCGCTGTCATCACCTGCAGCTGATTTGCTTCCACACTTAAGGCACCAATATGAGGCACATGGCTCGCCTTGCATACTACTGCTGAACACTGAAACTCTTGAAGATAAGCCACTCTGCGTAAGCTCAATGACTTTAGTCGAACGCTTGCCGTTCAGGGTGGCACCCCATCCAACGCGCGATGCGTCCTTATTGTATCTGAACCATCACAACTCATGCAAATGAGCCTGTCAGCAGCCTGTTAAGCACTCGACATCGCTGCCGGTCCCCGTGTTTCCACTTCGATTCCCGTGTCTGGGCATCGATACCTTTGTCGTCCGACTGGCCATGCCATAACGCGCAAATGCCACGGCTCTGTCCCACACCTAGTGGGGAAGAAGTGCAGCGAAGGCTCGGGCGCCGGGGTGCTGCTAGGGCTGGAGTTTCTGCACGCTGCATCTGCGTCCGCACCGGGCCCCTTACCACGGCGGCGCTTGGCGGGGGTGGCCGGTGCCTCCGTGCCAAGCGGGTGTTTCGTCTGGCGACAAAAGCTCGGATCTCTCGCCGTCGGGCCCCTGCCTGCGGAGAACTTTCACCTGCGATTGAAGCCGGGATTGGCATGAGCTGCCTGAAACTCTTGAGCCGCTGTCTCTCTCCCTCCTTTTTAACCCGCCTGCGCCACGCAGAGCTGCCTGGGCTTCATCCGGAAGCACGGACACAGGGAATGGCCTGCGGCTGGCAGAACATGCTGCGGAACGAGCTGGTGTGCGCTGCACAGCAAGAGTAGCGTCAAAACACCTCAGGGCCCAGCATTGCACCTGAGCTCTTGGCTCTGCGACCTGGGCTCGCCCAAAGGAATGCACTATGTGCAGTCTGCAACTGCGACTAGAATGAGAAAAGGCAGGGACGCAACGCTTGTGTGGCCGCACTGCGGATCGCATTGAGCGGGTTCAAGACGATGTTCGTCTCGGTCCCACCGATCTTCATTTTCTTGACCGCCTCATCCTCAACGAGGTTGCACAGATCGAGAGTGAACCATTAGGCATGACATGAACTGAGAGATCACTTGGAGACTGAGAGTCCTTGAAGTCGGCCTTCCGCTGCGACTTCATCTGCTTCTCTGTCCTCTGAGCGTCTGGTCCACAAAAGTACTTCTGGTGGTAGAAGAGCTTCTGCTTTTGAAAGAGCCGACCGCACCATTGGCACTGGACCTTCGTCCGATTCACCTGTTGACGATAGTCGCTCTCCAGCGTCTGGTAGGTAGTGAGAACCACAGTCCGCCGCAGATACACCGTCTCGTCCATCAAATCATCCAGCACGCTCTTCTTGTCCAGCCCATAATAGAGACGCACTTCCAGGCTACCTGAGGGCACATTGTGAGATAGCCCATCAGCTAGTCAGCTCGAACTGTCCCCAGTCCCTTCCTGGTGCTGTGAAGCGCAGGATCTCGTTGCGCCACTGAAGCATGGCCGCGGCAGGGCACACCACAAGCGTGGCACCCTTTATCTCGCCTGGGGTGTGCAGGGAGTCCGTCTGCTCTAAACAGCATGCGTGCAGTGGCACCTGCCAGTATAAGCGCAATGGTTTGGAGCGTTTTCCCCATACCCATCTCCTGGGCTTCTAATTGGCATTGACACAGAATTCAAGCCACATGGTCCGCATGGTCGTTTCACGCATCCAAGGAGCATCTGCCAAGATCCCTCCACGAGTGGTTTCGTCAGCCTCGCGCTCCAGCATCCAGCCCAGACCTCGAAACGCGGACATGGGCATGGCATGCATGGCATGATCCTGACCTCCTTGACTGCTGACGTTTCGAGTGCCGGCCTTCGGACTGAAATGCCAGCATCGAGCGCGTGAGAGCTTTTGGGGCCGGATGCTGCGGCAACTTGCCTGGGCCGGGACGTTGAGAATCCCCCATCAGCCCCAAGTACGGCTCTCACAGCCGAGGGCCCGGCGTGGCGCCTGCTCTGCTGGCGGCGCTTCCGGCTGCGGCTCCTCGTAAGACGGAGTCTAAGACGGGTGTGTCGGGCGCAAGCAGCAGCCGAGGTGGGGCCAACGGGATACACCAAAGGCGTCAAAGACGAGGGTGCAAGAATCCGTTACGTTTCGAACAAGAGGACGGTGGGACCGGCGGAGGCTCAGTCTCTTGTGCTTCCACCTCCTAGAATGAAGGGAGGGCACAGCGGGCACAGGGCTGCTGTAACGGAGATTTAGGAGTCGTAGACTAGCAGGTCCGAGCCTCCTACGACCTGAAGGTGACATGACGTAGTTTAAGAGTCACTAGAGACGCCTTCGAGGCCAGGTCCAGCTGCACCCACGTCCAACGCCGGGTAATTTGAGAATGGCTGTGGTGCGTGGGCTTTCCGACTGTGCGAGGGTGAAGCAATCCTCATCAGGTCCCGGATTTTACTGCGCAAGTCTATCTGCCGCCCGCCTTGCTCTATTTCTTCCCGCTTCCGCATCTTCGAAATAGACGATGTGCGCGAATGCCGTAACGCAAAGATCGCGCCAGAAGGTCGAAACAAATACAGCGAAGTGGGTGGGGAGGTTCAGCGAATACACGAGCACTTAAATAATCGGATCCTAAGTAGAAGCCCCAAACAAGGACCCCTGAAGGACCCCATCTCCTCCTTTGGCTTCATTAGCTCCGCACGGAAGTCTTGGCGCCTCGGATCTCACATGAGAACCCCGAACTTCTGGCTGCGAAAATCTGAATTCTACCCGCCGTCTAGAAACTCCAGGCTGCGGTATCTTGAGCAAGACACAACACCTGTTCGTAATTCTGTGCGCTTTTTTTGCTCCGGTTAGTTGACTTTCCGAGTCTTGCTCCCTCCCTATGTATTTTTGATCACCTCCATCTGTGACTAGTAAGTGGTTGCTCTTGGTCTTTCGTGTTCATCTGCCAGAGTTTGTAATTTCGGCCGCTTCTTGTCCGATAGGAGTTCCTGATCTGAGCAAGTCCTTGACCTGGCACCGTGGGATCTGTCGTCACGCAGCGGTGCCAAGCCAAGGCATGTTGATGTCATGCCAAGCGGCATGTCGACGGGCATATCTGCATATCCAAGAATAGTCTTCGACATCTTTGTGTCCCCCATTTTGGCATAAGCAACGGCCATGTCATCGTGCCGCGCGCATGCCATGTGGAACCAGTTGACAATGGCACCATATTCGCCTTGAGTTGAGCCCCAGACTCTATCTTACGCTGATTATGCTGGGGTTCCCGAGCCCCTTCCTGCCTCGTTGGTCCTTGACCGGATAACCAATTCTCAAAGCGCTCTTCGGGATTTTGTCGCCGCAGCGCTTGCACGCTGCCATGCCTGTCTTTGACTTCTCCGCCTGTCGCTCGAGCTACTTTTAGTGTTTTTCCACTACACTCCGCAGACTTGCGCGCAAAATGCCAAGCCTTCATTTTAGAGTACGGAGCAGTAGCATGGCCTTGTGGGTGTAGCCGTAGAGGAGGTATGGGCGTCGAACCTTGGGCACCTGGCCGACCCGGCCACGAGGCACCCACTCCTGTCCTGCGAAGCATTACTTGCAATGCAGATGGTCTCCTCTAGCTGCAGGTGCAAGCTGTGAATCTCACACTGAAGCGGCTGAAGGCTCCTCCGGTGTCAAAGGCGCAGTTGCTCAACCGCTCAGGCAGCCTGTTCGCGCCACCAGCCAAAGTGACCAAGCCCTGCATTGCGTCGTCGGCCCCCACACTTGCCTAGTTCGGCCACACAAAACTCAGACTTGTTGGACGGTGCAAGGCAAGCCCAAATGCCAAACGGAACGGGCCAAGATGCAGTGGGCACAGGGCCTGTCTTGGGATCCGTGGATGGTACCTCCGTCGCCGTTGCCGGCGAAACATCTTCGTTGGAGGCCACCACCGGTGGCTTCGCGCCTTGCTTGGATAATTAACCGAATTGACCCTCCAAAGCATGGGGAGCTGAGGCACTCGTCCGAGATCCGCTGGCCCGTTCCTCTCCCGACCGAGACTTTTGACCTCCGAGCAGACTCTTGGCGGAGTGCCCTTTGTTTGCCTACTTTGCCCTTGCCATGCACAGAGCCTCTTCCGCCTCTTCCTCTTCCCTTTCCTTTCCCGTCTTTGCCACCCTTGCCCTTGCCTTTCTTCGCCTCAGAGGGCTTCGCCTGCACCTCCGAAGCTACAAGAGTGCACCAGCTCGATGGTCGACAAGCAGGCGCCTAGCCTCCTCGTCCTGTGGCTGTGGTCTCGCCTGTGCCTTCAGGCATATGCAGCGAGCTCAAGCATCGCTTCTCGCGCAAGCCTGGCCTTTGGTGCTCGTTCTCGCACGCCCCTCTCCATGGCTATCTGTGCCTTCAGCCTCTCATCGGCCACGGCTGCTGCCTTCCGCTTAACCCTGCCATCTCGACCCTCGCCCGAGTCAATGATGCCAGCACGAAGGCTCTCCTTCACAAAAAACCCCAGCTGCACGACCGCTCAAACTGCGCCCTGACCGGTCCTCCAGCTTGCGCTTGAAAGCCCGGACCTGACCCAGCTTGCCCGGGCTGCCCTGCGGCTTTGCCTGACGAGGCAAGGACAATCGGTAATAGAAGCAAACCGCCATAAGTGGATCAATCCGTGCCTGGCTGTCGGAGGCAATGTTGGCCCCTTCCAAGGCCCCTTCCGAGCCGTCGTGGGCCTCTGCAGCCTCTTGGACCTCCTGACCGTGCCCTGCAGACTCACCCATAGCACAGCCCTGTCTGCCAGGCCATCTTAGAGTCTGAGGAACCGGGGTCCCCAGCAGTGGGCCTCTGGCCGGTGCGAGGTCCCCCTTGAGCCTTGAGGCTCAAGATTCGCATGCAGCACAGCAACTAATAACTCCGCTTTGCGCTTCTTGGAAACGGACTGGGAAGCAAAGGGCACCCTCACCGCCACCCCACCCAAAGGTTCAATTTCGATTTTCCACGCGCCTATTACCATCACATGCGCCCCTGCTTCAGGGGTATGTCGAAACAGGACAACGGTTGCGTCGTGGCTTCGAGCTCCTCCAGACAAGGTTCCCCCATTACGAGGAGTGTAAACTCGTGCGACGGGGCATCCAGCTCAACAGCTCAACAGGCGCATTCCCGGCATCTGATTCTTGAAGTGCAATCATCGGCCAGAACCCGAGCCAAGTGTCCTCATCTTCCCTCCGCGCCGCCGCCGCCTTGCGGCACCTCGGAGGGCACGAAATGTCAAACTCTACAAGCTCACGCCGCTCGCGCAAAGTGCCAGGTCCAGGCTCACATGATGCCTTTCGACCTCAAATTTTGGCAGTCATCGACTGAGCACATCCGAAGCCCTTGCTCGAGCGCGCAAGAGTCTGTACAAGGGCAGCGCGGCTTGGCCCCGTATTCCCTCGGAGAGCTCGCCTTGAATGTAAATACAAATGCACCTGCAAAAAGATTCGGCCATTCCGTGATGTCGTGCATTCACATGAGTCTATTGATCTCGCATTCGCGATATTCGATAGCAAATTAAGACCAACCACACCTACCCGTTTACATTTCCATGCAATTTTGGCATTGCACGCACATGTCTGAACCCGATATATGTACACTGCACAAACCACATGTAAATACCCATGCATATACTTGGCTGACTTCTGAACCCCTCCTAAAAGTTAAAATTTTGGCCTCCTTGTTTATGGTTTATTTAGAAACCCAAAAAGTTAAAGTCCTAAGAGCCAACAGAAGAACTCCAAGCATTTACCTGCACAGATACGTGGATATGATTGGATATGTATAGGAGCATGGCATAACTTCGTCACTGCTACAGCAAAGTGCAAAATTGCCAGCAGCTCGGGAAATGCATCACATTGAAATGCATCACATTGCACAAGACTACGCTAGCGACACTGACTACACCATTGAGACACCGTCGGTGATATCGGTTTTCGGCATTCCCAACAGTGTCTGAGTCTGCCATGTCATTGACACTTTGGCTCAGCACCGTAATCGTTGAAGGCATGTAAACCAACTAGCGATGTCCTAAGTCATTGCGCGGTGCTTTCGAAAACAACAGTCACGATATCAACACGTCCAGAACCATGTACCGAAGTCGTTGTCCCATGCTCGCGGTCGCTGTGCTCGTCGTCAACCCTAATGCCAACCCCTATCTAGAGCCCCACAAAAACCGACACACACACACACACACAGACACACACGTGAACGCGCGCTACTGCAACATATAGACTGTACCAGCGAGCATCGGGCTGCCGATGCGCTCCCCTTTGCCGCTACTTGTCTGCTGTGTCGATGCTTCAGTATGCTTCCGTGATCTTCAGTGTGTGTCACTGTCACGAAGGCTGCTGCTGGAGTATACCGCGCGGCACGTAGACGTGCAAAGCTCTCCGAGAATCGCCTCCAGTCCCGGCATTCAAGTGATCGCACGGGTATGGCTGGGAAGGGATCTTGCTTCCACCATGGCGGTCCAACCGCTGAGCTCGGCCTGCCTTGGGTAGACCGAGCTCTCGGATCTGAATGCAGGTGACTTTGTCACCTTCTCACGCTGATTCGGGAGGGGCATCTTCCACTGCGGGCTTCGAGTCCCCGTCGGCGGCTTCGGAAGGAATGACATCCGCGGTGCTCGTCACTTCGTCGCCAGGAGCGGCTGGGCATATATTGAGGCAACTGCTGCAACAGCAGCAAGTAAGAATGACAGCCCACATGAAGAAGAGAAGTGTCGACCTCGGACTCTGGATTTGCAGCTTGGGGAGCCGAATTATCTCGTTCTCTCTCGGAGCCCTGGATGAGCATCCCAAACCTCGAAGCCAGGTGACACTGGAAACGTGCCCTTAGTTCAGGCGCTCAGAAAAAGTCTCCACTGCCACAGCCACGGAGATTCTGTGCCAGTGCAGCTTGACGGCTTCCGACAGGACCATCTCGAAAGTCGAGGATGTGAGCTGCGAAGCCACGACAAAGGGGTCCTTCGAAGGGCAAGCTCCTCTAGCGCTGTGTGGCTGTGCTCCTGAAGAGCCCTCGAACCTCTCCTTGTGATGCCGAAATGTGAGCTCAGCCTCGTCTAAAATCTCCAGCATGGCAGCCGCTGGCCTCAGCTGGGACAGCTCCACAGGCAGCATGGCGACTGAGTAGACATCCAGTCGAGTGACGTGGAGTTCAAAGAAGTAGCAGCCATATGCTGAATGAAGATCGCACCTAGCTTTCTCCGCACATTCCCAACAAGACTGCAAGCAACTGCTGAGCGCCAGTGATAGCTACCGCTGCTGAGTATCCGGAAGAGTACGCACCCGTCGTGCAGCGAAAGGGGGCGTCGGTCGTTACAGGATGTACTGATTCGTGTTGTTGCCACTGCCTTTGGTCAGGTCCAGCATAGGCAAGCACAGAGCGTGGCAGCTGTCCATCTTCTTTGAGCTGCAAAGCCCAGATTGAGTCAAAAGGTGTCAGTTGAGGCACATGTCGGTGAAGGTGAAGGCTTTCTCGGTGCCCAAGATCGGCTGCATCACCCAACACGGCCTTGGAAAGAAGGAAGCTTCCCCTGAGCCTCTCATGACTTTTGCTTCCAAGCCGCGCCGTCGCTTCAGATGCCCTGGCCAGACGGTGCTGAGCCCTACATTGCCTGTACTCGTCATCCACCGGCTGTCCTGCAGCTTTACTGTTTCGACCGACTCGAAACCCGCGAAGCATGCAACATCCTTGAACCTCTTCGCAGAACTGCTGTCGATGTCGCGGCTGACAATCGAAATCCTAAAGCGGCAAGGCCGTGCAACAAGGCATACAAGACGCCCAGATCGCGAGAAAGGCTCTGCTCCCATACCACAATGCCGGGGAGAAGAAGCGGCTTCAGTCAGGTCCCACACACGTTCGGTAAGGACTTGTATCACAGCCTCGTCGCCAGGACTGATTCATGATTCATGGCTGTATTCTCTCTGCAGTGTTTCGACCGATTCCGCCTGCCCAATCGTGCTTGTGAACCGACCGGGCTCTTTGCCGATGAGCTCGATTGTGTACAAACTGTCGACAACCTCTGAATCCAACAACCATGGGGGAAAAAACATTTCAATCAGGAAGGGCTTTGGTATAGCACGAGACATGACAACTTTTTTGCGGTTCTTCTGTCCAGCCCAGCGGCCGGGGAAGGTACGAGCTCCGACACATTGCAGCGAACGGTCTTCACCTCATAGTCGCTGCACTTGCCTCCGGACACTTCTGACCTGATGCGAGGACCAGGACCAGCGGCACGATCTCCCTCAACACCCTCCGCGATTCCGAAACTTGCGAGTGGCCGCGGGTGCGGGTAAGTGGAGAATGCCATATAGCACCATGAAAGCCGCAACACAAAGAGTGCCGCAAAATCGAGATATCGAAACCAATGGAAAACGCAAATAACATCCAAGCGCACCGCAGAAGGCGAAAGCTGAACAAGTTTGGTCAATACCAGAGGTCAGGAGTTTGGTCAAAAATTGGGGACTTCGCCCGATCCGACAACGCAAGCAAAACATCTATGTTTTGGATACCGATTGGCTGTTTAAGTGAAACCCAGAAAGATGGATTAAAACTCAGAAGAGGCTACCAGACCCGAACAAGAGGCGCAAGTATTGGCTAGTGTTTGGTGCCGTCGGGCACACGACAGGCGATCTGAAACGGTCAACAATCTTGAGGATGTATCGGATGCACGAGATGGTCAACAGTCACTGCATCTGTGGATTACCCGAACGAAGCCGGACAACTTGCCAAAATGCCCCGGTTTTGGCTAAGTCAGTGAATGCCGGTTGGAACAACGCAAGTTGATCAAAGATGTGAACCTCAGCCATAATGTGCCTGTATATTTTGGGTTATTCACATGCTGCTCAAATGAAAAACGAAATGGTAATTCTGAATGTGCGCACGAACCCCTGCTGAATTCCGAGTGTTGTACTTGCACTGGCTGACCAATTCCGCTGCCAGGCAACGTTGGAACGTGTTCAGTATGGATTATGCCTCACTCAGCCTTGCACCCGGCTTTGCTGTGAAATAAGCAACGGGCCAATCGAGAGGTGTGACCTGTAGCTTGCTTTTCCACGAAAGCTGAAACTCATGCATCAACCCAGGCAACATTCGCTCCGCATTGATGCGTGGGGTGGCGGGGTGGGAGGAGAGGTGGGAGGAGAGGAGGTGGTGGGAGGTGGGAGGTGGTGGGAGGTGGTGGGAGGTGGTGGGAGGTGGTGGGAGGTGGTGGGAGGTGGTGGGAGGTGGTGGGAGGTGGTGGGAGGTGGTGGGAGGTGGTGGGAGGTGGTGGGAGGTGGTGGGAGGTGGTGGGAGGTGGGAGGAGATCGCCACGACCCAGCATCCCATGATCATGGTGAAGCTGCATGCTGGCCAAGACTTCCGTGGCCAGGCGAGTTGGACACACCTCCAAGCCGGGGATCTGCAGGGTTCCGTGCGCATTTTCATGTTGCAACGTCTCTTGGCATATTCGTGCTGAAGCAAAGGTGCTTACCGCAATGGGGTGCACGTTCTCATGTTTTCACGTCTCTTGGCATCTTCCGTGCTGAAGCCAAAGCACAAAAGCCCTGCCCTGCCTGGAAGGGAGTTGAGTGGACTTGAGCGGAGCAAGAGGAGCGTGCGAGCGAGCGAGTGTGCGCCGGGCGGGGAGCGGAGCATGGTCCAGGTGCCCCGGCCGGACTGCAAAATGTCTTCTAGGGGCCAATGACAAGGGGCAGGAGCCACACCCACGAGCACCGAGTCATGGAAACCATGCCCGAAACCAAGGTGAACACATGTCTTGAGATATGCAATTGGCCGGCTCCCCAGACCCGAAAACATTATCAAAATTCCATCTGTTGTTGCTTCTTTGGTGCTCGTGGATATGCCTGAGAGGTCAAAAATCATCGAAAGAGCACAATTGAAGAGTTCGCCTAACCCGAAAATGCCCAAAACTCCATGCTTTGGGATTCTTATCGGCTGCTCGCGCAGAACCCGAGATGGTTTCAAACCATGTGGTGCAGGCTGTTTACTAGCTCGATTCTGCTACATGGTGCTGCCATAACTTTCGACGGCACTACTACTACGACGACGACGACTACTGCTACTATACTGCTACTACTACTGCTACTGCTACTGCTACACTGCTACTCTACTGCTACTGCTACTGCTACTGCTACTACTACTGCTTCTGCTACTACTACTACTCCTGCTACTACCACTACTACTACTGCTGCTACTACCACTACTACTACTGCTACTGCTACTACTACTACTACTACTACTACTACTACTACTACTACTACTACTACTACGACTACGACTACGACTACGACGACGACGACGACGACGACGACTACTACTACTACAACTACTACGACTACTACGACTACTACGACTACTACTACTACTACTACTACTACTACTACTACTACTACTACTACTACTACTACTACTACTACTACTGCGAAGACTACGACTTCTCGCCTGCGTGCTGCCTCAGGCATACACAGCCGAGCCCTTCACCTACCCGTCGCGCATCTTGAGCCTTGAGCCTGACAACGCCTGGTTGCGTGCATAGCGATTCTGCTCAGACCGGACAATAGCTATGCAGCCGGGGTGCGCAGGACGGTCGTAAACATTTGGCACAGACGACAGGCTGCATGGAACTTCTTGTCCTGCTGCCCCCAAGCTCGCCAAGCGGGCGAAAAACAAGAAGTTGTCCAATTCCTCGGCGAGGGACATCGCAGGAATCGTCAAGCAGCAACCAACCTCTCTGCTTGCACAGGCTCGCCAGACGTGCCGGACTGCCAGGACTGAACGGCGTCGCAGTAGCTATCAATCCGTGCCGCAATTGCATCTTCGCCTACAAGCGCGAATTTTTCGTGAATAAGAAGCAGGAACTTGCGAAGGACGCCTGGCCTGTCGCCTCCGCTTGAGCCGCCAAGCTATCAGCTCCGAGAGAGTAGAGAATTGCGGCACCGACTCCCGTGACCAAACCTCTGCAAGTATGCTTGCGGACATCTGATTCGCCGTGCACCTGCTGCTTCGGCATCCAAGCAGCAAAGCCCGGAGTACAATGCGGCTCTATACTTTCTCCGCATCATTCCATGGCTGATGGACTTGCCGCCAACAGCCGGCTCTCCGGGTCAATTCTGCTGTTCAGCCAAATGTTGCCACATCCTTCTGGCTAGAGAATGTAACGAAACGTAACGAAACATCACATGCAACGGAGCCTGTGCACAGGATCAACAAGTTCGCTCTTTAAGATCAACCTGCCACACACTTCCTAAACTGAGGCAAGTTTTTCGAATCGTCAGTACCAATATCTCGATCCCTCCACAGGGTGAGCAGCAAAGCAACCCACTTTTCCGACTACATGCTCGTGCGTTAGATGCAAGCAAGGGCAACCAAGAGAGAGCTGGCCGTGCTCAGGCAAACACCCGCCGTCGCATCGGACTTGGTGGCAAGGGGATGCGACTGGCGAAGCCTGAGTGATCCGTACCTGTAAGTAACATAAGCATGAGGCTAAGCGGCTAAGCAGCATCCGTAAGCTCTGCACGAGCCTGGGTCTCCTTGAGGGCGGATGTAAGCAGCTGACGCTGTGAAAACTCTGCAAGTTCTCGCCCTGTGCACTGGAAGAAGGACGCTGAGATTTCTGCAAAATCGATGCTGCGCCTCGTTCGATCTTCGGGCCGCTTGTGGTCGAGAAGTCCCGGCATGCCCTTAGCAGCCGTTATAATGTTTCAGCACAGCTGACGTGATAGGAACATACTAGCAGATTCCCCAGCAATCACTACATGCTCGCCGCGATTGCCCGGCCAACGCCACAATTCGGACGGATGCCGACATCGCACTATGCGCACAACGACCACAGCTGTCCCAAGGCCCGCTTCTAGGCCAGCGACTATGCCAAGCACCCACAAATCAGTGGCCAGTGTCGGTGTGGATAACCAGCGCGGTGAGGCCTGGCTCACCCACAGGGTCTGCGGCCAGAATTCCAAAGATTCAGGACAGGTCTCCAGAGTGTGGCAGCAGCTAAAGAACTACCCTGCCGTCAGAGGGTGAATGCCTGGTAGGAGGATTCATTACAAGTTCAACGGCTGCAGATACTGTTACCAAATATGTCAGATTTCACATCCGAAGAAACAAGCAACTCTAGCTAGCCTCTGGGGAATGGTCCGTACGACCCAACAAAAAGAACAGCAGCTGAGTTCGCCACAAACACAAAGAGCCAGCACCCCTTTGTGAAATGCCGTGCTGTATGGCTGTAATTAGGCCATTTCTGCTTTCTTGGAGGGCTGTTGCGGATCTTGCTGGCCACATGCACATGCCTTTGCTCGTGGACACCCGCAGCACGTGAAACCAGGCGATGCCAGCTAGATCATGCCTCGCATATCCTCGCCGCGCCTGAAACACGCCCCGGCTTGGTGCCATGCCCCGCCACCATCCACAGTAAGGGTCTGCGGCTTGCTTACTTCAGCTCGCAAGTGGTATTCCCGAGCTCCTCTTTCAAAACGGTCAGCGTAGTTCTGCTGTAGTCGTTGTCATCCAAGCACTTCTCCAAGGTGTCATCTGCTTATCCAAGGCCTCCTGGCTGTAGTCTTGTTCGCAACCCAGCGCTGCTCTCTAGCAACCAACCCACCAACCCCGTGCAGCAGCAACAAAAAGTGAACACTCCGAGAAATGTCGACCTGCCGTGTTTAGCCAAGCTAGGCCGCGCGCCTTTGCTGGCACCGCGGTGGCGAATCATGCTATGGATGATTACACCAAATTATTTCAGCATTGCGGTCATATTTGTATGAACGGCAGCCCGAGCTATGCAGACAGCTAGAAGATACTCCCGCGACAGCATCATGGAGCTTAGCTGAGGGCAACGACCAGCGCCCAACGGCACGCAATCGTAGGAGAGGTTCTTTCTGCCAAACCCTAATCTCAACATATTTTTTCTTGGGCACCTTCATCAACTCCGCCGCTGAGCCAAGGAAGGCCTGCCATTTTTTGAACCCAGGCTCTGCTCCATCATCAGCTGGGAATCGACAGCTAACATCTGCCATTATGCAAGGAACCATGAAGATCTGTGTTGGAGTTTGTGTTTGGGGCTCTGCATGCAAGGATTGGTTACATAGTTGTGGCAGAAAAACAAGCAATATGTAGTATCCGACATGCCCCCCAATTGTGTTACAATCCGTCTGTTCGGTACAGTATGCCAGTGGGAAAGCTCTGGCGTAGTCCTGCAGACAGACTGCGTGACGAGACTTGTCCGAAAGACTTCGCATGACTTCGCGCCAAGCCCAGTCGAATGGTGATAAGGAGTGGGCAACCGGGATTACCATGTCTCAGTTCCTCAGGCATCGAGTGTTAAATTGGTAACTAGAGGGGTACCCGTCCTCTACCAAGCACCTCGACTGATATCGGTCCCGATAAAGAAGTGTCACGACGAGCATCTGGGCTCACCAGCGGGTCAAGGTCTCGTTTGAAAACCTCCAGAACTCAGGTATCGACACCCTAAAGCCGGAGTCTAAGAACAAGGCTTCTTAAGCCTTGTACAAGCCCTAGTGAGCATGGCGACGCTGACAATGGCAACTCAAGTGGCACCCCAGGACACTTTCGAAGACATTTGCACCCCAAGTGGCTCCCCAACACGCAACAATAGGCATGTTCTGCGAACACCGCTCCTGTGCACGGAAGCAGGAGCGCTTCCATGCAAGCCCGCAGTTGCCTCCGGCTGAGCTCAGTCTCGGCTCACGAAAGGCTCCGCAACCTGAAGCAACTGCTGTGCCGGGGCAGAGCTCTGCCAGTCTGCTCACTTTTCTTCAAGGCCCTCGCGTCACCCGCGGCCGGCGACCCTGGCCACCAACGAGCTGCGCCGAGAAGAGCAGAGCGGAGAAGAGCGGAGAAGAGATGAGAAGACCCGCCTTGAAGCTCAGAGAAACCTCGAAGTCGCTTCCGGAGCCGCCGTCCTCGCCGACCTCGGCCACTGGTGCCCAAAGCTCCCGCCCCCCCCCTCCATCGATGCAGCGTGCCGGACCAGCCAAGCAAGGCGGTGAGGGTTGGGCGCCGGTCCCTGCGAGTCGCTTCAATGCAAGACTTGTGGCAGGATGCTTCGCCGGCCTGGACCACATGGAAGCCTCGGCGCTCAAAACTCAAAACATCAACAAAGAGGCGCGCCGAAAAACTGACAAGGCAATAAAGTATTGGGGCGAGGACGCCCGAACCGCGCATTGCGGCAGTTCGGGAAGATCGCTTGTTCTGGGTCCCCATCCTGCAAGAAACAACTGCTGCGACGGAAATCATCGTAGATTCGAGGATGCGTCCTTGAGGATCTGGAAGGACTCCTCCCCTGCACTACTGGCAGCCGCTCGCAGAAGCACCATCCTCATCCTCCCATCCTCCTGGCCTCCGAGGTGCAGCTGCCCGCGCCAGCAGTCGGCATCCTCACGAGCCATGGCTCGGCACCTCCCGGCATTCGAGGCATTCAAGCCAAGCTTAGCCAAGCCAACCCGCAAAAAGCGCAATGCACGCAGCTGCAGACGTACAAGCAGCCTCGTCCAGTTGTCCCAGCTGCCGATCAGGCAATACTCGGGTCCTGCAGGGCTCCCGCGTGCCTCAAGCGATGAACCGTCACGATGCATCGAGAAACCTCCCGTGTTGCTACCACTGGCCACTGGCCTGCTCGGCCTGCTCTCCCAGCCGTGGATACGCTGAAGACACTTGCCCCTCAACCTGGCACAGCTACGGAGAAGCAGTGGGCAAGGAATTCGGTGACGACGAAGAACATGAAGAAAAGTGTAAGACCATGTCGATGAGGCTTAGGATCTTCACAAAGATAATGATAATGACATTGAGGCCACGATGCCGATTCTCTTTTGCTTCGGCCCTTCAATGGATTTGCCCGGCGCATAGCCGCTACACAGCCAATGCAGCACTACCAGTACCACCGATTTAATTCGTTTCCGAAAGGTGGCCCAAACAACGCACAAATAAAAATTCGCCCACCACCGTGCGAAGAATATGCACGAAAACTTTACGCACGTGACTATTTTACTCGACTCCCTCGTGATCACGTGCGGAGCTCATGCCAGATGCCAGCCACGGCTTATCCCACTCCACCTGTCTAGCCTTCGGCATCACAGCGAAGTCATCTTTAACAATGGGAGTGTGAGATGCAAAGGACGCCCATTCATCAGACCGCGACCAGACAAACAGCTGGAACATGAAATCCCCGGCATCGTAAGGTTTGTCGGCCATCAACAGTGTACGAGTAAGCCACGAGGCTCTAGTTCAGCGACGACGGCGACGAGGCGCAACCAAGGAGCAAGCTGAGGATAAGCGTTCCGCGTGCTCGCCATGTCGGCGCTGCTGCTGATGCTCGTGTGATGACAACGATGGCGTGGCTGCTGCGGCCGCTTCTGCTGCTGCTACTTTTTCTGCTGTCGGTATTGCAGCGGTTGCTGCTGATGCCCAGGCTCCTAACAATCAGTGACAGTGATGAGTGTCAGTGTCGTGAGACTGATGATCAACATCATGCTGAAGCTGATGTGAGTGACGCTGGGTGGGAACATGCCGGAACGTTCCGTCTCTTTGCCTCGGTCGCCGGCCCCGGCCAGGATACGAGGTCTGGCTTCAGATGCGCGGGGCCATCCTCTTAGCAAACACATACAACACGTCAGCTCAGTCCTTCTCAGCTCCGAGCCTTTGCCATAGGACCACCAAATCCCCACAACACTGTGTATACAGTGGTCCCACCTCCGCACTCAACGTCGCCAGTTTCACGCTCCCTCGTGGTCGTGGAAGGTCTGTCTGCTTTTATTCGAGCCTCCACGCCCGAGAATACCAGCATAGAGGTTGGGTTCAGTGAGCTGCCCACACTCCACCTAAGGCTCGCTGAACACATGCTGCAACGCTCATCACTGCAAGCAGAAACCAATTAGGCCGTAAATGGTCTCAGGGATCACTGCGACAGACACTGCCCATCGTAAAGTTCGAAAATAACATACTCTCCAATTGTCTTCAGCTCTCTCGAAATCAATCCATAAGCCTGATCGGACCCGTCAAGTTCGGGTGCTGTAAAAACATGTGAGGAACTGAGAGTGACTTGTGCGCAGGGTCGGCAGGGCCACATTCATTTGCTGCCCGAACTTCGGGAGAGTCGTCAAATGCTTGTGTAATCTACTAATATCAACGGGAATGGTTGCGACGGGTGTTTGTAAATCTTGTCCGTTTCGACTCTAGGCTCCAAGAAGCGTTTCCAAGCTTGGCCGAGGCACGCTGAGACTGGGCCCGGCCATCGTGGCGCTGGGACTTAGCTGCCGCAGGTGCGGCTGCGCCTCAACCACCAGGAGATCACAAAAAGGCTGACAAGATCGCTCTTGCACTCGCAGCTCGCAACCGAGCCACTGTCGCGGTGCCAAGGCGGATGGCAGCCAAGATCTGCATGACACACGCCAGTCCTACAGTGATGAGCATCTCGAAGGCCATGCAGCAGAGCAGCATCCAGCCTGCACACTGCACCTGATGACCGCAGCTGGCCTTGGCAGAGATCTCAGCCCCGCAATTCCCGCCTGCAGCCTCTCCACGCCTTCAGCGAAGAAAGTTGCAGTGGACTGGCGTCTGCGCAGTGGCCTCGCGCCGCATGGCCCCCGAGGCCCCCGAGGCCCCCGGCCCGAGCCCTCCTCTGAAACGCTTGGAAAGGCGGCGCCTCGATGAGATGCCTGCAGCGCGGCCAACTCCATCGTCTCGGCTGATGGCCCCAGACCTTCCAGCTCGAGGACTTCACGGCTTGCGGCGATTCGTTTTGAGACCGAGCCGCCATCAACCTCCGCTATGTCCACAAAGCCGTGCTCCAGATCTGACAAGGCCTGCGAAGTCTTCAGGGTCGTGCTGCAGGAAACTCCAGCAATCACGGCCTCTGCAACCGTGCGGCGAATCTCGGCTGCACCTTGCGGTGCCTTCAGCCCGGCTGCAGCTGTCTGAAAGCGTCGAAAATGCTGATTGGATGTGACAAAATCATTGGAGTGCCTTCGAATTCTCTCCGAAGCAACATGAAACGTGTTCAACATGTCCCATTAATTCAGGCCCACTTCTCTCAGCATTGTTTACCATTCGTTTCTCGTTTCCTGTTCTGCCAGAAAGACAGGACTCGGCTTGTTGTTACTTTCTGCATCTCTCGCAGTATGAAAGTTCCGCTAATTGATTCGCAGAGGCTTGCTGCTCCAAAGTTAATAGTTTTTCGAAAGTTCAACGAATGCTTGCAGGAGTGGGTGCATTCGCTGCTTATCACCTGTATTCACTATGCTGCATGCATGCCTCGGCCACCATGGATTGCGACTCAGCCCGCTACAAGAGATGCGCTGCACCCACTCGCAGCCATGGCACTGCCCGTAATGCAGCCGGCTGGCGGGCCTTGACAACGGAACTCAACACAATCCCGCCGCAAGGGATGCACCGGGTAAGTGCACCGGGTAGGTCCCGAGCTTTCCATCTGGGACGGCTCCTTGCAGCGCAGGCCGCAGGCAACTCGTCAAAAACCTGTGTTTCCGAGCTGAGACCGGGGCAGGAAGATGAAACCGGCACAGCATCAATGCACAACACGCCTCACCACGAACCTCGGCTCATACAGCAAGTCACGCAGAGGCCGGCGGTGACCGCAGCAGTGCCGCAGCAGTCCTGAGCCTGGCACGAATCCGTCACAGGAGGTGTCGAAAGCCAAGCTCCGCCCACGCCGGGAGAGCGAGGCAGCCTTGGCCCTGCAGCAACAAAGCCTAGGCAAAGCAGAGAGGAGGAAGAGCGAGAGAGAAAGAGAGACAGGCAGAGCTTCTTTCCGCGTCTCTTTCTCTGAGAAGCCAGAAGCGCGGGGAGAGGCTCAAGTGCACCCCAAGTGCCAGTGCAAAGTCGAGCTTGGCCTCCGCAACAAACTCACAGGAGAGCGCTCTCTCTCAGCAACCCCCCGATCCCACGGACCGGACCTCCAAAGCCGTGGCCGCCAGCGAGGCCGCGGCCAAGCCAGCGGCACCCTCCAAGTGCACCTCGGCGAGACACTGTGAGGCTCTGCCAGGGGCAAGCAAATTCCCAACACCCGCTGCTCTGCTCCTGCTGGGGGTTCTGCAAGGGACTCCGAAGGCCCCCTGAGCCCAAGCGTCACTGAGAGTCGGCCGGCTACAAGGGCCTGCGCGGTTTGGCCAAAGCCGGAACACGAATTCAGAGCTTTGGTTCTTAGACTTGGACCTGACCGTCGCTGCCGTCGCTGTCATGCTCCCAGTCCGCAGGGGAAGGACAGCCAACAAAGAGGCCGCCACTGCGCTGGCCGTGCCGCTTCAGACTTCCACCTCGAGCTTGTTTCCGCGATCATGCGACTATTGGCCGCGGATTGATCCGAGCATGCCTACACGAGGAAGGTGCACGCAGCCAAAGTGAGCCTGATGTACAAAGCTATAGACTCGCGGTCCCAAGATGCATTGAGATCTGAAAGACCTGGAAACCCGGATGTGGCCTTCTGATGACAACCCAAACACTGAAGACCTTTCCATTTGTTCGATCTACGTATCGTCTGACGAAAACAATATCAAACCCATCTTTTCCTTGCATGCAGCAGCACTCGCTACAGTTCATGACCTCACCCGACCTCTTTGGCCTGAAGCCTGCGGCCCTTCTTCTTTCGACCATTTCGGCGATGGCACTCTCGGTGCAGCCGGAGCACTGTGCAGGGCGGACGACGCTGCCTCCGCGCACAATCGCTGGTACGGATCGCAACGCCGCACATCCTTGCGATTCGGAGACAGGCAAGCCGACAAGGCTACAGGCCGGACAAGCTGCCGGGCCGAACTTGTGAGATCACGCAGTTGCCAATCGCCCCATGTCGATAAACGATTTTGCGACTGATCACATTCAAGCGCCACAACCGCAAAATCCCCAACCTGCTCTGGCATTTTGAAGGCATGGCTGGGGAAGAGCTCCAGGCCGTCGAGGAAGGCAGCGTGCCGGCAAGCAGACTTCACTTGCTTGAGGCTGCTATCGTCTGGATCGTAAACCTGGGGACCACAACTAGCAGTAAATTGCGACACAAACTCTCGACAGATCCTGTCTGCAGGGTTCAATCCCGACCTCTGAATGGTCCCATCGCCGAAACGGAACCTCTGTGGCGTAGTCGGCCGCAGCAGTGATTGAGGTACGACACCAATCATCCACTGTATCTGCAAGCGACAGGCTAGCGAAGCACTGTGTCACGATTTGCTTCTTCTGCAATGATCGTCAAAGAGACTGCGACACAAGCATTCCTGCAAAGAGTGTCAAACAATCTGGGCGAACCTAGGACCTATGCCAACCGAACAACCCAAAGGCTCCCCCGATGCCTGCCCGGGGGAAGCGACCAGCTGCAGAGCGAACAGCAACCATTGTTCCGTCGTCAAAGCTGCGTTGCAGGTCCTCCAATGCAGTGAATGCACCGCTTCTGTACATTCTCAGTTTGTGCTGCAGCCAGAACACCCCAGTCCTTCCGCCAAGCAAAAGGAACCTCGTGGTCGATGCGATCCTCCTCGGGTCGCGAAAGTCTTCCAAAACTGCTGTGCTGCACAGTGCTAGCGCTGCGGGCCTGGCTCAGCTGCAATAACCGGTGACGTATCCATTCATCCAGGGCTTTGGCTGCGGGAGCGCGTCCCTGTCCAGGCCATACTCTCCGTGCACTGGTCTTCCTCCACAGGACACTCGGACGCTGGAGATCACAGCCGCCTGCCAGGAATCGGCCTTCCCAGTACTAAGGATATCATTGCCAGCGAGCCCACCGGGGCGCGCAACTTCCGTGCTAGGAGTTCGGGACGGAGGACCACGGCATCACCCGGTGACAGTTCTATGCCAATCCTGCGAGGGAGCGGAGGAGCGACATCGAAATTTTTCTGAGAGATGCCACGACAGCGTAGGTCGCACCACACAGTCGGGAAAACCACAAACAGCCAAGCTCAAACAGCTGTGTGGCTCCTACTTTGCAGTACAAGGATTGAACACACCGTCGGAAGATTTCGCATTTCGAGTCTACACGTCTTTACATATTCTAACTGTAGAACCTTGTGGAGTTAGACATGAAGCCGACTGCTCTCGGATGTTGGCGAGTCGGCCCGAGGCACCCCGAGCCCCGGCGCAAGCGCATTGGCAGAAGTCATGGAAGACGCACTATGGAAGGGTCACCGCTCGGGTCCTCTGCGGTCGTGGAGCTGCGAGTTGCAAGTCAACCGCCTCCTGCAAGCTGACACGCCATGCTGTCCCCAGGGAACTGGCCACGGAATCTCTGCACAGCCCGGCACCTCCACTGACGGCTCGCTTTCCTCGAACATCCAGAGGTCCAGGATTCCGGGCTCTGGACCCAGATAGACCATGCTCAGCAACCGATGGCGCCGGAAAATGTCAAGCCACCGTGATGCATCCACTTCCGAAAGGTCCGAAACCTCTCCTGACATGCCGGGCGCACCCTGCCTGAAGAGAATTGCCGAAATTTGCTGGCAAAATCCACAGGCAGTGACCATATGCTGGGTGATGGTATCGTTGAGGTCGTACAGCTGCTTGGAAAGCTGCGACAGTGTGGCAACCTGTGTCGAAGACTCCTGCGACTCTAACGAGCAGTGTTGCCACAGTATCTTGCTGATCTTGCGAGATTGGACACCCAGGCCGGGCCTGTAAAACCGGAAGCTCAACGAGGCCGAAATCTGTCCCCAGCAATCCATGGGCCACAATTTGGGTGGGAAACCAAAAATCCTCTCTTGAGGCCACTGCCTCGGGTCAGGGGTCAGACTGCAGGTGGAAGCCCGTTTTCCTTTTCGGCCGGCCGAAGTGCCGTGATGTCGGAAGCAACCCTGATGCGACTTCCATAACGTTTGACTTGGTCATCACAAGCTACAAGCCCTCCACGACCACTCAGCTTGCTAAAGGCCTGCGCTTGCTCCACGAGGCAGGCCGACACCCACTTTTGCAGCACACCTCGGACTGCGCGACAAGATCGCCGTCCATCATTGCAGGCACATGAGTCCAACACAGTAGCCCTTGACACGAAGCGACGTAGCCTTGGAGTGGGAACCGATTGAGCACACCCCCAGGTGCATCGGTATGGGTGAACATCTTCGAGCATCTGGCTGCATCGGAAGCCGCTCCAAGCAAATTTTCCTGCAACATGGGTTGCTGCTAGGTCGTGTACGGGCTTTCTGCTTCCCAGCCATGAAGGAAGTCGGACGTAGTAGCTGAACAAACTATAACCCCCCCGCCTGCAGGAGCTCCGATCCAGCATCTCGGTACATCGCATCACACCGAGGTTGGATGCTGCAAATTGTGGACAATCCATACTGTAGACTGTGGATCTGGTCGAAAGAAAGCCACGGCCCCGATGAGTATGCAATATTCAACAATTGGTCTTTTGTGTGTGCAAGATATGGTCAATCAAATCATCTGTGGTAAGCCAGGCGACGCCACACAAGTTTTCAACACTAGGCGAAGAATACAACAACTGATACATGCAACAGACAATCAAAAGCAGAAAGGAATCGAAACATCGAGCATGCAAGAGTCTTTAAACGGTCAGTCTGTGCAGGTGACAACAATTACAACTCATTGCATTACCATACAACGGAACATGCGGCTCCAGACCCGTTGCTCTGGAACGGTGAGCCTGACACACACTGGACACGAAAGTGATGTGCGGAAATATGGTGTGGGTTCGTGATCTGAAACCTTAGCAGAAGTGTCTCGATTTGAATACCCGAATACCCATTCGTTGTCGGGTGCAACCCGCTGTGGTGTCAAATTCACGAAATCATTTTTTGTTCTTTTCCTACAACGCACCTTTTTGCGAGCGTTCCAAGCGTGGCAGTCCCAGTGCAAACCCAAGTCCAAGCCGGTTGCGCGCTACGGCGTCTAGGGCATGCGGCTTGCAAGGGGCGGCTCAAGGGAGGAGTCAGCGAGGATGTCGCTCAGCAGTGGGGAGTCGCCATCGACATTGGCTGTGCCGCCAAAGGGCAAGGAGAGGAGGCTTGCCGCAAAAGGCACGGCCCTCGCACGGAGGCGCGCAAGGAGTTTGACAAAGGTGGCAGCTTCAGTGCTCCAGCGGCCACCGAGCTCGAGAGCGAGAACGACGAGCTTGCAGATTTCACCTAACCCGAAAAATCCGAAAAACATACCAACCCGAACAACAAGCCAAACGACCCAGGTCTTGGGTAGAGTGGTGTTCGTTATAATATCACATGATCAGAACTCAATGAAGCTCTGCATGTGCGGGGGGCGAAACTTACTCAGAAGCAGCTGCTTGTAGGAACCCGATATGGTTTCCGACCCCAGCAAAACTCTTCACCCAAACCCGAAGTACCCCTAAATACCGATTTGCTGATGTTTTGATTTCGGGCTTCCCAATTTGGCGGAAATATGTATTAAAATGCCGACGGAATCGTTGATTTCGTGTGTCCAAAAAGCCGATGCACGTCTACCCTTCGGGAAGCCCACAAGCCCGCCAAGAATCAGCCAAAACAGGTCTTAGCCCGAGCAACGAGAGGAAAAAACGACGAAAGCTCGTTGGTGGGGCATGCTCAGCGTGGTCGTGCAGCAAACGCTGACGAGTACAGCACTAGGGCGAATCGGGCCCGCCCCGCCGCATCCCCAGTAGAGCGACGCTCCTCCAGTCGAGCGCGTGCTCTAGCTCACAGCTCCGGCAGGCTAAGCCGCCTGCCGATGTGCGCGTGAGGTTCGGGCGCTCGACGGGCGTAGCTCAGGGGCCGGTAGCTAACGTGTTTGTTCCGCGCGCCTTCTTTCTACGACTGCTCAAAAGAGTCCCGTCAACTGCAAATCGAGGTGGGGGGGACTGCGTCGTGCAATACGTCCCCGAGCGGGGGCAACTGGAGACCATGGGTTCGAAGCCACACGCCGCACGAGTTGGGCGACGAGGCACAGCGATTCGGCGCTCCAGCTTTCCGTTTCACAGAGACAGCAGCCCTGTCGCAAAATGATGTGTTGGGAAAAATTTGTTGTCCATCGTGGTTGATCCAAAGAAAACCCCGAAAGCAGCGGAAACATGTACGAGGCCAGCCGGCTCTAGCCGCCGCGCGGGGCCAGTGACGCTCTTTGCGACCGACCGAACCCGAAGCAGGTCGCGCAAGAAGCCTTGGGCTTCGGCATTCCAACGGCCGCCGACCTCCTTGCCTAGCATGAGAAGTTGTTGGGATCCGTTGTGGCTGAATTGTGGGGTCAGCCGACTGATTGCGACCGGAACGCGGTTCTGGGAGCCCAGAGTCCCGAACCTCAGCGCTTGCCTGGTCGTACATAGGCACCGGAAGCGGCCAGCGCACGTTAGCGGAACCTCGTGCAGATTCCGCGCCTCCGGCAACGTTGCACTCGCCAGCGAGTGGGAGCTCCAGCAAGGACGCGCCACACCGGCCCCCAACCTCGACACCCACGACCATCAAGCGGCGGCGGCGAGCGCGTACGAGCTCGGTAGGTCTGGTGGCGTCTGTGTCGGGCGCACGCCCACGGGCCCACGGGCTCACGGGCCCACGGGCCCATGCACGGGCCCACGGGCCCACGGGCACACATATAGGCGTCTGTATATGTAGATTTGTTACATGAGCCACTGCGTTTATTTATTGCTTGGGCTAACTACGCTATCTTGAAGCGGTGCCCCTATCTCGTTTCATCATGTCAAGTACTGGCAGAAAATCTCGATCTCGTTCGAGTATCCTTAGCAGCACGAGCTTGACGAGCTGTAGCATTACTAGTTCAACAATAGTAGTACGAATAATAGCACACCAACAGTAGCAACGGTAACAGTAGTGGCAAGAGCAATGTTCATAATAGTCAGTAGTCCTTGTCCTGGTCGGGGTGGTGGTGGTGGTAGTAGTAGTAGTAGTAGTAGTTTTTTTTACCTTTTTTGCGACTGCGCAAGAGGAGTCCAGGTCCGACTGCACGGCATGTAGTAGTAGTAGTAGTAGTAGTAGTAGTAGTAGTAGTAGTAGTAGTAGTAGTAGTAGTAGTACTAGCAGTAGTAGTAGTAGTAGTAGTAGTAGTAGTAGTAGTAGTAGTAGTAGTAGTAGTAGTAGTAGTACTGGTAGTAGTGGTAGTCGTAGTAGTAGTAGTAATAGCAGTAGTAGTATTAGTAGTAGTAGTAGTAGTAGTAGTTGTTGTTGTTGTTGTTTTTTTAAACGCGCAACTTTTCGAACAGTGACCGCGGTCCCAGTGCATGTTTCAGCTGCGAGCTACGGGAGGGTACAAGGCGCCGGCAGGCGGCTTGCGCCGAGCGGGGGGCCGCCGCGGACCTCGGCGAGGATTTCGTGGAGGTCAGGCGCCGCACCCGCATCGCAAACGTCACCACCAGGCAGCTCGAGGAGGGACGCCGCAAAGGCACGCATGGCAGCGACCGCAAGGAGGCCGGACCAACGTTGGACCCAGCCTGCACAAGCAGCACCTCGGAGGAGGGGTGGAAGGCTGGCCGCACGGTGCCGGGCAAGGTGACGGAGGAAGAAGGCAGCTTCAGCACCGAAGCGCCCGCCGACCTCGACCCCGAAAACGACGAGACGGGCCCGTCGCGCGCTAGCGAGCTCGGGGTACGTTTGGCGCCGCTTGCGGCGCGCGGCGGCCTGGACGGCCGCGCCAGGGCTCGGCGGCGCCCGGCTGCGGCTCCCCGCTCCGCGTGACAGGACTGACGATCGTGGCATCAAGCGCGAGCTGCGCCCCGTGCCAGAGGGGCAGGCCGCTTGCGACGACCTCAATGCGACGCGCGTCACTGACGGGAACATCGATGTTCATGTCAGCAAGCCGGACGTTGCGTGCAACCCGCGCGCCGCCTTCCCGGCACACGCGGGCGACCGCATGCTCGAGCGGAAGGGCTCGCGTCGCCAACACTCCGGAAGTGGCACAAGCGGCGCGGTGGTCACCAAGCGGGTCGAGGCGGCCCCGGCAGCGGCAGGTGCGCGGCGTCAGGGGCAGTGGCAGACGGAGCCGCCGCAGAAGGAGCTCGCGGAGGTGTTCGGGGGGCAGGGTGACGGCCGGTGACGTGGGGAGGACGGTGAGGGCACGGCCTGAGCGGGGTCCAGCTTGCGAAAGCAGCAGCGCTCGGGACGCAGGGTTGAGGTGAGAAAGGTGCGTCTCAAGCGCGCGCTCGTCGCAAGCTGCCACGGCAGCCCTCTGCCAGCCACGCAGGTGGCCGTCCCCGTGCGGGGGTTGCGGTGCGGCAGGCGCGGCCGCAGCGCTCCAGTCGGGTACGGGAAAGCCGGCCTCACGTACTCGCGCCGCAGCCGTGCAAGCGGCGGCGAGGGCCGGCGGCATGCCAGCGTGAGGCGCACGAAGGCTGGCTTGCAACTGCGCAGCGTCGGCAGGGAAACGCTGGAGCAGTGCAGGGAAGGCGTCCTGCCACGAGGCCCAATAGGCGGCCGCGGCACCGGAGGTGGCAGAACGCAGACCCAGGCCCTCTAACCCGAGCGGAAGCTGCGCCGTGCCAAGGGCATCATTTCGCAGCTCGGGTGCTTCCTCGCCGTAGAGCAAGGTGCGGAGACACTGTTGTTGTTGTTGTTGTTGTGGTTGTTGTTGTTGTGAATGAGCCATGGGCTTCTATGGCCGGCTCCGTCAATGCTTTGGATCTCGTCCTGATCTCGTTTCCAATCTCGTTTCGATCCGACTATATCACACCAGCAACGGCCGGGTGATAAGAGTTCTGATTTTAAAAATCAGGGGCGCCCCATCGGTCCAAGGCTCCATCCTCGGAGCTCAAGGGTGGTAAGAGTTCTGATTCTAAAGAATCAGGGGCGCCCCATCGGTCCTAGGCTCCATCCTCGGGGCTCAAGGGTGGTAAGAGTTCTGATTCTAAAGAATCAGGGGCGCCCCATCGGTCCTAGGCTTCATCCTCGGAATTCAAGGGTGGCAGCAGGTCTGATATTTAAATCAGGGGCGCCCCATCAGTCCGAGGCTCCATCCTCGGAGTGCAAGGGTGGTAAGAGCTCGGATATTGAAATCAAGGGCGCACCATGAGTTCAAGGGCGGGAAGAGTTCTGATTCAAAAATCAGGGGCGCCCCATCAGTCCTAGGCTCCATCCTGGGAGATCTGGCGTGGCAAGAGGCCTGATTTTAAAGTCAGGGGCGCCCAATCACAGTCCCAGGCTCCATCCTCGAAGTTCAAGGGTGGTAGGAGTTCTGACTTCAAAAATCAAGGGCAGGACTTTGTAATTACACAACAGATAGGACAACAAAGGCCTCAGCCTGAGCTCAGGACTCTGTAAATAATGTCACATAAAGGGTTCAACGTCTCTCCAGCTTGCAACTATCT